CTGTCACATTTTAATCTTACAACAACTCTGAGACCAGCTCCCGTTCTACACATAAATTTAAGTGACTCACCTATGTTAGATTCCTGGTAAAAAGCAAATGGCATCCTTAGCCAAGAACTTAAAAGAGCAAGTTTAATAAATGGAAATGTTTCAGAGATACAGGCAGGGTGCAGAGAACTAACAAAGAGCACTGAGGCATCCAGAGACTAGTAAAAGTGTGTTGTCACCCTCAGATGGGGTTGATGAGAGAAACACATTATCAGAACCCAGATGAGAGGCAGAACCACACAGAGGGGCATTTAGCAGAAGCCACAGTTATGGAAGGGTGCAGCTGTTGCTAGAACCACGGGAAAGCAAGAAAGGAACCAGAGAAGTAAGTACATCAACCTCTCTGTCCTCTACCTGCAGTCTCCTTTTAAAGTGTATCCTGTTGCCAAACTTGACAAAAATGGAATTCCAGAGATGCAGTCCATGAAGGTCAGTCTTCTGGGCTTACAGCAGGACAAACAATGGTAGCGCACACCATATTTTCCCACAATACACATTCTAGCTGCTTAGTAAATATTTGTTTAATGAATGAAATCCCAGATGAAAGGTGAGGAAACTTAGATTGGAGGCATTGTGTCTTAACTTTAAGAAACCGAGTCTTGGCTACTCTGGAACCATCATGGTTTATATCTTTCTGCCTTACATCTCTTGCTCCTTCAGATATAAAGGAAACCTCCAGCAAGGGGTTTCTTTCATAGTAAGCCTTTCTGTAATGATTCTTATATTGAAACCTGCAGGATTTGGTGAGATTGTAGGTTTATGGTGCTTACTAGATTAATATTTCCCTCCTAGTACTTGTGAAGGACAAGAATGCCATTAAATCCTCCTTTTCTTTTAGAGTTTCTACCCCTATCTTCAAACACCCATCCCTAGTAAAAGTAAATGTTGAATCTGCTAAGAATGATGTAAGGCAGAAATTTCTGTTTTAATCCTGAGATGCCTGGTTATCTTAATTGACTTCAAATGAGGGTACAGCATTATCATCAGCAGAAAAGAAAAACTGCTTCTGTGTTAGTCAATATCCATTCAGGAGGATAGAATCAGCTCTAGTTATGTCACACAGAGGAAATTTACACAGGACCTTGGCTATAAAAGCCTTGGATAATCTGGAATAACAAAAGGAGCAATTTGACAGTAAGTCTTACATTACTGCTCACAGTTACATCTCCAGTGCATGGAACAGTGCCTGGCATGCAGCATGGATTCAGTAAATATGTTTAGGACCTATGATTACTCTGGTGGGCAAGATTGGGACTGACAGCCTAAGGAAGACCCTGGTTGGAAAGCATTAAGACACCTGTGCAATGATTTGTAATTCATTGGATACAGATACGTGCTTTGGCATTTGGTAAGAAAACATGCCGAAAGTCTTCAGTTCAAAATCCATTAATGCATAACACATATTAAATATCTACTAGGTAGCAAGTACTGCTCTAAACACTTTTCTGAGCCTTTTGCAACATTATCTCCAAAATAACTCTATCATAATGCTTCATTATTTCCCATTTTACAGATGGGGATCAAACTAAGGCAAAATACTTTCAAGTAACATCCAACAAGGAATGGCAGAGCCAAGATTTCACACACGTTGTCTGGTTCTACAACCTATGCTTTTAATTTACATACCATGTATCTCTCCCTTGCTGGCGTCATGAAAGCTTAGCCCAATTTATTAGCTTTGTGTCCCATTACCCTACTGTTCCTTGGGGCAGTAGGTAGCCAGCTGTTTTCCCAACCTGTTGCTTTCTCTTTCTTCTGGGCCAACCCCAGACTGTATTTTCCAGGCTTTTGTCATGGTTGTTGTAGCTGTGTGAATGAACATTAGCCAGAGGAAGGTACACGGAAGTGATATGCATCCTTTCTAAGACTGGCTCATAAAACCTTCACACATGGTGCCATATGTTCTTTCTCTTTCCTTCAGCATGAGGAAGATGAGCATGGTGAACCAGGTGCTGGAGAGTTAAGAGTCACAAAACAGGAGCAAGGTATTGCTTGGAGAAGAGCTGAGAATCAATCAGACATCTTTACCAAATTATAAATGAATGAGAGATAAGCTTCTTTCAGCTAGAGTTATGTGACTCGAGCTGATCTACCCACTGTCCCTTGAACATGCCTCCAGATTTTGCAAATACTTTTACCTAGAATCTGTGTTTCCCTTCAATTACTCACATCCTAGAAATTATTAAAGGTCCAAACCAAGTCCAGTCACCTTCAGCAGCTTTCTTCAGCTTCCATTAGCCACAGTGATAACGACTGTCTCTCTCTCTCTCTCTCTTTGCTTCCTGCAGCACTTTGTTATCTATACCTTCCTTGGGCACTTATGGTGGCTTTAAATCTGCACATCTCATTTTTCTAGTGAGATTTGGAGCTTTTCAAGGTCAAAGATCATCTTTTCATGCTTTCTTGCATGACTCTGAAGTACACAGCATGGTGTGCATCCTGGGAATTTTCAATAAATATTCATGGGAGAAACAAACACAGATGTATTAAGTTCAATAAATCCATTTTCCTAAGCACAGTCCTGCACCGCTGAAGCATGACGGTATGTAAACTATAATTTACTGGATTTGATGTTTTTATTATTCTTCTCACCAGTATACAGATTCTAACACTTCCTGACAACTGCGTAGAGGAGACAGAAGACATGCTTATCAGATTTCAGATGGCACAGACTAGAAGTAATAAATAATGCACAAATGACAGATCAAAACTAGACAAGTTGGAATAAAGTAGGTAACATTAAAGAGAGATAACTATGAAATTAGATTTTTAAAAAGTCATCCAGCTTTAATATTGAAAGACAGAATTCACCAATTTATAAGAGGAGATTTTCAGGGTTTAATCGGTTGCTGGGCTGACACTAGCCCAGAGTGGTACACATGGTCCTGTTCATGTTAGGCTGAGGGACTAAGTGCCAGGCAAAATACTCAGGGGTCAGTGAGATACAGACATAAATGAAGATTGCTAGGTGAATAGGAGGTGGACATAGTGTTGAGTAAAGTCCACAGCAAATGGGGAGAACAAAGTCCTATTTTTTTTTAACATGAGTGAGCCCAGCATATGTGTCAACTTTCCCTTTTCAAATGTTGCTGGGAAGCCCCCATCTGAGGTTACCATTAACACAATATCTGACATTAACTAGTACTAGTAACACAGGTTATGTGGTCTGTAGAAATAGCACTTAATAGGTTTCAGAGGTTATTTTACTGTTGGTCCTATTGTCCATGGTCAGAGCTGTTTTTTACTCAAATCCCTCCATTTCAGAAGCCTAGAAAGGCTCTGATGGCATTTGTAACATCCCTAAGAGTCATCCCTAAAGGAGGGGAAAGAAGGCACAGCCCATCTTCTCTGAGCTTAGCTGGGACAACCTTCTAGGATGTGCAGATAGACTTGCTTCTAGAACTCCCACTTCCTAAAAGTTAGGATCAGAGTTCTGGCAAGAAAGCTGCAAGCTGGGCCTTGGCACCAGACCACTGAGAAGGGAACACAGTCCTAGGCAGCGTCAATAGAAGCCTGGCATCTGGAACAAGGGTGCTGCTAGAGTCCTTGGTGGTCAGACCAAACGGAAGAACTGTTGGTTTGGTTTTGTTTTCACCAGATATTGTGATTTTTAAAAGGATACAGGCAAATTGGTGTGTGTCAAAAAGTAGATGACCAGAATGTCTAAGTGACTTAGAAACTAAATCACCAGTTGCTCTCTGTGGTTCCCAGCTCCGGGACTGGAAGGGATGGGAGGGTGGGGGAGGTTGGTGAGGTGCTGTGTGTGGGTCAGCACAGATACAGCACCGGCTTTAGTAAGAGAACGCTATGGCACTGCCGCTTCAGGCAACGCCAGAAGGCAAAATTGGGACCAGTGGGATTAAAGCTGAAACTGAAGTGTTTTTTTAAAAACTTCACATCTCTTCAGAAGTGGAACAGACTGGGACAAAGCAAGGTTTAAAACATTCAAGTAAAAGACTCAATGCTATTTTAGGTGGAACTATGGAACATTAGGCGGGAAATTAGATAAGGAAGTTTCTAAGATTTCTTTCAAATTTAATATTCTACGACCTGAGCAATCATGAAGTGAGTAGTATTTTACAACACATGAGGGAGAAAGGCCATTGCCTTGGGTTATTTTGGAATCACACCCTCTATTTTGAAGATCACTCCTTAAAAAGTGCACAACAGTGGATTGTTTAATCAGGAATATATGAGGGAAGTTGAGGTTTGGTATTATGACGGAAAGGGCAGTCTCCGTGGGGCGAAGGGGCAGCATGGAGCAGCTGAGAAACGGTTCCCTTGGCTGTGATGCGCACGCTGGATACATCTGGGTTGGGGCTAACACGCTTGCTCCTTGCCTCCTACCTCTGTACACCATGAAGGTACATACCAGGTTTACACAGCTCCTGGGAACCGATTATCCTGGAGAAACTATTGGTTTTTATGTGTCTATTTCCCTCTATGATCTGTTTCTTGGACTGTTTCTTTTCCTCAGGAGAGAGAGGAACTACATTCTTTTCAAAATCTCGTGTGTCACATGAGGCAAGAGGTCATTTTTGTACAAAGTCGAGATAATGTGGACTCAAGCGCGAAGACAGAGTCTCAGGCTGGGGACCTGCCGGACGGTACCACACGCTGGGTAACCTGGGCCCAGGAGAGCGGGTACAGCTCCAAGTACTTATCCACCAGCGCTCGTTCTGTGCCCGCCCGCCCGCTCCCAGTTTCCAGCCTGGACCTCCGCCCTCGCCAAGTGCGCTCGGAGGGGCCGCGGCGCGCACCTGCGGGGACACGCACCCCTCGCACCCCCGCCCTCGCCCGGGCCCCGCGCGCCCTCCGCCCTCCGCCCTCGCCCGGGCCCGCTCCGAGCGCGGGGCCCGCAGCTCCAACTCGCGCGGGCAGCGGCCGGGCCCCGAGCGCCGGAGGGGGCGCGGGCTGCGCGGGGGCCGGCGCCCCGAGCACTGGGCATGCTCAGTCGCGCGGGCAGGGCTCCGGGCGCGAGCCGGCCCGCCGCACCGCATTCATCCGCTGCCAAGGGAGCCGCCGGGCGCTCGCAGGCTCGGCGCGCGCTGCCCGCCGAGGACCCCGCCGCCGCGCCCTCGCCGCCGGGAGCCATGGCCGGCCTGGGCCACTCCGCCGCCTTCGGCCGGGCCACCCACGCCGTGGTGCGGGCGCTGCCCGAGTCGCTCAGCCGGCACGCGCTGAGGCGCGCCAAGGGCGAGGAGGTGGATTTCGCCCGCGCCGAGCGCCAGCACCAGCTCTACGTGGGCGTGCTGGGCAGCAAGCTGGGGCTGCAGGTGGTGCAGCTGCCGGCCGACGAGAGCCTCCCGGACTGCGTGTTCGTGGAGGACGTGGCCGTGGTGTGCGAGGAGACGGCGCTCATCACCCGCCCCGGGGCGCCGAGCCGGAGGAAGGAGGTAAACTGCCCGCCTGCCCGGCGACGCGAGGGGCGCGGCCGGGGACGCGCGGGGCCCTTCCGCCGCCGGGCCGCGCAGCCGGGCAGGCAGCCGCGCCCCCGCCCCCCGCGCTGGTTCACAACTTCCCGGGGGCGGGGGTGTGCTCGGGAGCGGAGGGAAAGTTCATCGTTCACGCCTCCCGGCGAGGGCTGGCGCGGACTCGGGCAGGTGGGTGGCACGAGCACCCGTCGCCCGGCCTCGTCCTTGTTAACACTAGAGCTCGGCAGACACGGCGCGCCTCGGAGCGCGTCCCACGGAGCGGGCCCGAGTGGGGTGTAGTTCAGGCGGCCGAGTGGGGGGCTGGGTGCGCCCCCCAGCCGGGGCGGGGGCGCAGCGCCGGTCGGTGACCCTGAAAGTCCTGCCTGTCGCTCGGGGCAGGGCGGGCATGGAGCCGCAGACCTAGGGTGTCCCGAGTTACTTTTTAGTGGTGGCAAGTGAATCAATCTCTGAGAGCAGTGAATGAATTTAAGGAGAGCGTTTTGTAGGTGAGCTGTAGTGCGTGTGTGTGTGTGTGTGTGTGTGTGTGTGTGTGTGAGAGAGAGAGAGAGAGAGAGAGAGAGAGAGAGAGAGAGAGAGAGCGCGAGCAGGGTTTGAAAAGCTGTACTCTGGGATGTTGGGTGTGAGTATTTAATTAGAAATGGTTGTTTCACAAGTTCCATAATTTTTATTCTCTTTTGAAACTCATAGCAATTAAGAGGGCTTTTTGTGTTCTCAGGGGATAGTGATTACTTTACAATAGTACATGAAAATGGCTGTGATTGCTTGAAAGACAATGTAGGTTAGTGGGGAGAGACAAGCAGTGAGATTAGGTTTTAAAATGCCATCTGGCTTGGGATTCTTCACGTTGCCCGTTAAGAGCCCAGCTCAAGACTCTGTTGCTGTTGGCGTCCAGACGCAGGTGGTTTCTTTCATATCTGAGGGTTGAGGGATGTTTTTCTATTTTATCTTTCTTCACTTCACTCTGGAAATACAAAGAGCTTTTGATTTAAATACGCTTTTTCTACACTTTCTTCTACTGGGTTGACGGAACCCTACAAGACCTGATAATACACACATCCATTTATCTCTTACAGAGATAAATAAGCTTTTTTTCCTAACCTATTGAGGCAGAAAACCAAAACAAGTAATTAATGGATCTTAATCTCCTGACCACACCTTTCTACCTTTTCTCTATAAAATGCTGTACTAAATTTTTTTTTTTTTTTTTTGGTATCTGGAATTGAACTCATGACCTAGTCCTTGCCCTGAAGGTGCTATATCTGCAGTGCCCCACACTGTTTTCAGCTGATCAGGAATGTAACCCCACTTGAATATCTCTAATGGGTTCCAGACCATATGGCAGAGCTGTGGTTTGTATTTCACAGACCAAAACAAGTTTCAAAAATCCTTTTAAAATGGTACTCATTAGATGAGTGTAGTCCAGTTTGCTCCCGAGAGGCTGGCCCCATACTTCCTCATCCATTTTTTTGTTCACCTAATAAAACTTTCCAAGTCTTGGACTTATTGATACAAAAGCGAGCAATGATCTTTCTCCCTTCCTGTGATTTCAAGGCCCAGAATTTGACTCCACCCTGTCGAGCCACTGCCAAAGATCACATAATGCACTGGATAAGAGTATTTGGCTGAATCTCAGCCCCATCACTCATTCTCTGATCTTGGGGATGTGTGTCTTGCCTCAGTTTTCTCCCCTAGAGGGTGGGTATAGTAATGGCTACTTCATAGAGCTGCAATAAACTTATTAATCTTCTTCAAACAGGGCATTTAATTAAAGCTGACTGTTGTTCAGTAGACAGTGGCTCATGGCCTCCATGAGTTAATAGCCAGCCACATACCACGTCACTAACTTGGGTCAGTCATCTTCATGCTTCAGGCTTCATTTTAATCTATGACACTGCCTCTCAGCTCCGATCTGTGTGTGTCTTTGCTGTCAGACGTGATCTGGGTCACCGGGGCATGAGGCCTTAGGAATATGGGCGGCACTGGATGGATGCTCTGAGAGCAGGGCAATGCAGGGGCAGTGCTCTTTGAAATCTCTCACAGCAGTAACCTGCTGCCTTGCTTGTTGAATAAATGAGTGAACAAAATGCTAATTAGCTAATTTAGACACGCTGATAGTAACTTGAAGATCCTTTTCAGATTTTTATACAGTATGTATTTTTTCACACAACACCTGACTTCAGAACTGAAAATTCACAGCAGCTAAGGAGTTATTTTAAGATGCTCATCACTGATCTCTGCCTTCAGTTTCTTCACATTCCACTGCATTCTGCACTGTAGCCGGCTGGTAGTTTAGAACTCAGATCTGATCTTGTCCCTCCACTGACTAACACTCTTGAGGAGATCCCGGTTGAGCTGGGCTCTGCCTGCCTTTCCAGCGTTAGTGTCAGCTCTAACCTCACACAAAGCATCTCCCAGTGCTTGGTCCACGGCAGGTACTTTCATACAAGTACTTCACGCTGGTTTTTTCCTGGACACACATTTTCCCTTATATGGCACACACTCACTCACACCTTTCTTCCTGTTACCTGGCTGCCCCTTCTCAGCCTTTAGTTCTCACTTACCATCATTTTATTAGCTAACATTTTTGGGGTGCTTGCTATTTGCCACAAACTGCCAAACCTCTGATAAGTATTTCACAAGTTTTTGAGTTCAATACTATCATTACCCTTATTTTAAAGTTGATGAAACTGAGGCTTAAAGACATGAAATAATTTGGCCAGTGTTACAGAACCAGTGAAACCAAGATTTGAACTCAGGTTTGCTGGATTTCAAAGTTCTGATCCCACCTTCTGTGATATTAGACATTATCTTTCCAGTTCCAGTTGGTTCTTTATGACCTCCTAATAACCCTTCATACTGTGTATCTGTTTGTATACCTCACTGTTATGTCAACTGCTAGGACATGTTTACATTGTTCAACATTTTGTTGGCATACAGTAAACATTTTGTTGAACAAATGTTCCTACGACTTTAGGTCAACTGTGGTTCTCCCGCTGCATAACATAATTTTTTCATACAGGTATTTTACAATGGGTAGTGTTCCAGAAGTTCAATTATTAGCAGAGGTGGGTTGTAATTCTCTTCATTTTCATGTCTCTGTCTCTTGTTGTTTTGTTTTTGTAACAATCTTGAAATGTTTCTTCTTAATCAAAATTCTATTTAGTAATTCTTTTCCCTAGAAGAAAGAATCAAATTTAAGAAATTACTCCTGTAAGAGCCCAATGTTTGCCCCAGTGCAACCTCTAGAGATTTATAAAACTCAGGCCCCCTGTGAAAGAGGCATAAATGAAGGAATTTATGCTCAGAAAATCAGTAAATCAGTGATAATGTTTGTTGTCTACTATGATTCCAGACTCAGGACTATTATTATGTTTGATGTTCTAAAGACAGAGTAACCTTGAGAAGTCTATCATATTCTAAATGAACGCAGGTTACTTTTTAGGGTTTAAAAAAACCAATGTCTAAATGCCCAGACTCTGTAAACAAGTTATGTATGATATGCAATAGGACAAGGATTAGGGTATGCGGATTGAGTTTAAAAAAAGATTACAATTTTTGTATAGCTGACAAACACCTAGAGGACCAAATCGAAAAGGTATCGGAGAATATCCAGTGGAAGTCAGTTTCCCCCACCTCCGCTCCTACAGCGGCTCCCCTCCTTAAAAGCAGCCACTAATCCTGTATTCTTGAGTTCCTTCCAAAAGGATTTTGGGACCTAGTAAATGATTAAGTGGCAAAATCTGCTGAGACAAAATTGTGAAATGTATTCTATGTCCTTGTGCCCCTCTTTAAGAGTGCTTTTATTTTTCCCAGGCACAAGGTATTACTACGTGGGATAATTCTATTTAGGAAAAAGATCACACAAACACACTCTCACGAAGTGATAAGAGCTTTAATTCTTCCCTTGATCATTCTCATTCTTAAGGAAGAAAACAGTGCTTAACACATGGTAATAAATCCCAAATGAGATACAGGCATCAAGTGGTGGAACAGAGACGTAAGTGAAAAAAAATGAGCAGTGTATGGTTAGGCAGATTGTCCCCTTTTATTAGAGTAACTGTTAGGACCTACAGATTTTGTCTGTGATTAGAAATAAGCATAATGATGTTGATCCCAGAGGCAAGGTGAACATCAAGATCATACCTAATAGCAGTAGCTAACAAATGCCAAGTTTTAAGAGTGTGTGACCCTAAAAGATATCATTACTGTTGGCACTGTTTAAAAACTAAGGAGAGTGAGCAACTACAGTTAAGTGACTTGACCAAAGTCACACAAAAATAATAAGATACAGAAATGAGGTATTCAAGAAAAGATCATTTTTTTGCTTGAAGTGTTTACTGTCAGTTGTAGTTAATCTTAAGCATTACATAGATCTAGATTAACTACTTGAGTCCCACTTTACATGTCAATGATAAATAATCTACATGGGACATTAACAAGCATTTTAATTCTTTTTTCTCACAATGAGAAATCATTCTTGACATAATTTAAAAATATTCAGTCATCACACAAACCTCCTAAATTGGGCAGAGTTTGTGCATCACTGTGTCTTATTTCCTAGTGGAGTGGGTGTTATCTTTTTAAATGCACATTTCGTCAAACTTCTGTTTAACTTCAAGTAAGGATACTGCCCTAAAACATAATTAGAAATCACACTGGCTGTCAGGGAGATGGGAAGTGATGTGCTGGAGGCTCTTTACATGGCAGCAGATTAAAGGTTCTGGATAAATTGTCACCTCCAACTGGTTGGAACAGCTGCTCCTTTTCAAGATGTTTCTTTTTCAGCTTTTCTGCGTGGCCTTGACAATAACATTTGGAAATTGATATGTCTCAGAAACTGGGATGCATCCAATAATGTAATCTATTGCTACACTTGATCTTAAAAGCCTTGAAAATAAAGAATGAAATGATGAGCAGGGAGTGACTTCTATTAGACACTATTAACTGAAAATGAGCTTTCTGTGGAGGTTCTTAGAATCATTAGAGAATCATTATAAGACTAAGAAGACAGGTCTGGATCCCTTATAATTGAGGTATACTGGAAAATTGCTTTTGCATGTATTTGAATTCTTATTAAGCTCAAATTTCTTCAAAATTACTTTTGTTATAGGAATGGTAAGTATCCCTCCATTAATATAAACCAGACTGCAGAAAAATCTACTTGAGACTTTGGAATAAACAGATTTACCTTCCACTGCCTTTGTGTCATAGATAAATAATTATAGTATATATTTATACCCTCAACATAAATTTGGGGATGCACATTTTAAAAATGAGTGCTGGTTATTGTATATTTTGTTATTAAAATCTGTAATCACTTCAGAAAGCCTCATTTTCTGCATGGAGATCTGGATGCAGGGTAGTATTCATTCTCTCTTATCAATGACCATCACAATTACAGATACAATAACTAAAACCTTAACAACAGAGGAAGGTTTTGTTCTTACACAGAACACACAGTATCATTCACTCCAGGTCGTCTATAAATGTTTATTTAGCATAGCAGAATCCTCTAGTGATCCGTTAAAATGCTCATCTGACCTTTGGAGTTAGCTTTTTAAACTGATATTAGATATTAAATCTGTCAGTGTCCTCAAGCTCCTTTTATAACCAGACACTTTTCATCCAAATAGACATGCAGGAGTAAGCTCAAACAACAAATCGCATTAAACTGTGTGCGTGTAATGCCACCCTTGTTTACTTTGTCATTGTCAAGTAATTTAATAAGGTCCATTATCTTCCTGAGCTCAGTGCTGAAGGATTGGTAGCATCTTATAGAAAAAGAATAAATTTACGGACTTCAGGTTCCTTTTTTTAACTGTCTAGAACCTTCAAGCAAGTCAGCATGGCAGACAGAGTACAAAGATTAAAGCGCAAATGATTACAGAGTTGGTTTAATTTTAACCAACAAATCCATGTGGGCTAGAACTTGACTCAATTTAGGTTAGAAAATTAAAGGGGATGCAACATTTAAGCTGCTTTTACAGCTGGATGGGCTTGTAGAGATAAGTTTTCCTCTCAATAAATATACAATAACATTTTGAGTTAAATATGTCTACCTAAATAAACCTTTGCTTTCGTTAAAAATATTTTTGTCTGGTTTTCTTTGTTCTTGTATTGATTAAGAAATATTAAAGTTTTCTAATTTTGTGTGATAGTAATTACAAGTGTGATGACTGCATTAAAATGACTTTTTAAAAACAAGGAGAGGGTAATTGTATCACTCATAAATGTTTGTATATTCAGCAAGTGTCTATTATGGACCAGACCCAGTGTTTGGTGCCTGGGGGATCTAGATGAATTATACACATCTACTGCCCTCAGTGACCTTACAGTACAGCGAGGGAGGCAGACAAGTGTCAGACCCTGGCAGAACAAGGGGATACGCATACTGTGACAGGGCTTTGTTGATACGGAAGCTCACAAAATGTGTTTGTTTTGTGTCAGAGCTTCTAGAAGGAGTAATTATTTTATGTGAATTAACAAAATCAAAGAGGGGCAGCCTTTCTAGATATGGAGAATGCAGTGGAATCAAATGGGAGCAACTGTCCAGTGCAAATGAATTTTATTAATATTGGGAAAGATGCAGAATTTTTAAAAAAAAACCCTGCTCTCTCAGATCGCTTGAGATTTTGATTCTAGCTTCCCTGAGAGAACCACATCCATATGATATTTCTGGTTTGGGGCCTAGCATACTCCATTTCTACATGTACTTTCCTGTTTTACCCCCATGCTCTGTAAGGATTTGGTCAAGATTTCTTTCAAGATTCCTAACTAGCATAGTTTGGTGGACTATATAGCTCCCCATCCTAGAGTGGACCAAAGTCCATTTCAAGACTGAGACTTATTTTCTGAGGTTTCCATTTAAATTCTGGAAAGTTATTTTTTTTAGTTCTGTAAATTATTGGTGCATTCTTTGCTGGGCAATCATTTTTTGTTGTTGACCCAGGATTTCCCACATTAGAAAGCATGGCATGCCATAGTGTATACAACATTTCCCATGTCAGTGGCAAGTAAGAAGAAACTAATTCCTGTTTGGTGATGAAATTTGTCTTTACTCATAGACTCTTCATCTTGACAGTAAATTGGCATTGACTCCCACAGTTATATAAATTAAGGGCAGCCTAAGGTGAGTGTGCATATTTAATCATGGGATGAACTTTTGCACGGCATAGGAGGCAGTGTAATGGCGGGTACAACACTACCTTGGAGGTCAGGAGATGCTGGTTTTGATTTTTGAAGTGATGTTAAGGTAGATAGTCGTCTCAGCATGAATATAAGAACACTTTCAAAACTTTGGTTGTGCTGAGATAGAAAATGCAGGGTGGAAAAGGATAAAGAGAGGGAAAAATGTTTGGGGAGGTGATGAGTGGGGACTGGAGCCTGATGAATACAGTACTGAGTTTTCCTCAACTCAAGATATTATTGTTATTATACCTAACCAGTCATAGAAACTCATGTCTTACTAATGATAATCCATCAGGAGAGGAAGCTGGATGTTCTAAATGTATTTTGAAAGTTCTGTTTACTCAACCATTTATGGCACATTTGGTAAGTGTTTTCCTATGGAAGACTTCAAATAAAAGCCATTGGAATGGCATAAAATCTCTACATCACTTGATTTCTACCATCACACATCACTCTTGTCAGTGTCAACCAGTTGGTGTTTCTGTGGTTAATGAAGTCATTAGTCTAAAGAAATGGAGAGCAAAGGGTAATTAGATACGTGCTTTAGGTTGAGCTTTCTCTTGTAACTAAAGTCTTTATTTTCCCATGCGGTTCTTTATTCTAAACCTTCTATAGATGTCATCCTGATTTTAGGCTTTAACTTTTTTCTTCTAAACTTTTCTCTTCTAAAACTTCATGAATTTGTTTTTTCTCAGTGAAGACAAAAACGTGAAAGATATCCATTTAAATGTAGCTTTCTATAATTGGGCATGTACATATTAAGATTGTTAGTCCAGTGGGATATGGATGTGCTTTTTTTATGTGACGATTCTCTTGTGGTTAGCCTACTCATTTTTTGTCTGAAGTGATTCAAAAACTGAAATTAGCAAGTTTATCTTGGTGAAGTTACAAAATAATAAACATAGAAGACAAACACATACATTTTATTCTTTTAATTATTACTTTTTGAGTCATAAGGGAACCATCACTTCTGGAAGGAAGAATAACCTAACTGCAGTTTGATTTTGAATTGTGTCTTAAACCATTTTTGATGGTAATTATATTTTCCAGTTCCAAAGCTTTGTGTGGAGACATGTAAAGCTAGTGCCTTATTTTAAAGGACCCAAGCTGTTTTTGGTCTTGCTTTTGGTGTTTTTCTAATTTGTTGTCTGCTGTCTTAGTCCTGTATCAAGGGTGCTAATGGATCCCAGCACCCCTTTCTCTGAAAAATAATATTGGGAGGTGGAGGGACCCTAGTCAGAAAGGTCCATGATTACTTCATTTTTCCCTATGTTATTCTCAAACAAAGTATCTGTTAAGGCTTTAGGCTGTTCTAGTCTCCAAGTTTTCCCAAGCTACCTCAAAAAACAAAACAAAACAACAAACCAAACAAAAACAATTTATGATGAGAGCACAGCTTCGAGGTAAGGCTTTTATACCATTTGTCTGTTTTCCCCCAATGGTGCTTCTCCACCCACTGATGGGTCAGTGAAGTCAAGTGAGTGGGTCATGAGACCATTTATTTTTATTGTATTAGAATTAATAAAAATACCAGCACGTATTACAACATAGCAAAGGTATCGTTTCATGAAATTGGATTCATTTGCATACATTTTGTATTTGTGTATGTGCTGTTTCAGTAAATGAAATGTATTTTTAAATCTATGTACTGGTGAGAAAAGAAATGTGAAAATCCATTGCATTGTCTTTCGGTCAGATCATATGATCAGCCTCTTCATAGAAATCGTGGAGGCTACATCTGTTGACCTGGTAGGTTGGGGGAGCTCATGGTCTCAGCACTGTTGCTTGTGCATATAAAGTCGTGTTTGATTTCCACTCACTTGGATTGGTTCCTTTCAGTGATGGTTTCCTGGCTGTTTGGGCCCCTGACTGGTTTAGTATCCCTAATTCTGTCTGCCCTGTATGAATTCTTTCTTTCTTTCTTCCCTTACTTTCCCTTCCCTTTCTCTCTATATTTCTCCTTTTTCTTGTTCTTCCTCCCTCACCTCCCCCACTTCTTTCAGCTCCAGCATGTCCAAACAGAATGTGCTAAACATTGTAATTGTTAGGTGATTCTCAGATTATGGGCCAGAAGCCTAGAAGTGGCCTTGAAAATCAGTGGGTTTCACTGTTTTTCTTCATACGCCTTCAACATTAAATAGGTGGAAATCAGCCTTTAATTAAGAGTGGCCAAAGGAAAATTCAGTTTCTCCCTTAAGTAACTCATTTTTACAAAATTGGTTGGGGAGAATGCCCTTTAAGTATGAGACATTGCACTAAAATATAGATTGGAGTGTGTGTAGGTGATTGTTTGGTGATGAATTAGTCTGTGACGAGAGGAAATGGAGTATCTGACTTTTCAGTGGTTACTCCTGTTTTCCAGCTGAGCAGCCTACTACTAGGAGCAGACTGTACTCCCTGGCATAGCTCATTAGTCCATCCAAAAGGAGTGCTCCAAAGATTTTGGTGAGAGATACTGGTGATCAATGAAACATGGCTATGACTAGAGAAATCGTGTGGCTGTAGAGAAAGCCCTGGAATTGTTCAACTTGGAGCTGTGATGACGTGAGAAAAATGGGCAGTGTGATTTTCATGTTCAGGTCTGCAGTTTTCTTTGTGAGCTGGGCTGGATAACTGAAGGCTGAATACTTTGCAAGAAAAGTAAAGACTAATATTTCTAAACCAAGCCCCAAAGAACATCCTTACTGAAGAGGTGGGGTAATATGAATTTAGACTGTTTTCTTTTGAGACAAAGGTAGAAAAGCATACCAGAGCCAGCCTGTTGGCCTCAATACAGCTGAGGGTCAATTACGATTCAATACGTGCTCCCTGAAGTACTCTCCGGCCTTGAGGTCAGCCTGATGACTGGAATTGCTACTGTGCTGTGGCCTGTTTCAACACACGCGCACACACAGCATTCACACACATTTTGAATCAAGTATAGATAAAATCAGTTTTTTAACAATGCCTTGTTTGTGGGTAGTACTTAGTGGTAATGTGGGTCATCCAAACTGCTTAGAGGAATTATTGAAGTATGTTATTTTGGTGTTGCTCTAGACAGCAGAGATTTTTTTTAAGACGAAATATGCTTTCTCACTGGGCTCTTTTAGCCTGTGATGCCCTTTATGCAGGTTCCCTTTCTCTTGGGATGTGCTTTCTGGAGCTTTTCATGGAGGAGAAAGAATGCATGCAAGTGCTGGAGTGTTTGGACTTTCCTTTGCCCTTCTTTTCTAGGGGAGTTTCCACAACAGTATAGATTGGTCCTTACATTCTGTGTCTGGCTAGTGATTTTCAGATGACCAATTTCAACTCATAAATTGATCACAAAGTCACCCTAGTGGGTCACTCCTCTGCCTTTGTTGTAAATGAGTCAGACTAAGTAGAAAATATCAGTGTCTGCGTACTCACGGTACAGCCAGGTGCTGTTTCCTGTAACCAGTATTTATACACAGACACGTATATATTCGCTTGTATGTTTGCAGATCATAAAGCAAATGAAGTGTGTTTCTTCCTGTGGGTCATTTTCAAGAGATTGGACACAGTTACAAAAACAAAACATAAAGCAATACCATCATTTTAGTTCTCACTGCCATTCTTTGCTGTTTATAGAAACTGCATGTGTCAAAGGCATTTGATCTCCATTGAGTAAATAGGCGTTTCTTTCTAAGGGCACTGGGAATTTTATTACCAAGGAGAAAGGTAAAGCCACTCATCTAAATGTAGCAAAATGTAGAAGGTGGCAAGGAAGAAAAGAAAAACAGTGTAGGTGGAAAGTCGAACTATTCCAAGTGCGTAGTTATTTTCATGTATCAAGGACGCTGTCATATTAACCACATTGAATATTTCCATGCCTTACAAGTGGTGTCCATTTGTAAATTGAATTATAACCTTGTAATATTGTAGCCCAATACAGCAAGTGTTCAGAAAACATGGGAGCCCAGTACGTTTTCATGTTTTGTTGACGTGAGTCTGATTCTCACTTCTACTCCTCCTTGCTCCCTACTCTTCTGCCCACCTGCATCTTCAGTCTGCCTCTTCCTCAGCCTCATTTTCACTCGAGGAGCCAAATCAGCACAGGTCCTCCAATCCTCATCACTGCCAGTGTCTCACCTCTCACACAACCCAGGTATGGGGAGATGCTGCTAAGCTGGCTCAGGTGGTAGGCTGCTTGAGCTGTGGCTTTCTCTGCTTTTTCATGTACGTGAGTTCTGGAAGAAGACTGCTACAGATTCAGATTGTGGCTCCACTGATGTAGCTATGTGGCTTTCAGCAAGTCGAGCTTCACTTTCATCATCTCTAAGAGTCGGGGTGGTTTTGACTCATAGCTTTATACTGTGTAAGATACCAAGCAGTACCATTGCAAAGTACGTCTTCCATCAGTGATCAGTCCTTCCTCTTTCTGCTTTACCTTAACAGACGGTCATTGAAGCCCCTCAGGACCGAAGCTCTGCTGTTCTCTTGCTGTTTTTTCTCCCTGCAATCTAGAGACCTGCATCCCTTAGGGCGTGTGTGGTCTGTCCAGACTGAGACTGTCCAGTAGTAGGATTCACAGTGTTACAGGTTGGACCTGTACCAACCCCTCCTGAATCATACTATGAAGCTGAAAAGACTACTGGGCACATCTGCTAGAGCCTCAGCTGGCAGCGGGCAAATTACTCAACACCCAAACTCTACCAGCCTCCACACCAGCTCATATTCTTAGAAGGAATTATCAACTGAATTAAAAAATGCTGCCCTCTCTGTAATTCTTTGTCATCATTCTGCTGTTCTGAGTGAGTCAGTACTTAGGGAATTTCTGCCAAAAACCACACGTACACACAGGCATGTTAAAAAAAAAAAAAACTAGCATTTGATCTTGAACTTATTGTATATGGACATTTAGATTTGAATTCATCATTTGAATTTTACACATTAAATTTGTTTTCCATTTTTTAGTATTTTTAAATATTCTCTTCTTTTACAAGATAGAATTCCACCTGGAATTGAATCTTGGTTCTACTTCTCAATTACATCATCTCAAGCAATTCACAAGTTTCAGTTTCCTGTAAAATATCTTTCTGTCTTCTTCTCAAGGATGTTGAAGATCAAAGTGTCCTGATTATTGTGCTGTGCAGAGGTGATTACAGTGGTAACATTGTTATGAGTGTTATGTTATACATAATGGTAATAGTAACATGATTCATACCCTGGGGGAAACCAGGGTATTCTTAACAATATTTCTGAGGAACTAGATTTGACCAATGACCCTTGCACAGTATACTATGAGAGCAATCTCTGACAGCCATGGGAGCAGGTTTCTGTTGGAAAGTTTCTATCGACCATTTCTGATATAGCACTTACTAACAAGGAAACTTGTGTGAAAACATTTTGGTTCAGTTGTATTATTCCTGTAAATTACTTCTATTTCTTTCACAGTAATTGTTGAGTGCCTGCTCAATGTAAACTGATAAAAAAAAATTACGATCCCTATTCTGGAGAAACCTATAGTCTTCGGTGTAGGAGGGGTAAATGTAAATAATCACAAATTATGTACATTTGTGGTAAGCATTGCAGAGAAAAAGGACAGTTTGTCGCTTAAAGCTGTAAAAAAATTAAGAGAGAAAAGTATATTAAGAGGTTTACCTTCAAAGGGCCTGAGAATCAGCTTTTATATGAGACCTCTTACAAAAATGTGTATTGACCAAATGATAAATAACTGATATAATGTGTTACAGAAACTTTCCCCAGGCAATAAATAAATGAGTGGCATCAACCAACTGCTTCACTGAAAGTCTTGAAAGCTCTTCCTTAAGTGCTGTGCGGCTGAGGGCTAGCCAGTGACCATTGCGAGCTCAGTAAATTGGAGGCAATGCTGCACCCAGTTAGCCTCTATTGCTGCAGTTTAAATGAAGAAATGAGAGTGAAGATAGTCTTGGTGCAGGGCCTGGTGCAGGTCTTAAGTAGCTGTGCTTCTGAATGTGCCTGGATTCCCCCCACCCTGTTCTAAGGAGCTAGTTGGCAAAGGAGACCCAGGAGGAAAGCCTTGTAGCTAGGAGAGACACAGAAGAATAAACTGTAGCCAGAATATCTCCACTACAGGCAGAATTTGGGAGTTAGTTGGATTCCAAGCAGATACATGACTACCATTTATTGTGTTCTCTGTTTTCTGCTTTGTGTACTCTCCTTTATCTCTGCACTGCAATAACCCCAGGTTATGACAGGAAAACAGAGGAGAGGCTACAATGCCTTACTTAAGGTCAAGTAATTAGTAAGCAGTTGTATTAAGCCATTGTGTGTTGCTATAACAAAACTCTGGGTAACTTACAAAGTAAGAGATTTGTGTTCTGGTGGCTGGAGGGTCCAGACATCACTGGTGCCAGCATCCTGGTAAGGCACCCTCGCTGTGTCATACTATGGAATGCAAGTGTAACCAACTTGCAGAAAGGGCACAGTGTAAGCAAGGAATTGAGAACCCAAAGAAGACTCCAGCCTACTCAACATAAAAGCCCACTGTCTGGGGAGTTAATTCTATCATATGTGATTCCCTTGAGACATCATTAATCCATTCTTGAGGGTAATTGTGACCCACTCACCTCCCATTAGGATTGACCTCTTCTTAAAGGTTCTGTCATCTCTTGGCACCATCACACTGGGACCCAGCTTCCAGAACATGAACCTGTGGGGGACGTACTCAAGCCATACACCATAACCATACCAGGACTGAAGCGAAGTGAACAACAAGTGATCCTGACTCCAAAGCCATTTTCCCACTATGCCAGAGAGAAAGCATGAACCATCATGCCAGTCAGAGAATTTGCATTAGTGAGACTCCCTGATAAACATACCATAGCTACAGGCTTGATGCTCCCCAGGGGCAGCCATCCATCTGTCAGTGAAGATTGAGAGGGAAAGGGTTCTCTTGCTAAAGACAGCGTTTCAGCTCAGTGACTACCCGTCTCACTGTCTCTCATCCATAGGTCTCGATCAGAAACCTCCACCCGGGAGAACCACAGAAGGGCTGACACTGTCTCTACCCGTGCTTTTTAGTCCAGGCTTAATATTTACTGGGAGAGGTCTGTTTCAAATAATTAGCCAACTTATGGAGAGAGCCTTGATCTTAAGCAGTAAGCACAGGACAGCGTGGTGGAGAAAGATCTGAACAGGAATGGTGGGACTGTTTCAGCTTCAGGAAGGAGCCTGCCCTAACAATATGGAGTAAAAAGCAAGGGTTAATTCTGTCTTCACATCCACACTAACTCTTGCTGCATCTCCCCTCATAGCTGATCAAAGAGAAACTTACATGAAAGCCAAATGAAAGTTGAGACACAAATTGTCACTATTCTGGAAACATATTACCCTAACCCTGTGTTTCTTAGTAATACAGGCTCTTAGTCAGCTATACACATAGTAACACAAACCACAATGCAAGCAAGCTATACCTTACTAATTTTTGTGCCCCCTAGTCTTGGTTGAGGAAGCAGGGAAGCACACAGAGGTGTGGTTGCTGTCCCTGAATGTGAGGGGAGGGGCTAGATGACATGCTTTGCTTCAGGTCCCAGTCTCCCTTAGTCCCACACCTGAGACACCTCAGTTTTGTGATGGCTTGGGTAAGCCTTTGGCTCCTGACCCTTTTCTCTTCAGTCCTGCTCTTGGCTTGGGACCAATGTTACCTGTGCTCAGCAAAAACTGTGAATGGATTACTCGTGATGTTGCTCCTGTTTGTGTGTCTCTGATTTTGTTCTTATGTATATTCCATCTCTCTCCTGGATTTTCGGCCCTATAGGTACTGCCTCTGGCCAGCTTCACCTTCCGGGCTCTGCAGTCTGTCTTTCTCTAGCACCACCACATTTCTTCTCAACCTTCTAGCTTTACCTCCAACTTGTTCCTAATCCATGCTTTCCAGAGATTCAGCCCTACCTGCTCGGACTTCCAGCAATAAAATATGCATCTTTCTTGTACTTGGTTGCAGTTTTCAGGTTCATAGATCCCCTCTAATGTGAACCACCTCCTCACAGTTAATTTTTTAAAATTCACAATAAACAGTAACATTATCATTTATGATGTACAGTTTGTTTGCACCAGCACTGTAAATCCATCATCCTTAACCAGCTGTCTTGGCCCTATTCCAAGCTCAGGAAACAGTCTGGCTATTAGCAAAGGAAATAAGGGCCCCTCTGGCCGGTAGGTTAGTTGATCAGCTTCATCATTTCTGCTGTTGACTCTGCCCCAGTATGACCCTTGCTCATTTCATATTCTCAAATTGTGCCCGTGGTTCCACTAATTGGGTTTACACCTTGACCTGCTTTGCTGATTTCCTGCCTAGATCTTTCACACAAGATCCCAAGACTGACTCCTACTCCTTGCAGGAGAGAATCATCGAAATTTCCTGCCAGGACCTCTGGTGCCACAATCTGCCAGCCTTCTCAGACATCTGCTTGGTGAACGTTTTGGGCCAAACACTAACCTGCTTCGTACTGAGCTGTGCGTACCATCCAGGCCCCATCTACTGGAGCCTCTTAATTGCCAGCTGCCATTCTTCCCACAATTAGAACCACCCCTGGTGACTGGTCCTCTGTGGGTGGACCATTCTACTGATTAGACTCAGATCCCGCATGTGCTTTCATTTTTTCAAGTATGTATTTGGTTCATTCTGTTAGGAAGTTTGGGGAAAGGTGATTCGACGAAAGCATAACCTTAATTTTCCTTCTTTCTCGTCTCTGATAGCTGTCAATTAAAAGATGCTTTTATGGTTCACTGTAATGAAGAAATTGTTCTTGGAACTCTCACTAAACTGACTTTTGTGTAATTTAGTACAATGGAATTTGCTGGGTAGAAAAGTGATTTTACTGTGTTTAAATAAGTTAAAAGATGGTAATCTCTGTTGTCTAAAATGTTTTCGCGGCTTTCCTGTGTTTTACGTTATTTTCTGCAAAAGAAAAATTATTCACATTATTGTCATTCATACAGTGCAGAATTGAACAAAGGAAGTGATACAAATCCTTGAGCAGAAAGGTCAGTAAAATCACTGGTGAGTCCTGGGCTGTAGTAGAGTGAGGAGCCACTGTGGGTGCTGAGCACATTTCTTCAGAGGAGACACCAGTCACCCGTGTGGAATTTTTCTTCTGAATATTTTGATGTAGAGAGCAATGGAAGGATATTTTGAATATTTTGATGGTAGAGAGCAATGGAAGGATATTCACTTATAAACAAAGGCAGGGGTACAAGGAGGAAATGAATACTTCAGAGTACTTCACAGAACTCTAACCAGATTCTCAGAACTGTTCACTTTCCATAATAATTCCTGCCATTCTTTGTCTTTTAGAACAGAGGTAATTGAGAGAATTAAAGAACATGTTAGGAGGCTAAAAATACAAATTCTGATTGGTGATCCCGATAACAAGTTACAAGAGTAATAGACCTTGATGTTCCAACAAAAAAGGATAATGACAGTTCTGGCTTCCAATTAGAATTGGTGGATATTAACTGCTGAACATAAGGCACTGTAGAAGTCTCCCACATCTTCCTCAGGTTAATTAAAATAAGTGACAACTACAGGAACACAGCCGTCTCCTTGTTGATTGAGTGTGAAGGAAGAAGGTAGTTTTTGCAAAGGAGAAATCATTCCCATGCTTCCATCAAGGATTCTCCTATTGATGAGAAAATTCAGAGAGCAAAGGCCAGTCTAACTTTTGGTTAACATTTTGCATAACTCAGAATGATTAACTCTGCAATTCCTGGTAATTCAGTTCCTGGTGGCTGAATTTGAATCTTTGGCAAGTCTTGAAATAAGATTTGCCTCCAAGCTAAGACTAGCTGTCATATTACTAGGTCAGTGATTTTACATTCTAGTCAGATTTTTTTTTTTTAGGTTACAAATAACCAAGAACTATCTGTGCCTGCTGCAAAGAAAAGGAGGAAAGTTACACAGTGAGACTTAAATTGAAACAGCAAAACCAAGAAGACCATGGAGTTTCTCTCATGCTGTCTCTTCTTTTTATGTGTCTCCATTTTGTTTCCTCATTCATAATGTAAGCTTCCTTTTGGCCTACTCAGGGTCACATGGGCCTATATTGATTTTTTTTTACCCAAGTGTTCAAGTCAAAGGCAGCCAGTCAGCGTGTAAATACACTTGTTTTAGGTCAGGGGCAAACCCTGATTCAGTAAGCTTAACTTCAGGGTCCATCAGACATAGTAGGTTTGCTTAGAGTAGCGGAGTCTGTAGCTGGTCATGTATGTATATATATATATATATATATATATATATTTTTTTTTTGCATTTAAATAAGCAAAAAGTGGTGTCTCCTAGGTAAATGACCTCCTCCTGTTAGTAGGTGAATCCAAACACAGAACTTTTGAGAAAGAAAATGTATCATAGGTGCAGAGACCACAGTCTAGTTTTTTTTATCTTGCAATTCAGTGATGACCTTGTACCTCTCCCTGCTGTTGAAAGGTGGCCTGTCCTATATTCTACACTTCTCTCCTGCCCCCAGGTGAAAATTAATATCTTGAGCAGTGAGAGTGAATACCAAGATGAGAGAGCCTGAGTAGACAGAAGAAAAAGAAAACTGGCTAGAAATGAAATCCCCACTTTTCCCCCAGAAATTTGATCCATGTTCATCTATCTAAGCCAGAAGCTAGAAGATTGGAAGCTGAGATGGTGAGGAGTAAGGGAGTGAGGGATAGAGAAAGGCAGCATTGAAACACAGAGAGGGCAAAGAACAAGAAAAAAAGATTTTGGATATTCGGCCCTACCAGGTGGAAATTCCACCTTGGTGTCTGACATGATGTTGCCAGAGAAGACTGCAAAATGTGGACCTGCAGTGGAGATGACCAGCAGGGCCTGGCTATCTTTCATCTTTCTGTTTTCTTGAAAGCACGCCAGTAGACAGGCCCATGAGCAACGGCAGGGGCAGGACAGCTCAGCATGAGTGTCTTAACTTCTAACCAGCCTTGGTCAGAGGTCCACCAGAAACCAATTCTCTGCTGTTCCAGATATCCTTAGTGGGCTGTAATGCTTTGAATTTTCCATTCTAACAAATGATCAGGTTGCAGATGGCATTTAGCTGTTGGAATAAATTCATTTGGCTTTGAAATACAACATGATCTTTTCATTGAGCATGTACCCTTTAAGAAGGGCAGAAGGTCTTCTTCATTCTTTTATCTTATTTGCTTTTAACATTAACCATCTCTCCCAATTTGATGCCATAGATTCTGGCCAGCAGATCTGTATATATATCAAAGTTTCCAAATATTTAGTCTTGGGCCTAGTGCTAAAAGTAAAGGACAAATCACTAGTCCTTTACTTTTCTTGCTTGACAATTAAAAAAAAAAAAACTACTTGCTAAACTACTGAATTCATCTTACTAATCCTAGCTCAGATGTTCTCCCTTGATGCTTTAATAGCCTGCCCAAGTCGTGGCCCATCTGCTTTGGTGATGCTACTCTGAAGGTAGTCACTTATGTGTATGATGGTCTCCTGCACTCCTGCGTTATCTCCTTTCTGCAGCATTTGTGACATTTTCACTTCCAAGCCTTCAGCACTGAGCACCCTGAGAGGCTCTCAGCAAATGTTAGTTGAACTGAGTCTACCATTCAGTGCAGTTTAGCATTAAGCATATTTGTAGGTCCTATTCTCCGGGTCATTTTTAAGCAGCAGCTTTAGAGTAGTGGGAAAAGTACAGGACTGGGGGTCAGGATGTCTCCTGCTTTTTAAAACCAAGCTTTGTTCTTTATAAGTGTTTGACTTTGGCCATATCTCCCTGAGCCTTGATTTTTTTTCATATGTAAAACAGGATAAAAATTCCTGCTTCTCAAACTTTTCATGAAGATGAAATGAAAAAAAAAATGTGAGCAGTCTTTCATATAATATTAAAAGTGAAATTTTAAAGCAAAACATCATCAAAACCATCCTTTTGGAATTTCAGAAAGCAGTCTTCCTTAGATGTGATCCAAGACAGACCTTTCTTCTAGTGAATCCTGTTCTGTAGCAAACATGTCATAGAGTTGAAAGCTATGCTATTGGTAGAAAAATCAATATGAAATATCTGGTATAGCGCAGAGTACAGTGCCTCAGCATGTGACAGCTGCCATTCCTGTTTTTACCCCTACCATTATTATTAGGGTAATGTCGCATTTTCTCAGCTGACTTAGAGGAAAGCAGTTGGGTAGTCTGAAGTATATCTTCAACCTCATGCCATTTCTGTAATCTTCTGGCCCTGAACAAGCAACTGATTTCTTACCTGCTTTCTCTAATCATTACATGTGTGCTGTGAAGATGACTTTGAGTTCAGAAAAGTGATATAAAAATCAGGTAAGTGTTGCTCTCCTGAGCAGGTGCTTGAACTCTCCTTATTACCTGTGTCTGACAGTGGAACCTCTGCTGAGGATGATGGGGCTCTAAAAACGTCTGTGTTTATCTGCAGAGTGGATGCTACTTTATTTGGAAGTTGGGGTGGAAAGTAAAACCTTTCAAGTACTTGATGCCGTTGAGCCTTTGTTAATTTGTGAAAGGCCCCTCTCTCTTCTTTCTTCCTTGTCTTTCTACCATTCTTAATTTTCCAACCCTGATTTTTGTTGGCTTCAAATATGCTCACCAGAGTCCTGCCAGCTTTAGTTGGAAGGAATATATTTCCGAGCTTAGTTGGACATCAGTTGTTTTTGGGCCCTGCCCAGACTTTGGACAGAGAAGGTAGTGTTAAGGGGTTGATGGTGTCTAGACAGTAAAATCAGAAACTGTGTAATTTATGGTGTATTACAGACATCCACTTCCCGGATTGGAAAAGGGAAACAGGCTTTTATCTAAGGAAGTTACACTAAAAACCAAAACCCCTGGGTACTTCTGACCTATGAACATTTAAACCTTGAATATTTTTACATAATATTTCTCTGTTCCTTCAAAGACAGGAATTATTGCATGTAGCCCTGTGTAGGGATTAGAACTAGAGATGAGAAATAAATGCCCAGGGTTCAGGAGACAATTCACAAAGCTGTCTAGCAGTCCTTCCCAGCCCCCGCCTGTCACTAGACCCCTGTGAGCTCACAAGGCAATTTGAGCATGGTCCTTCAGTTTCAGAGGGACACTGGAAAGTTGGAGAGGAGAGAGCCTATCAGCAGGAGGATGGAGTTATTTAGAACTCAAAAGAAGACTGAAGATATGACTGAAAAACAGGAAACAAAATGATCACCACCACCAAAAAAAACCCCTTAAACCCAAATTTTATCCCAAATAAAAGGCATACTTTTGATTAGGAATAAAAATAATAAAAATAAAATGACCCCAGCTATACAACATTTTGTGTTTCTTTTTAGGCTATTAATCCTCATAATCACATATGCAGTACTTAAAACTGTATAAAATAATGAAAGATAAAACCCTAGGCAAAATTTATGTGAAACTAAATATTTTTTCAAGCCTGTAACAGTGTTTATTTTATTTTTATTTTCCAGGTGTTCAATCAGATCTCTTGAGTTTCTTTTAAAAAAATACAACTCCTCTGAGACATCATCTTGAAGGCTACTATCTGAACTGTTTTAGAATATATGTATTTAAAATGCTGTTGTCTTAGAGTTAGGAATTTTATTTGTGTTTTTCTATCTTTAAAAATTATTAATATCTCTTAAAATATGAAAATCATTCAACTTAATTCATTACTAAGGAGTTGCCTTGTGATTCTTACCTGATACTAATTATTCTGCTACATTCAAATTTTGACTTACTACTTTTCAGCAAATTTTTCCTGCTTCCTAATAGGCATTCAATGGGTGTTAGTTAAAATTGTATATTGAAATTTTACATGGAAAACACTTTATATTGGGTAGCAATAGACAGTTAAAATTTATGTTAACGGATAGTTCCCAATCTTAGGAACTAGGTATGAGTGCAATGTATAGTGTAATTGTTGCTAAATACTCATACCGTATTCAGGAATTTCTGTAGCACCCAAGGATTGCAACAGAACCCTTTTCCATGGCTTTGTAGCCCTTTGGCAGGAGGATTTGAAATCAGAAGTGCGTCAGACACTTGGAAAACTGAAGTTGCTTACTCACACATCTGTCGAGTTTAGGATGTTTAGATAGTTGACTTCCCAGAATGATCTGCTTTTCTATAGTTTTGTATTTCAAGCACAATGCCAAAACTGTAGAGTACTGTTGGGAATTCTCTGTTCATTCATAGACAATATGTATAGGATGCATTTCTAACCTGTAGGAGTGAAAGCATTAGAGTTCCACCACTGCTAATTATGTTACAACAGAAAGATGGGAAAACAGCAGAAATGAGAATGACTGATAGTGATTGTAGTAATGATGTAAATTAAGCACTATCAGCTCACTTCATCTCTACAACCATATGAATGTCTAATGAGAAAAATTAAACTACAGGGAAGCAACTTGGCTAAGATCACAAACTCAGTGAAGTCTGGAATAATTTAGATTTAGGAGCCGGGCGTGGTAGCTCACGCCTGTAATCCCAGCATTTGGGAGGTTGAGGCAGGAAAATTGTTGAGAGTCCACAACCAGGGCTACATAGTAAACTCAAGGCCAGCTTGAACTGCATAGTGAGACCCTGTCTCAAAAAGGCAAAAAACAAAACAAAACAGATTTAGGTTTGGTCTGTCTTGAATCCAAAATCTATCCCTTTAGTTATCATCCTGTTGTAAAACTTTTTTATTCAGTTTCACTGCTAGTTTCTTACATGCTCAACCTCCTGTTCAATGAAATTCTCCAGGTCTTAACACATCATACCTAAACCAGAGCCTACAGTAGAACCATCTGCCTTGAACATCTATTCATGTGATTGGCAATGTCAGCAGTTTTACGAGTATTCAAAGAAAGGATCAGATTGCTTCTTGTCATTTCTATAGTCTATTAAGGTTCAGAATGAATAGCAAGGAGTTACCCATTAGAGTTACTCTTAACAAAAACTCTTAATCATCTTTATATGTCTTATTTCCACAACAGTACCTGCTTACTTTAAGAAAATTATAGAAACGTATGACACTAAAAATTTAACAAAAAAATAAATAAATAAATAAACCTCTGTGGCCCTTTGAAAAGAGACCTTTCTCCACCACCGTTTGGTCCCTGTTTTGGTTATTTTATCCTGTTTAACAAATTATCCAAAATTTAGTGACTTAAAGCAATGACAATACATAATCTGCTCATGAATTTGTGATTTCAGCAGAACTTAATGAGGACAGCGTGTCTTTCCTTTGCTTGGTGTCAGCTGGGGTGACTCAAAAAGAAGTAGAATAATTATTTACATGCCTGGCAGTTGATCCTGGGAAAACTCAAGTAGCTGGAGGCTGGCTCAACTGAGTCTTCCAGCCTCGCTCTCCAGCTCTCTGGACTCTCTGTGTGGTCTCTCCAGAGCTGCCAGGCTCCCTGCATGTGGGCTCACAGTACCTCGCATGTAGAGGGGAGGAAGCTGCAGTGCCTCTTCTCAGCAGCATTAGAAATCATGCAGCATCGTTTCCATCCATTTTGTTTTCAAAGTGACCCATAAAGACTGGCTCATATTCAAGGAAAGGGAATTACTAGTCTTTTAGCCTTTGTGGGAAGAATATCAAAGAATTTGTGAATGTGTATCAAAACTACCATGATGCCTGTGAACCTTGATTGAGTTGCTGCTCTCCTGACATCTTTGTCAACACTGCTTTTGTTTTTGTTTGTTTATTTTGTTTTTTTAGACTGTGATGTCTAGAACTCATGAGCTCAAGAGATCTTCTTGTCTCAGTCTCTTCACTGAGACTGCAGGCAGGCATCACCATGCCCAGCTGATTCCATCTCAGCTTTTGATGATAGCACTGGACCCAGGAAGAAATGTGCAAGAAATGAGAGTTGGCAGTGATACCCACTCCTCCACAACTGTGACCCTTGCCACTACTACGGCCTGCCTTCTTCCTACTGCCACAGAGCCTCTCCACTCTCAAATTCATAGTATTTCAGCTCTCTCATTGAACACCCCTCCTCTCCGCACTGTAATATTTGTGCAGCCAGTTAACCTAGGGCAGTGCATCAGAGAGATACGGGTGCTATTTCCAGTGCAGCTGGTGCAGCTCCTCCAGGCAGCAGCACCCAGTGCCTGAGCCGGCTCCGACCACGGCTTGCGGTGAGTGTGCCAGCACTGCCGCAGTGCTTCCTTCACCATGCACTGCTTTCCCATGTTTGCGTCAGTCACATCCTAGCTGAGTTTCATGATCTGCTTCAGTATTCCTCACTCTCAAGTTCTGTGAAATGCTCAGTCAACATGAGTGGCATTAATAAAAGATATTAGTTGTAGTATGGAAACCACAAGGCAAGGGCAAAGAAAAGAAGCGGATTCATCTTCTTGGGAAGAATAATACAGTGGCAGCTAGTTGGCACAAATCAAAATTTTCTTTCTTGGACTCACCTGATGACCCCAGCACAGTGAGAAATAAAGTCTAGAACCTCAGAATTCTCTAAGTCTTCTTGCTGCATATCTTTCTCTGTGAAAATACTTTGTAGGAGATAAAACTTAAATGAAGCTTCTTAGATCTTTGAGAAATGATAGGAAATACTATTTTATGGACTAATAAAGGCAATTATTTTAGTTTTATTTGAAATGTCCAGTCTTATTGCCCAAACATATTTCCATTGCATTCTTGAAGTTGAAATGATCTGCAGGATTTACATTGTGAAGACCAGTGCTTCTACACTTATTTTAAATCATGTTTTAAATCACAATGTTCTGTGAAGAAGTCAACCAAATCAATACATGATTTTAAAATAAGGCACTTGATTTGGGCAGTGTGGACGTAACGCCTGACTCCTAATTCTGAACCACTTCAGCAGGGAGCCTGATACTAGTTAGTCTTACTTTCTGAAGCAACTGTGCCTGCTCCAGGAATCCTGATGAATTACCATGGTGCTGGTTATAAAGCTGAGTTCAGACACATCTGCATCTGTGACTGTGAACACTTACGGAGGGTTTAGTGTGTCAAGCAATTTATGCATGTTATCATTTACAAGGAGCAAAACTGAGGCTTGAAGAGATTAAGTAATTTGCCTATGATTGAACACCGTATGTGATGAAATTCTTTTTAAGCTTGGTTTTCTTATTTCCAGCATCTTCTTTTAAGCCTCACACTGTCCTAGAACCATTGTCCTCCATTCTTTCACCCCCTGCACTATCTTACAATACAAAAAACCCCCAGTTGTTAGACAGTGTTTTTTCTTTCAAGTGATATTTCCAGGAGATAAATCCTTGTCTGGTATGGTGAGGTAGCACGTACAATAAAAATCCCAGTAGAAGTCTGAGTGTTTGTAGTATTTCTGTTGGCATGCGACTCAAGAGAAACCTCCTAGGACTCAGGATATTCTGTTGATACGGAACAGATAGCTTTTTATAACTGCACTGAACTCATGGGAAACATTGGAATTAATGATCAGGCCCAGATCGTGAGTGCAGACCCAGTAGGAAGGACTCAGGCTGCCTCCCACTGCCTTGTGTTAATTCAAACTATTTCATGAGCAAGCCAGCAGGGAAATTGTGCCGAGTTCAGTGAGATGATAAACTGTGAGAAACTGAAAGAGTAACAATGCTAGGCAGAAATGCCATTAAAAATTATAAATTTGGTGGTGGCGAACGGATAAAGTGCTCAACAGTTAAATATGTATGCATAACATAACGCAACCTACTGGCTTTGACATTTCATTGGTTTGAAGTATAGAAGCTTTACCTTCTTTTTACATTACTTCATTTACAATATAATTGTATTACATGTTTCCTCTACGAACATTTGGAATCTCATTAGAAAGTAGTACAGTTTTTGCTTCAGATGCCACAGATTATTTAGAAAACTCAAAAGGAGAGTGAAAACACACTGAACCAGGCCTGAGGGTATAATCCAGTATGCTGGGAGTGTGAGGTAGGAGGGTTGCAAATTTCCACCCATCCTGGGCAATTTAATGACTAAACAAGACCTTGTCTCCAAGTTTCCAAATTAAAAAAGCTGGAGATGAAGCTCGGTGCAAAGACACTGAGTTCAGTAGACAGCGATTTTAAAAAGTGATTTATCCACAATTTTATTGTCAGTTGTTCTTTCTTCTTTTCTGATGTTCCAGAGAACAATTTCCTTGCATTATTTTATTTCCTTACATTATTATTTTCCTGGTTGATTTCTTTTTAGGTGAGTGCTTTACCATCAAGCCACATCCTCAGCCCCTTGTTCCTTTTGAAAAATTTCACTTGTTTTGGTTTTGGTTTGGCTAGGCCTTCTGGCAAAAACTTCTCTTATTTTCCTTCATCTGAATGTCTTAATTTTCTCCCCATCCTTGAAAGATGTTTTCATGAAGATACATATGTGACTTTCCTTCTGGCTCCCATAGTTTCTATTGAGAAATCTGCTGCTATTGAATTGTTTCTCCTCTGTAGTTAAAGTTGTCCTTTCTCTCTCGCTGCTTCCAAGTCTTTTTTTTGGTCTTTGTAGTTTTCAGAAGTTTGACAATGATGTGTTTTAGTGTGGATTCCTTTGAGTTTGTCCTACTTGGATTTCACTCAGCTTTTTGAATGCATAGGTTTATATCTTTTGACAAATTGGAGAGTGCTTAGCCATTATCTCTTCCAGTGTTTTGAAGCTTTGCCCTCTTATCTGTCTCCACCTATGCTTCTGATGCTACAAATGTTTCTTTTGTTATAGTTCAGTGGGCTCATGTTGTCTCTCTCTCTCTCTCTCTCTCTCTCTCTCTCTCTCTCTCTCTCTCCTCTCTCGCTTTAACTTACTATTTTGTTTGCTTGTTTGTTTCGGCTATGTTTATAATTGTCTACTGAAGCATTTTTATAATGACTGCTTTCAAATCTTTGGCATATAATTCTAACATCTCTGTCATCTCAGTATTGGCATCTGTTGATTGTCTTTTTAAAATTCAAATTGTGGTTTCCCTTATTCTTGGCTGATTCTTAATTGAAACCTGAATATGTTAGATAGCCTATTATGAGATTCTGGATCTCATTTAAGCCATCTGTTTTAGCTGGCTTCTTCCAACAGAACTCTGATGGGGAAACAGTGGGCCATTGCTTATTACTGCCAGGTAAAAGATTTTGTATCTGGCTTCTTTTGCTCAGACTAATGTCTTGAAATTCCTTTATGTTGGTGCCAGTATGAATATGTCATTCATTTTTATCTGAGTAATATTCTATAGTATACAGAACATTCCTGAGCACAAATGAAAATTTTTGCAATATTTTATTCTTTTATCCACTGAGTTTACCTATTATACTGGATCTATAAAACCATTTGTGGAGAATGACATCATAATATTTGAGTCATATAAAGAAGACCCAATATTTACTTGGTCTTAATGCTTTTCTGCAGTGTTTTATTGTTTTCTAGTTTGCTGAAGTAATGAATATTTTTAGTGCCATTACAGATTACAGGTGTTATTTTTAAAAATTTACCTTGTTCCTCACTATTACAGTATATAGAAATATAATTGGCTAAATTTTGTATAGTGCCTTTCTATCTGCAAACTTGCTAGATTCACATATAGTTTTAGTAAGTTTTGTTGTCGTTGTTCTTTTGTTTTCTGTTTTTTGAGTCAGGGTCTTGATATGCAGTAAACTTTTCAGGCTGGCCTCGGAGTCATTATGTAGCCTAGGCTGGCCTTGAACTCACACAATCCTCCCGTCTCCACCTCTCAAATGCTGGGAATACAGGCAAGTAACACCACACCCAATTTGGTATTAGTAAATTCTTATGGACTGTGTAATATTTTCTACATACCTAATCATGTCATCTGAATATAAAAAAATTTATTTTGTCCTCCATAAATGGTATAACTGTGCTTTTCTTTTCTTTTTTTAATTAATTGCTCTAACTAGAACCTTAATATGGTGTTGAAAGCTGTGAGTGACCATCCCAGTCTGCTTCACATCTTACAGGGAAAGCACTCACTTTTCACCATGAAACAGGTTGTTAACTATATAGTTTTCATAGCTGCCCTTATTATCTGAGAAAGTTTCCTTTGATTCCTAGTTCACTTAGAATTTTCATGAACTTCATGCATGGGTAGTGTTTCACGTGGCTTTTCTGTGTTCATTGAGATGATCATGTGATTCTTTATTCTCTTGGTGTAATGAATCAACATATGATTTTTAAAATTTAACTATTTAAACCAACAATCAACATAAAAATATTCTTTATAAAAAAGGTCACAAGGTAAGGAGATTGGCTTTCACCCTTATCTAATGCGATTCTTGAATTTCTGGCTAATGCAATGAAATAAAATGGAAGTAAGCGGCCTGCCACAGTCGGATGGCCCGGTACTTCACATGCTTTTCTGTCCTGTCCTCATGCCTCCGTGGCCACTACCTAGAAACTCCTTCCCTAGCATTGCGTGCTACTCGTTCCTTCTGTTGCCTTTGGCATTCCTCCTTTCTCACACATACATACAGCTCATGCCCTCTCTTTCTTCCAGCCTTTGCTCGGAGTTCTGCACAGACCACTTCATTTCATATTGCAAAGCCCTCTATCTTCTGCCCCGTACTCCGCTCTGTTTTTCACAGCATTTAATCACCTTCTCAAACATTGTATGTATTGATTGTATTTCCTTTTTTTTTTTTTTTTTTTTTTTAACCTTGCTAGTAAGTTGCCTTAGGTGGGGAGTTGTGTATGCATTACACACACTTTTGTGTTGTCTGTGATCATGCCTAGAATACAATAGATTCTCAGTACATATTTATTGAGTGAATGAATAACTATGAGAAGAGACCAAAATTATCTTGCTAAGTCATCTAGTTAGAAACTCCAAAGCCATCAAGTAGAAAAATAGTAAAACTAATGGACAAATCAATTGGAAAATCAATTGCTATGATGTATCATATCAATAATATATTAGTAAATATGTTTTTAAAGTCCTATGCAATTAAAAATGTACTGGGAGAAATTTCATTAAAAATGTTAAGAAGCCACACAGGGAAAATTGTAATAATTACTTAGAGATACAGAATAATATAAAAAGATATGTTTTAGAAGGCAGTTATATATCTAATGTCTGTCTATATGTATGTTATGGGGATTTCACATTTCCTATATTAATTTATATCTTTATTAAAGTTATTTGATATTATTACTAGTTATTCAGTTAAGTCCCCAGTGGATTGTTTCAGTTAAGTCCCCAAAGGATGTTATGCCTTGAAAATTGAATTAAAGTTGCCTAGATTCAAAAATAACTAAGAGCATTTTATAGGAAGGGAAAGTTTGGTCAAGAAATTTCTTCTGTTTTAGAATAGCAAAACATAATTTTGTACAACAATTTTTGTAATGATGAAAGTAGTACTAGTGCCATAGATGAACATGAAAGTTAAGGAAACAATAGTCTAGGAATGACTCAAATGTTCCTAAGAATGTAGCAGTGATGAATCAATGAGGAAGGACAATTAATTGTCTTTCACTGGCATACAATATACCATCAAAACAAGCACTCCAGAACTGCTTCTGAAGGTAGTAAGAATGATGGGGATACACGTGTTTGAAGTAAGGGGCAGTATCTTGGCAATGTGTCTCTTACTGTAACTTTTTAAATGTAAACATTCACTATAATTTTTATTATACCTCATATACCTGTATCTACCGAGAGGGAGTGAGCCTGGTCCAGAACCAGTTTTTTTACATGGACAAACCAGTTTTTTCATTTACTTGTTTTTTTACATGGATTGGTAGTATAAATACCACTGTGATCGTACAAAATACATGATTTGTAGTTAATCCTCTTGGAATCAAAAAATTTAAATCAAAACATATAAGAATAATAAAGTTTAAGGTATTGCTTTGTTCATTTTGATTTGTGGGAATCTGTTCAAATCTTGATCACTACATGCCCTTAATTTTGCTTTTAGGACTCACTGTGCCTTCAAAATATTGAAGTATCAAAGTTAAAAGTAAAAAACATTCTGTTGCTTTCCTAGGTGCTTAAATACTAAACATTTGAATTAGCATTCATTTATTGAACATTTGAAGGTGGAACAGATAAATCATCAACTAGTCATGTATATTTGTTTCTGGACTATGTCATGTGATATTTTCCTGGGAAAGTTTACATTTTTAATTACGTTTAGTTTACAATAATATTAAAATAACTGCATTTCCTGAGTGCAATTCAATTGTACCATTAAGGGATGTTATGTTCTTATATCATTCCAGGCAGAGTGGAACCCAAAGAAAATAAAAATTGGCCACAAATAACCCATACAAAAATAAAACAGATTTGACTATGTGTAAAAGCACCTGTAATAAGCCATCGCTTTTTTGTTTCTTAGCTGTCTTAGAGTCTCGGCTTTGAGGAAATAGGAGGTTCCTTCCATTGATTTAGCTTGGTTTAGTTGAGGAACCACCTTATATTTTGCACTTACTGGCCCATGCTGAAAGTACAATGGATAGTGAAGAGGTGACACCCTCATCCCCACATGGTGGTGCTCAACCTAGCTTTCTTGAACTCGCATTCATTTTATTTGAAGGAAGTCTCTTAAAGCCATGGAGCTTGGGTGAGAGTACATCCCACACAGTCTGCAAAACTTTCTAAATCTGCAGAGTCACCTCACATTTCCCAAAGCTCTTCTAAAAATACTTTTTATTGTACTTAGGGATGAGTATATTTATTAAACTCTGAAGCTCCTTACACTTAGTTTAAAGCAGATCGTGCCCCTGGGAATGCTGGCACAGATCCATTGCCTGAGGCTGTGACATAGTACTTACTGTACATGCTCTGAGGGCCTTGCATCCCTGTACTGATTCCAAAAGAAGCTAGTGGCCAAGAAATGGAGGGTTGCTCTCAGGTCATCTGCTTCACCTACTTTGACTATTGTGCCTTTTGGATGGGCTACAAGTAAATGTACTTAATATTTGCTAAGTCTTGAAGTAATCAGTTTGATCTGGATAGCAGTGTTGATCACCCATAACAAATCAAGGGGCACTTAACAGTGTCAAGTATGTTGCTGCCTATGGGGTCTACAGAACTGTTTCTAAACACAAGTAGAGCTTTGTGGAAGAGGGGGGGTCCTGGCACAGAAGATCTTCTGGCTGTAGAGCTAGGAGGTTTTTAACTTAAGATTTCAGCTTAGTCCCCTTTGATCCCTGGAACTTTTATCTTCTGTCAAATAAGGAGACCTGTTTGATGTAGCACTCTTGTCTTTAGAAGGACTGAAAAGCCTCCTTCCTATCTTCACCAGGCCTCGCCATTTTCCTAGCCTTCTTATCTAGAGGTCTATCTAGACTACCAACTGTTGACTTCATTGCCTGTTTCATTTCCCCATGTTGCTATCTCTAGCCATATGGACAGAGACTCTCATCTTTATCGTACGTATGCAAGAGGAAAAGCCTTTACCAGTAAATTGTCGTCCAGCAGGGTTATCATCTGGAACTAAAACGCATGATCATCCAGAATAAACCATTGCTTTCTTTGCTGTTCAGGCAAGCAGGAGTAAACAGGCACCCTGCTGACTGTGTTGTCTGGAGTTACTGTCTTGAGTCCGCTGCAGGAAGTTGGACAACGGGTCATTTCCACTACCTTCTCAGATGTCAGTTCCCTGACTTTGGCCAGTCTTCACTTGTTAACCAGCGTCCTTCTCCGAACAAACCTCTGCACATGCAATAATAGCCCTCTCTTGAGCCTTAATTCTAAGAGGTCTGGAAAGGCAGATGTAAAACCCAGAGGATCCTGAGTAACACAAACTACTTGAGTTTCTAAACAATTTAGCGGACATTAGCTGTGATGCTGTGAGATAACATGATAGCCATCTGTTACCTTCTCTAACCAGTGAGACTGGAATATGGGCTGGCGCAATGAATGTAAGGGTTGGGTTTCAGCACCTCTGATTATACTTTTTCAGCTATGTTCAGCTCTTAATGTTAGAGGAGATGCTTGACACCTGAAGAAATAGCCCCTTTTCTACCCCCTCTCACCTACAAAACTGAAAAATATACAACTGTTGATGAGATGGGAGGGGTACAAAAATATGCTCAAATATATATTTTTTAAATTTCTTCTACTTTTTCTTGCTCTTCCTTCTGTCACAACCTTAGAGACAAAGAAAATATTTACATTGTTTGTTTTCCCAGAGAGGTAGATATCATGTCCACATACCCAGTTTAATGATTAAGAAAGAAGATAACTATTCCTGTCTGCCTCTTTGATCTGGCTCTGCATAGACTGGCAAGACACAAGCATTTCAAACGTGCCATTTTTATATAGAGAGCTCAGAACTGTAAAAATCTTCCTTACTTCAAATTGCCGTATAAACCAGCTGGAATAAAAACCTTCCACAAAGCTCTGTAACTAGCTTGTTCCTTCCACATAGGTACCTTGACAGAAATCTGAAGCTCCACATAAAAAAAATTTTAGGAAAATGAACAGATTTTCAGACACAGCACCAAACAAAATACTTTCTTCTTCAGTCTGCTTTCCATGATCTCCTACATTTCTTTAAGATCACATAGGGGAAAAGAAACCCAGAACACGAAAATGACAGGCTCTGTATACACTGCATGACTGAGTACAGGGTTTAAACTAGTCTTTGAGACCTGTAATCTGTTTTCTGTGTGAAGGTATGGTAAGTGCATGCTTGTCTTGGGTTATGGGTGAAGTGGAAACTGGTGTTGACATTTACTGTGATCCTCAGGAAGTTGCATCACTTCTCTGAACCTTATTTGCCTCAGCTGTAAAATATGAAACTTGAAATAAGATCATCTTTAAGCTAATAAGGAGGCTTGAAAGATTTAGCCCAAGTTGATGTGCCAGGGAAATGTCATGGTTTCCAATACTTCAGATATCTCCTTTGATTTATTGATAGGCAATATTAAATCAGCACAAATTAAGTAAACTGGTAGCTAGTTCCCTACTTACAACATTTAGTGTGTTGGATTCCAACTATTATTGGGTTGTTTCAATAGTAGTTGTGCAATTTATTTGTCACAAAACATTTAATTAAATTAACATGTATTGAGGAACTTCTTGAGTGTGGGGATTTATGCCAAGTGCTGTATTAGGACATCTTTAATCTGTGTCACACTAATTTAACAGAGCATTTTATATAATTTCATTTGATTTTCATGCCCACACAGTTAGTGTGCTGGCAAGAACAACCATTTTATAGATAACAAATTTGAATCTCAGGAGTGTCACATAGAATACTGTAATTTGTAACTTCAGTCTAGATTCCAAAGAGACAAGAAACGGAAAAAACACAGCAAGAAAACTTTTTAATGAAGATTAAATACCCAGCAATAAAGGTGAAAATGATGATGACGGCAACTAACTTTTAATGAACTTTTCATTTTATTTTAAAGAGAATAAAACCAAGCAAAATAAAACAGAATAAAGCCAGTCAAAACAAGACAATGTAAGTAACACAGGATTTCAAAACAAGATAATAGAAAATCAACAATGATTACCATAACGCCTCCTGTCATCCTCAAAACAGCTGCAAATACCTTTAGACACTGTAAAATCAAACAGAACAGAACCAATAAAAACAAAACAATAAATGCAATACAGGACCTCAAAACAGGACAATACTAAATCCAAAATGACTACCATAATACAGCTTGCAATCTTCGACAGTTTCCCATGCCATCAGACATAAAATCAGACAAGATAAAACATAATAAAACCCAGCCAAACAATACAATGAGAATGATACAAGATTTCAAAACAAGAATAGGGAATTAACAATGGCTACCATCTTCAAAAGGAGATTCCCCATAGATGCTGCATTGCCTATTGTTATCCTCCAAATGGATGATAGGACTACCAGCTCAGGCCTGCAAAGTCAGTGAAACACTAAACACTGCAAGCACTCAGCTGTATTTTACCTCATTAGCTACCATCATAGCTTGTGTTTCTCTGGGTCAGCTGGTTGCTTACGGGGGTTGGGGGGGGGGATGTTGGCTCTTCTTGTCTCCCTGCCCATGTATGGAAGGGGCTGGCTTCTGGCTCTCCTCAAGTCAGCCCACACAAGGTGCAGACTCATAGATCTTAGTTTCTTGTTGACTTCTCCTCCCCCACAGTCGGCGAATGGCACCGACTCTCAGGAGAGTCCTCTAGCAGTTCTTCAGTCAGCCCAGGTGTGTGCCAACCGCACAGGAGGTCTTAGCTTCTTCCTGACCTCTTATTCTCCTCCCCCACAGTCTGCAAATGACCTTTCAATGGGTTTTATGGTGTGCCTTCAGAATGCTTCATATGTACCAATTCACACAACAGTCTTAGGAGCCAGATACTGAAATTATTCCTACTGGTAATAAATGTAACTTCCACCAGAACAGGATATTTTAAGATCTTATTTCGATATTCAGTTCCTGACAGAGTAGTATATAACACAAAATAAACTCTCCATAAATACTTTTTCCTGTTTTACAGACAAACTGATACTCAAGATAACTAAGTTACTGTGCTTAATCAAGGTAATTCAGCTAATACGGGCTCATATAAGATTTGAATGTAGGGAGCCTAATCTGTAATTCTTAAGACATTCAAGCTATATTTTTATTAAAAATGAAAACAGCCCAGTAATCAAAACTAAGTGTATGTATCATGAAGGGAAATTTTAAACTAATCTTAGAAAATTGTAACTTTTCTTATCATGGGAATTAAATTCTTGCAGAAAAAACACCCACATTTAATTGATGGAAATTCTTCAACTGAATATGTAATCATTATGAATTAATAATGATCAAGCTTGGGAAACAGTTATTTAGCTGATTATTCTAACGCTTCTGTATAACAGTGCATTCTCTTGATGTGTTTGATAATTTATGTTCTTCTTACCCAGGTTGCTTCTTACAAACTAGGAAAGTAAGTATAGCACAAATTTCTAAATGTCTGAGGGACACTGTCACTCAGGTTGTAGAAACTGGGAGTGGGCTTGGAGGGAAGAATGCAGATTTGCGTCAGTCAAAAATGAAATATTTAAGAAAAACCATCATCAGAAAGTTTTTTTCTTTTGTGATGAGGATAGAATCCCAGGGCCTCACATGTGCTAAGCACACACTCTACCACTGGCTACACCCTGAGCCCCAAGAAAGAGTCTGACTTGCACAATGCATGAGTGAACATCCAGAAAGAAAAGTAAGAAGTGATAGATTGTCGTTGAAAATGCAAATCTAAAGCCACAGTCTTGAAGTGGGATTTTTGGTTTCGACATGAAAAAACTAGAATGTGAAATGTAATGCCTAATTTCACCCAGGAGTTAACATGAAATGACAGCTCACCTGAAAATGAACTGCAAATAAATACTTAATATAAAAATGGCATTGCATGATCTCAATAACTGAAATACTGCATGATTTTTAGCATAGCATAAGTAAATATTTCAGTAAGAAGTTATATTCTCTAATATAAAGAGCCTGTGTTTATATTTACTTCTTGCTTTACATTTATAGTCTAGAAAGGAAGGCCAAAAGTGCATAATTCTTTATTTTATAACCTTTGTATAGTTATACAACTAATAAGTACACATTCCTTAGAGGGTATATAGAAAATATAAATTTTTAAAAATTAATATTTTTCTGCTGTGTGAATAAGCACCTATGTGAAGTCATTAGGAAGTAAAAAAGTCAGTGTCTTCTAATTGTATCCCCATGAAATAAAAAAAATAACAAAATAATTATATATAGTTCTGTATTTAAGGAAATAGATATGCTGGCTAAGGCATGAAAATAAATAAATGGATGTTAAAAGCATGCTCATTAGGCTGTATCTGTGTCTACCTTGAGCTCCTCTTCTATACTTAGTATGTTATGCAAAAAATGGGTAAAGATATGTCAAGTTGCATGTTTCATACTACAGGTTAGTTTCATAGTCTCTATGTCATCTCAATTCTGATAAAATAACTAAAAAAAATAGTACTAGGCCCAGTTGATTTCTTTGGTAAATTTTACCACACAATTTAAAAAAAAAATGACACCAATTCTATCTCATCTTTTCCAGAAAATAGAAGTAGAAAGACTTCTTAACTCATTCGATGAGGTCAGTATTATTCTCATGCTGAAGCAAGATAAAGGCATTAAAAGAAAGAGATATCTGCCAATAATTCTTATGAGCATATATTAAAATTTCTCAACAAGAAATTCACAAACAATGATATGTAAAAGAATTCTACTATGACCAGGTGGCATTCATTCCAGGTATGCAAAGCTTACTCAGCATTTGAAAATCAGAATAATCCCCCACATCAGTTGGTTAAAAAAATTACGTGATTGTGTCAATACGTGCAAATAAAATGTTTGACCAAGCACCCATTCATGATTAAAATTTCAAAAAACAAATATCAGTAAATGAAGAATACAAGGAACTTCCTTGAATTCATAAAAAAAACCATCTACCAAAAACTTATAGCTAACACATACTAATAAGTAGCAAGCTAAATGTCTGCCCTTTAAGTTAAGGAACAAGACACTGCAACTCAAACCTTATACTGAAAGTGCAGTTAGAGCACAAAAGGAAATAAAAGGGGTTTAGGTTGGAAAAGAAGAAATTTAACTGCTTTTTGTTTGCAAATGAGATGATTTTCTCCATACATAAATCTCAAAGATTGACAAAAAGTAATTTGTAGAACTAATGAGATATAGCAAAGTTTCACTGCACAATATTAATCTACAAAAGTAGGTTGCTTTCTTATATACCAGTAATAAATATCTGGAATTTGAAATTAAATGCACAATTTATAAGGACACCCCTCCCCCCAAAAAAGATAGAATGGAAAGGAGGAAGGGAGAAAATACCTAGATACAAATACAAAAATAAGTCCAATCTGTATATGTGAAAAACTGTAAAACTGATGAAAGAATTAAAATCTAACTATGTGGAAAGACTACATGTTCATGGGTTAGAAGACTCTATATTGTTAAAAGGTTAATTGTCTACTTGACTTATAGATTGGTTAATTGAAGAGGCAAAAACCAAGAATTGCCAGTGGAATCCTGAAGAACAACAAAGCTGGGAGACTTGTACAATCTTATTTCAAGACTTCTTACAGAGCCACAGTAGTCACTGCAGTGTAGTACTGGTAAAAGAATAGGCACGCAGGTCAGTGGAAGCTGGAAATCTGAGGTCATGATGCCCGCATGGTTTGTTTCTGGTAAGGACTGTCTTCCTGCCTTGCAGAGAGCTGCCTCCTTACTGTGTGTCACGTAGCATGTTCTTGCTTCATATGCATGGAGAAAACGAGGTAGGGAATGAACAGTGGGGAAGGAAAGAGATATCTCAGTGTGCCTTCTTACAAGGCACAAATCCGCTCATAAGAGGGACCCTCCATGGCTTCATCTAAACCTAATTATCTCCAAAGACCCCATCTCTAATACTACTGTATTGGAACTAGGACATCAAATGTGTATTTTGCAGGGTACACTTCAATCCATGACACCATTCAATGAAGAAAGGATAATTTTATCTACAAATCATTCTAGAACAATGGAATATTCATAAGCAAAAAATAAAACTACAGACCTTTCACTTTTCATAAATACCAACTCAAAATGGATCATAGACAAAATGTAATATGCAAAACTATAAAACTTCTTGAAGAAAGCATAGGAGAAAATCTAAATGGCTGTGGGATTTGGCAACCAGTTTTTGTATGCAACACCAAAAGCAGGATTCATGAAAGAAAAATGTGATAATCTGGACTTTATTAAAACTAAAAGCTTCTGCTCTTTAAAAGAAACTGTTAAATGAATAAAAGACAAGCCACAGGTTGGGAGAAAATACTTTGAAAACACATATCTGTTAGGGAACTTGTAACCAAAATATCCAAAGAACTCGTAAAACTGAGCAACAAGAAAACAATCCAGTTAGTAAACAGACAAAGAATCTGAACAGACCCACCAACTAAGCTTTGCAGATGTAAATAAATATATAAAAAGATACTCAACATTCATGGTTAAGGATTTGCACATTAAAATGAGGTACCATCATTCACCTATTAAAATGGCTGAAATAAAAAAATCTGTCAGGGTCGTTGCACGGCAAGGACAGGAACTCTCGCTCATTGCTAGTAGGAATGTAAAATGGCACAGCTATTTTGGCAGTTTCTCTCAAACTAACACAATCTTACCATAGAATCTGGCAGTTATGCTCCTAATTACCCCAAATAAATTGAAAACCATGTTCCCACAAAAACCTACATATACATGTGTCTTGCATCTATATACTTGTGAGCAAAACCAGAAAGCAATCAAAATGTTATTCTTCAGGTCAATGGATAAAAAGGAAGCTATGGTATATTTATATAAGAATATTATTCAGCAGTAAGAAGAAAGAAAAGTCAATTTATAAAACATCTGAATAAATCTACTTTCATGTTTTTAAGTGGAAGAAACCAGTTTAAAAAGACTATATTACTGTATAATGCCAGTTACATGACATTCTAGAAAAGACAAACCGAGCTTTCCAAAAAAAGATCAGTGGTTGCCTTTGATTTAGGGAGAGAATACGGCTGGATTAGTGAAGTAGAGAAGCTTTCGTGGGACAGTGAAGCTATTCTGAATGATACTGTAATTATAGATAGATGACATCGTGGATTTTTCAACACCCATTTATACTCTTCGCTGTGCAAAAAAAAAATTTAATTTATGCACATAAACAACAGCAACAACAACATCAACAAAATCACTGGGGAGATTGGGAGTTGGAGATTGGAAAGCAAAATCTGATAAAAACACTAACTTCATTGCATGGAAGAGGGTGAGGGAGGGAGCTGCTGATCTAAGTAATTTTAGAAATGAATGTGTTAGATTAAAAGCAAAAGAAACTATGTATGAACACTGCAGTGTAGCTGATAAAATTGTTTCCCTTGGAAATACAAGCTGGCAATTCCAAAAACGGCCATAATGTGTACTGGAATTGAACAGTTAAGTAAATGGATGGCAGATGGTAAAGCTTAGGCTGTCACCCTGGACTGGAAGTTTACAGATAAGCAAGGAAAACTAGCGTGATCCATATGGTACTGAACTAGAATTGGAGGGAGCAGTACGCATTTAAGTTTAGCTTAATATAGCTACAGATGGTTACACACAGAAATATGGATGTATATGTATGTTTTGATGCATGAGAACAGCTGAGAGGGTTTATAAGTAACAATACCCAGAAGCAGCAAGAAACCTAGTTCCAGAGCTTGGTTTCTAATACCACTCTCTAATAAAAAAGCCAGGGCCCTTTAGAGAACTGGCTTTTTTAAAGACAGGAAAATATGCGAGAAGCCTGGCATGCTTATAGTGGTAGAAAGTAAGCAAGTGCTAAACGAAACAAACAAAAACCACACACCATGATGCAATATGTCAGAGACGTCTGTGAGAGCCAAAGGAAGAACTCCCAGTGGCCAAAGGTGAAATAATTTGAGCAAGGAAGTAAAATCCTATTGCATTGTAACCTAAAATATAAAATAAGTATCTTGAGTCAGTCTTGATGTAAACAAATGACTGAGTAAGTGCAGGCTGGAGAAAAGGCAACTTTCTTATGTGATACTCACGTGGATACTCTGCCCTCAGAGAACAAAATTGCTCAAACCCAAGTGTGGGCTGCACACAGTGACTTGTCTTCCAAAGGTAGAGTGTGGAAAAGGGAGCAGGGGAGGGGGAGGGACAAGCCTGACAAACACTGTCATAACCAAGTGCTCAAGGTCACTATCAGCAGGAATAACCCACGTAGATAATGTGGTGTGTTCTTGGTACAATGTGATAAAAATGACTCTTTACCTTATGGTCTCCTCTTCCAAGCAAAAAACATAAACCTAAAACATAAACCCAGGAGGCAAACGGGAAACCCAAAGAAGTGATTTGGGGAAGAAAATGAAAGAAAGACAAGAAAAAAGAAAAAGAAAGAAAGAAAGACAAGAAGAAAGAGAGAGAGAGAGAGAGAGAGAGAAAGAAAGAAAGAAAGAAAGAAAGAAAGAAAGAAAGAAAGAAAGGAGGAGGGAGGGGAGAGGAGAGGAGAGAAGAAATATATATGTACTCCTCAAAACTGTCAGACTGTCAAGGTTATCAAAAATAAGAGAAGTTTAAAAAGTTATAGACAGAGGAGCCTAGGGAGTCATGAGGACTCAACTCAGTGTGGTAGCCTAGATTTATTTCTCCTTTTCCTAACAATGTACCAATAGTTGTTAATGTACCATACTAATGAAAATGTCAATACTAGGAAAACTGGCTACAAGTATGCAAGGGAACTCTCTGTACTAGCTTCATGATTTTTCTGTAAATCCAAAACTATCCTAAAACTAAGCTTTATTTTAAAAATGTTACCCAGACTTCTTGTCTAAGGGCTGCTACTTTACACAACCACAGGACACAGTGATGTAAAACTCAGTGAGAATAATCTCCTAGGGAAACTCTGATTGACAAACCCTGCCTCACAGGTTTGCTCAGGAGGGAGGGCTGGGCTGCTGCAGGCTTTCTGACAGGAATGAAAGGCACTTTTGCCTCTTGTTGATTGGCCTCAGCCCAACTGCATAGGAACAGAGGGCACAGCCAGAGCCAGGTTAGGAAGACCTGACTGGCTTCTCCTGTCCTGGCCCATGATCTGTACTTCAAGCCCTTGTGCCCCAGTGACCATGATGGCCTTGGTGCTTCAGCCTCCTGCATCAGGAGCCAATTCCAGTGGGCCAGGGAAGTCCAGGGATATGGGCATTGCCTTGATAGGAGCAGCATCAGCATTCCTGAGTGCTGAGGAGAACATTTCCCAGATCTGAAGAGATGCTACGTTTGCCTCTTTGCTTGCACAAGAGACTAAAAGATAAAACATTTGTTGGCTTTTTAAAAAATTTGGACATTCAACCAAAATATGTAAATGAAATATTAAATCCTCATAAATTATGAGACCTTCTCTTTGGTATTCGGTTCATAAATTATGTTCCACCAGAGTTTTAGATCATAAAACTCCCCTGTTCTGAGCCAAACTAATGGTCTTTCACTTTCTGTTCTATAAATTATAAACCCCAGATGTGTCAAATTATGTAATGAAAACTGTATAAAATTTGTTTTTTTAAGAAACTTCATAAATTTCTTGTTTTATTGAAGTCTATTGGTCTTATTTTAATGGAACAGAAGAAAAATTAACCTTTCATGTTTTCAGGCTTTTTTTCCCACATTACAGAGAACCCTAAATTGTTAGAACGGAAAAGGAAAGTGCTTTTTGAGATCCAGTTATTTGACTAGAGTAGATGCAGATGCTGAGATAAACCACTTGCTGAAACAAATGTATGTTTTTGTGTTCGGTCTTGAATCTTATCTGCCTGCAGCAGCAGCAGCAAACTTAATAACAAACGAGGTTCAAAGAGATGCAGCGGCTATTTCAGCCTCTTACCTAATGTTTTCACAGGGCTCTGTAGATTTGGTCATTATGCCCATTCCCTAATCAAACTCGAAAGGCTTATCCTCTGCTTCCTACAGCCTTTCCACAAAGCATGGCTTATAATCATTAGTAAAACAGTAAATGTGTGTAAATATGTGTAATAGTCATATTTCTGAGACATTCTTGAAGTACATATTTTAAAGGCTCTCCACTTGCCTGTGAATTGTTTTTGCATTTTCAAGTTGCTATATTTTGCAATGACTTCTCATTGATTTCCAAAATTTACTCTTCAGCTCATGAGAGATACAGTTTTTACAGTGAAAGTAAGTCAAATAGATGCCATTTGAGGGTCATTGATGTCAGTTAGACATTGTTTTATTCTCTTTGTGCAGGATAATACTGCAGGAGACAGTACCAATTACAGGAGGACTATGTCTAAGGATGCTGATAAAGAGGGATATTTTTAAGGCTCTCAAATTTCCCTAGGATGAGGTGGAATTCAGAGACCTTGGTTTTCTTCAAAGGACCTGGTCCTTAAATTGTCAGAAAATGTGACTGGACTGCTCTATCAGCTGAGCTAGGAGGGGGCCTGTTAGTATTCGAGGGGGTGGGGAGGGGCCGGTGGAGCCTAGCGTGATGCGGAAGGTGGGACCAACACTCCTAGAATGCCTGTTGAACCCACTTGTCTGCGTGAATCGGGCTCCTGACCACTGCCGGTCTTGGCTTTTCTCCCCTCTCTGCCTCTTCCCCAGCAGCGCAGACTGCTCCAGCCCCCACCAGGAGGCCAGGTTCTTGGCCAGAGCCAGCTTCTGCCTGCTTGCTGTGCTCCACCAATGCAGTTGGCCTTCCCAGCCAGCTTGACCGCGGGGACCTACATCTCCTCCCCAGGTGCCCAGAGTCCCTTCACTAGAATCGGATCTTTTTCACCTTGTAATTGGATCATTGCATAGTGGGTTTCATCCACAATAAGTGTTTTCTAAAAAATAAAATTCAGTGTTATCTTTCAGGACGTTACATGTAGGAACATTTACCCAGCAAAAACTGCCAAGATAACATTAGTAACTGATTAGAAAAAAAACAGTAAAGGCGTCTAACTCTCCACATTTGATCATACCATTTTAAATTCTTTTCGCAGAAACTGCAGGCATCCATTTTTACTTTTTTTTTTTTTTCTTTTTTGAGACAAGGCCTCACCCTTCAGTTCAGATTGGCCTTGAACCCACTATGGAGCCCAGGCTGGCCTTGAACTCATAGCTCAAAACTATCTTCCTGCCTCAGCCTTGGGGATTACAAGTGTGGGTCACTGCCCAGGGCTGAGACATCTGTTTTTGAAAAGAAGTATCAAATGTTATTAACTTCATAATCATTTCTCTGCAGATAATCAAACTAATCAAATACTATTTGCTAAAGGAAGCTAAAACCACAGTCAAAAAGATTGTGATGATGTGATCAATGTTCTTAAGTAACAGATCTGAAAAAAATATATATAGTTTCTTCATAACTTGAAGTAAATAATATACCAGTACATTCTTATATAAACAAAATCAAAATTTAAAAATGCAAATTTCAACATAAATAAATTAGAGGACTATTTTACTTGTCATATTGTGACTTTCCTGATATAATTTAGATAAATAGATAATTCCTGTGGCAAGATTCAGGAAGAATTTAATTCTTTTACAAATATGGCTTGTATTTGATTTTTTAAAAATGTTTTAAAAGTATTGAAGATGGATTGAAGATGGAGCTTAGTGAGAGAGAGCTTACCTAGCATGTACAAAGATCCCCAGCACCGCAATGACAACAAAAGAAAAAAAAAAGTATTTTCAGCATGGAGAAGTATTATATAACACATGTGAACAGTTTAAAGAAAAACAGTAGGAATATTTCTCTGCTTACTGCACAGGTTAAGGATGCAAAATTTGGTGCCTGTGAATCTCTCCTAAATCACATTCCTCTGCACAGAGAAAGCTACTCATCCGAATTTTATGTTAGCTTATTTGCTTATTTTTCATTGTAATTTATCCACTTTCTCCTAAAATAGTACAGTGTTTAGTCTTTTCTGGTTTGGAATTTTATGTAAATAGAATCATATTTCGTATATTTGTACATGATCTTTAACATTGTACTGTATTCCAGTCTATGAATATATACAGTTTATCCATCCTACAGCTGACTTAGATTTGGGTTGTTTCTGGTTTCCTGCTATGATGACCAGTCCTATATTTAATAGTTTCTTTGACATAGGCTACACAGGTAGATATTGAGAAGTGGCACCAGACTATAATGTGTACAAGATTTTGAGCTATAGTAAAGAATGCCAAAATTTTCCACAAATTTTCCCGTTTCTGTTCCCACAGGCAATGGATGAGAGTGCCCAATGCACTGCATCCTCTCCAGGATTCCAAATTTATTTGAGCTTAGTTTTTCTAGAGTAGCAACTATGAAATGGTATCCAATTGTGGCTTCCATGTTTCTTTCTCCAATTAGGTATCTTCTCATGTGTTTATGGGCTATTTATGTTTTCATTCACCCTACAAATATTGTTTGGGTATCTCCCATGTGCCAGGCACTTCAGGTCTCTCCTTTGCTTCTTTGCAATGGGTGAATCAATTGCCTATTTTTCTATTGGACTGTTGTTCTTTACCAAGGAGTTCTGTATGTGTTCTGGGAAACCCCTTCATTGATAACAAATGTGCTGCAAATATAGTCTCCAAGTTTGTGGCTCTGCTAGAGCTCTTTTGTTTTACATGATCAGGTCCTTTTCTGATACTGTCTTCTAAAAGGTTTAGAATTTTACCTTTCACATTTAAGACCTTACTTCCTGGAATATACTCTTACATCATATGAAAAATAAATCCAATTTCTTTTTGCCCACATGCCGAACTGACTTTCCAGCCACCATTATTAAGTGGTCTGTCCTTTGCCTGCTGATCTACAATGCCCCCTTTGACCTGAGTTATGTCCCTGATGGGTATGTGTGGATCTGTTTGTGCCTTCTTCTGTTTCATTGTTCTGTTTCTTTCCCTTTCTCTATTGCAGATCTCCTATTTCCCTGTACTAATTACTCATAAAAATAAAAGAATAATAATTACTGTTTTGAAAGATAAATGTACAGTGTCTGATACATACTCCGCACTTTAGTAGGGGACACATTTTAATATGTTTTAAAAACAATATAAAATTTTTTAGAGAATTATACATTCAATAGACACAACCACTTTTTCTGTTGATCAGTTACTATGACCTAGAAAAGTCACTTTTGGACTGGGGATTGGCTCAGTGGTAGAACTCTTGCCTGGCATGCATATGGCCCTGGGTTTCATTCTCAGCACCATAAAGAAAACGTCATCCTTCCTTCTCCCTTGAAGACTGTCATTCCAGAGGGGTCCTGCCCCATATCCGGGAGGAAGGCATGCTGCACAAAAGTCAAGAACAATGTGGACAAACCTTGCTTCCCTGTCCACTTCATAAACTCTTTGGGAGAATTTAGGAGAAGATGAAACTTCAGGTTCTTTTCTCGTCCTCAGTTAACAGACTTTTAGGAAGGTTAAGTGAAGAAGGTGTGGCTTTGATAGTTTGTTTCCTTTTTCAGATTTGAGTTTTCAAAGAGAAAGTGATGCTGAAAGAGTAAAGAAATATATTTGGAAAAGATACTCGGTCATAAATATCTAGAGCATCTAGATTTTTATATATTACTTTTGGGCATATCTTAGTATAAACCATCTCAGCTTCCTTATAAAAGACCCCAATTTTTTTTATGAAGGATAAGGAAGTACTGTATTTTAACTATTAATGAAAGAAATGTTCTTTGCTCTGTTGGTCTTGGACTTTCACAAAATACTTGATTCCAGATGTCAAATTGTTTTTTCAGAAGCCTTGTTAGAGTGCCAGAGCATTAGATTTTTGAAGGCATTTCCAAACCCCAGCTGATTATCACAACACGCAGGAATCCTAACTTTCAAAGCTTAGCTTTGGCCCTAAAGTGTATCAGCAGCTGCAAAAAATATGTGCGAAGGCACAGGTTCACCAGACTGGGACCTAGTGTCCTTACATGGTAAATCTGTGAGTAAATTTCCTTTTCTTCTTTGTTATCAGAGATACGGTTCTGTTGTTTAAAGAATGCTAAATTTCCTTGATTCTATCAAAAATAGCTGGAGCTTGATAAGCTCCATAACGCAAGCTAGTTTATACATTCCATTACATAACATTGCATATTTTAACAATTGTTTATTTTTATTAATTCTTGTATTAAGTAATGAATTCATCTTACATTTTGTATTAGCTCTATATTCCTAGACTGCATTAACAAAGTAACCTTTCCTAAAAATATTTCATACATAAAATTGGTACTCTTTTGGAGAGATTACATTATTTCCTAGGGAACTGACTGTGCTTTTCCAAGGATGGAGACAAAGTCCCCTCAATACATACCTTTACCATGATGAGGACAGGAGGGAATTAGGGGGAAGCAAAGAAAAATTTCTGAGCCATATCACCTCAGGTAAGAGGGGAAATCTTCAGTGAGAAATAATCAAGCTCAGGCAAAGACAGCAAAGACCAGAGACTATAGTCACAGGAAGATGTGCTTGTCCACAGTGGAAGGGACATTGTAATTTGTCATGAGGGACTAGCTATAAGAACCAGGTAAACAAGTGGTAGAAGACCCCCCGAAAGATAAAACTCAGTATTTCCACCAGCAGACTCAATATTTCTATCTTCATTTGTGTCATTTAGCCAATTGTGCTGAACATCTCATATAGCATAGCAGACTCTACACTCAACAAATGCTTGCTGTCAGATGGAGTGGAATTATAATGACAGTCTATAGTAAATGGGATACCATCCCAGGCTTAGAACCTTTCAAATGTTTTAAATTAATTTTTTTAAAGACACATTTTATTTCCTACTGTTGGCCTTATGCCTAGAATTTGATACACGTAGGAATTTGAAAACCAGTCCTCTTTCTCTTCCCAGTTGTGCAAGCACATTCTACAGTGGTGGAATAATTCGGAAGGAAGCCCTAATGATATTATTGCAGAGCAGGCCTGGGTAAACTGGGGGTTCTGCTTTCATCAGTTTTTAAATCCTTTTCCAGCTATTGATTGAGGCTGCGGTTCAGCTGACCTTTCTGTAGTTGCTTAAGATTCTTGCCTTTCAGAGCAGAAGCCAGCATGACCAGAATAGTTCTGAGGAGACCTCAGCAGCAGCCCTCTGTGGAAACCTCAAAAAGATAGTGAGACACAGTGCTTACCCTCAAATGGCACGGCAGTTGTCATCAAGGCAGCTATCAGGAGCTTCAGATGTCTCTTTCACTGCGTTTATATTTAAGACCCAATACAATTAATTGTCTGCTGTCCTGGCTTCTGGATAAAGACAGATGTATATTCCATGGACACTTTGGTAAGGGCTGGTGATCCAGAAATGCCATTTAGTGAAAGAGACTGACAGGGACTGCACAGCAAGGTAGTAAACACAGCATCAATCCCCCCTTCAGGGTCACCATTTACTTTGTCAACCAAATAAGCCTCCTACTTCAGGCAGGCCTGTTAGCATTCTAATTGTTTTTCCAGGTATATGAATTTTTCTTTATTATACCTGACCTCAACATTTTTAGTTTGGTTTTTAAATCATACTCTAAGTTACATACTGAGATTTCTTCCCTCAGATGTTTAATTTATTTAACCCAATGAGTTAATAGCAAGTTATTGGTTTTTTTTTTTTTTTTTTAATTTTATTTATTTTTTTTTAAGTTATTGGTATTTCTTTAGACTTCGGCCTCCCTATCAGAATGTTCTTGGTTTGCTTCATCATGCCCTGAAGTGTCTGTTGTAAGGCTGTGAAAATCTGTGGGCCACACCAAAACTGGCTGCTGTGGGTCCCTGCCAAGGCGCTCAGGTAGTGATCTACAAAGCATGTGCTTGAGAGTAGAGCTGGCTCTTAAGACATTATCTTGTCCCCCACAGACGAACCACCCTCTCTACAGCAATCCAGGCCCCCTCTGATGATAGCTGTACCCTTTCAGAGATTCTCCCTCCGTCCTTCCCACCGCCATACTTCCAGTCCATGCTCCTTGTTAGTTCTTGTTCCCCAAGGTTGCTACACCAGAAGGAAAGGGATGTTTCTCACTGGCTTGGAACAGTGTTAAATGCTAATATAGAAATGAATGCCAACTGCTCTGGGAGCCTAGAAAGAACTACACACCTGCTGTGGAAGTTAACCCTTCACTACAGAGGCAATGTTAATCTGGATCCAGAACTATATGTAGGAGATCCAGGCAGACAAAGATGAAAGATATTTTAGGTGTATATATAAAAAGCACAGAGGTGTAACAGAAAAATCTCCACAGAACACTAGGATGTTTAATGTAGCCAGAACTTAAAGTGACAGGAGGAAAATTAGGCTAGAGTCTAATACCAGGCGGCAATGATAAATGATTATGGGTCATGTATTATAGTTTTAGAAAAAAGTAATGAAGGTGTTTCATTCAGGCTGTGCTATGACCAGGTCTTGCTCTTTGGGAAAATCTCTACTGTAGATTGGAAAGACAAAACACTGGACTCAGAGCTCCTGGAATAGTTCACACTAGAAACCCTGGGCCTGGACTAACAGTGACCATAGGAATGGAGAGGCAAGATGAGGTTGGAGGGCACTCGGCATCGGCCTGTGTGTTCTGTCTGCCTTCTGTTGGGATCTCCAAGTTGACATGGCTTCTTTCTTCCAAGATTTCCATCCTCCCACCTTCCTATCCTTTTTGCACTGTTCCATATAAGAAGCCCCTATTCCTTGCTTCCACTGCTGTTGGATTTACAGAATTGCCATAAAGGAAGTAAACAAAAAATTAAATGTTCTCATTTATTTGTAATTTTCTATGCACCATTTCATTCGGTTTGCCCATTCATGCATATCCAACCTGCAGCTTGTGAGTTGAAACACCTGGCTTGCCTGGTTCACATTAAAGAAAGGGAAATTATCTTGGACTGTGTAGTAAATATGTAATAGAATGAATGTGTATAAGTAACAAAACTTCCCTTATCCTTTAAGATTTTCTGTTATAAGAGGAGCATATCCAACCCATGGGCAACAGCTTAGACATGAATAAGATATGCATGTCAGTGGATGTAATTTGCTCTACTTCAAAATAATAAGCGGCATATAATGAAATTTGCTTTTTACCAATTTTTAAAATGAATTACATTTATATGTACTAAAACAATAAGATTCCCAGGAAGTGATTTTTTCAAAAAAGCAATAGAATCCATGACAATATATACAACAAAGAAAAACACAAATCAAAATTGCATACTTCATGCATATAATTATGTAAATGTCAGGAAAGTGGTTAACCTTGTTTGAATACTTTACCAAAAAAGCAAGAAGGAGACAGGGAGAGGAAGGAAAAAGAGGAAATGAAATAAAGCAGCCAAAAGCAGAGATTTTTTCAAGGTAAAAAATTCCTCTTTCATTCATACGTTGTCAAGGGCAAAGGAAATTAGTAAGTATGTCTTTGTAATACTGCAAAAGAAGGATTTAGTTTCATGGATTATTTTTATTACAACTTCTGAAATTATTTGTGACAAAGAAATGCAATGGATCTAATACCACATTTTAAACAAGAAAATCCGTATTATAAGCCTGTATCTGTCTTGGAATGGCTGCAAGCTCAAATTTGTCAGTTTAAAATCCCATGGTTATCCAGTTTTAAAACAAAAGTAGTAATACCCCAAAAATGGGTGTTGCAGGAAACAAATGACAGATTTAAATAAAAAGAACTGAACTCTTTTGAATTTTAAATATAGAATTTCCTGATATAATCTCTACTATGTACATACAGACAGATACAAATTATGTAATGTTTGTTAATTTTAAGTGTGCAAATTATTATAAAATCCCTGGATCAATATTACAAAAAGCCAACCATCAGTTCTTTCACTTTCAGATTTCAAAAAGCCTCTTTTCATCTTTAAATTGAATAGACAACCTTTATATTTAGTGCTGAAACATACAGTGGTGTCCCTTTGAAATCTCTGATTAGTAGCAACCATTGTCTAATTAGATGAAAACGATAATCTAAGAAAGCCTATCAGTTGTTATAGAAGCAGATATTATAATTCAAGCATATTTGCAGATGCCCGCGAATTGCTGGAAAGCTGCAAGTTTAACTTTCCGCTCTGATAGAGTTTTAAAAGAGGTCAGGGTACGTTGTACCATAGTGTCTAGCAGTGTGAGTTTATTCAGACCTTTTGGCAGACATTGCTGCACACTCAAGCTAAATCAATGAATCATCCATTGTTGGCCAGCTCCGCTCTCAGTTGCTAAGAGATTTTTCAAGCATACTAAGGTTTTATTCTCGATGGCCTGTAGAAAGGGCTAAATATATTGTCTTAAAATGTCTCATTTTTCCTAAATTAGTAATTAAAACTTTGCCTGGAACTTTAATTTGGGGGCAATAGGAAAGTCTGTGTGTAGCTGGAGTTCTTTCTGCTGGGAAAATACAGAACATACCTTGCCTATAATTCCAAAATATGTGGGTGAAGGAAGTGGAAATGTTTGAAAAGCAAACATAGATATCAAACACAAAAACTCAGAGAGAAGTCTAAACTCTGAAAAAATAAAGTGTGTGTGTGTTTATAAAGAAGATTTTCCTTAATTTTTATTAAATATGCTCTAATTTTCCTTGTTTCTCTTTGACTCACAAAGACCTTTTGTAATGTTGCATATTATTTCAAGGCTCTGATGTAATCATTTTTAAAAATGTAAAAATTAAAAACTACTACAATATAAAAGTATGTAATTTTAGCTTGTTTTTTATGAATGTTTAAAGTATAGTCTATTCTTTATATTAATGACAATATATTAAATAGTTATAAATAACTAAAAGTAGATTTTAGACATTCTCATCACAGATATGTGAAAAATATATGTGGTTATATATATATATATTAATTAGCTTGATTTGGTAATTCCATTATATATATTTATTGCAGAATGATGTAATATGTCACAAACATAATTTTCGTCCATTGAAAATAATTTTTAAATGTTTATTATGCTTACACATATTTTATATGTATGTCATTTCTGAATACTTTGAGTTTTAAAATATTTGATAGTTATTTTATTTCTGTTCATTTTTACTTGGTAACAATTTGACCTTGAGATTCACATAATTTATCATGGAGGCTAATATTTTAATAAGAGAAAAGGGATAATTGGGACTGTATATTTTAAAAGAGACTATAATGAGCTTAAAAACAAGCTATTTTAAGCTTATTGGATTTAGATCTAATGATGAGGTAATCTTCTCTCTTGGTTCCCCAAGATGAAATCGTATTTCATAAATGCCCCATGATGACTACATCAACTATTTTTAAAGGAACTTTTGGGATGGAACATGGACTTTGGAGTCAAACAGACCTGGTCTGTCCAAGCTCTGTATTGTGTGACCGTGACCAAGTTACTCAACCAGTTTGGGCCCTAACTTTTCTATCTATAGTGAAAGCACAATGCATGTCACACCAGGTTCTTACTGTAAAGATTCAAACCAGGAAACAGCTCTGACACATAAGGTCTCCTAGATAAATGCCAGTTCTCAGTTAGCTAATATCAATATGCTCTTAAAAGCTCACAGCCAAACACTGTTTTAAGTAGACAACATGTTTTGTTTTATTTCTGATTTCAATGGGAATATATTCAGGTGGGTGGGTGAAAATATTCCAGGGCCTTGGGATAAGAAGACATGGAGGAGCCATGCATCTTGGCTTCTTGGAGAGAAGCAAAACATATACAGAGCTTGCCCTTCCACTCTATCTGAGGTCCCCCATTTCTCACAGAGGAGCTTACCTTCTCCCAAGACTTCGGTTCCCATGTGGCATTTCCAATTTGCCATGTACCACTGCAGAGCAGGGCTGTCTGGAAGGCACACGAGGTCAGCTGTGCCGCAGGAAATGGGCCATCTCTTGGTACGATCCCTGCTACTGTTGACCCAGAACATTACTTTTTAAAGACTTTACACCCAGCTTACCGAATGTAAGGAATGACCCCATTTATATGCGCAAGCTTCCTGACACCTGTGTTTAAAGACAACATCTCCATATCTGTACTAACAACCTGATGATGTATGGCCTTTTCAGGACCTAGTACCATATTTTCATAATGAGTTTTTCAGGTATCAAGAAAAACAATACTCTTCCTCAGGTATTTGGCTGTTTCCTTCTGTAATCTTAGATATAATTTAAACCCTATTTCTTTTAGGTAATCTTTGTTATGTTAGACAGTTGGTCAAACTGAATCAGAGTCATACCCATTTGGATTGCCTAATTAAACTGAAAAGAACTGCTAGCATGTTGCTCTAAGGATTGTATGAAATGGCAGCTATACAGAACTGATAAATTATCAGAAAGCAACTGCATAAAAAAGGGAAGGCCTCAAAGAACTTGACACCAGCAAAAGAAACGTATTTGTTCTTCTCCAGAGAAAGTTGAAGATGGTAGAAGGAGAATGTAGCACATGTGAATTGCAGCGCTGACCTGGATTTTCTAAATTTGTGTGTGTGAATGTGTGTTGTGTGTGTGTGACAGAGAGAGAGAGAGAGAGAGAGAGAGTATGAGAGTTACAATGTGTAATTCTTAAAGGAAAGTTCCACAAACTGTGTATGTGTGCACATGCATGCAGGCAGGCGCACTGAAAAATATTTTAAGAACTTGTCAAAAAGTGGTTATAGTACGATTTCTTAACCTAATAAAACTAGCAGAAGCGGGAACATAGTTGTGATCTAAAATACAATGTAGATATGTTGTATTAACTAATGAATTTTATTGTTAGCAATTATATTGTCAGGCTCCTCTAGAACAGATGAGTAGTAGTCACTTGCTGACAAAAATGAGGCAAAACAAAACCTAAAGAAAAGAAGTCCAGGTTTAATGTCTAACAACAGAATGTACTCCCATATAAAAAAAAAATCAGCATAAACTGACTTCGTTTGCAGAAATGGGGTTCAAAGAAACCCCTACATGGAACAACCCCTCTGGTTTTCTGTTCAAGTTTCACTTTGCAATTATAACTTGTATAAGTCAGTTTGAGAGAAAGAGAAAAAAAAACTGGGAGAGACAATTTTCCTCACTTGCTAAATCATGGCTCAGAAACGTGTTATAAAACACCAAGAACGGAAAAGCCATTACATAGAATATAAAGAAATACTTGAGTCTACAATGCCATTGAACGCTTGGATTCAGTTTCAGCAGACATGCTCTGTATTCCCACAAGAGTCTGGAAAATTAACTCCTATTTTTTTCTGTCTGGGGTAGCAGTTCGTGTTATTATTTGCTCCATGGCTCAATCTGGGTCAGACCATTCTACAGTAACACAGGTAGATGCTGAAACAGAATCTGTTGAAAAGATTGCAGAGGAACTGCTCCCCTAAAGCCATTTTGAATGGCAGTCAGCTATGGTAAGCACAGATGAAACTCAGCAGTACCCTTTCGAACATGGTCATGCAATTTGTCAGCTGCAATCCTGCAGCAGAAGTTCCATTTATAATGGCTCATTAGGAACTGGTAGTATCCTCTAAGAAATGAATATCACTGGACGCATAGTACTTGTCAGCTGTGGTAATGTAGATTTGCACTTTATGGATTAGCTTAATTTTACAATATGTAGTTCTAAAAAGAAAATTCCATAAACTAGTGGGGAGAGGCCTTGGACTTAAAGCATTCTAATTTATTTGAAACTAGTTATAGAAAGATTTCTTAACCTATTAAATGTAGCAGGATCAGGGATGTATAGCTCAGCAACACAGTGCTGCCTGGCAAGCATGTGTAAGAACTGGAGTTGATTCCCAATATCAGAAGAAAAGAAAGAAAACAATAGTAGCAGAAGGAGGGAAACAGTTATGATTTAAGATATATACAATGTTTTGTACTAACAAATGTATTTTATTGTCAACAACTACATTGTTAAAATATAACAAATAAACTTGCCAAGAGTACAACATGTATCCATTTGTTAATCATTGCACAGGGGAAACTATTTTACACTTCCTACCCTTGGAATTATTTTTCTGGTAAACAACTAGACATAAAATAGGCTGAACCATCCATTTATTTTAATAGCTATTTAAAATTACAGAATAATGGTCCAAAATAAAATTTGAACTGATTTAATACGTAATTCAGCATGAGGGAAAAAAATAGATCTTTTTCCAACCGGAGAGAGATGTAATTTTTTTCCTTTGAGAATAAGTTATTTTCCCCTTAATAAGTTTAGGACTTGCCTGAACTATAGCCAGCCTTAAGAATCCTTTGTTCAGAAATTCTAATGTTACGTCGTCTAAGGAGCAACTGGAGGGTTGAAAAATAGATCAGTATTTCAGTTTCTGACTCTAGGCTGTTTTTAAAGTAAAGCGCTGAGAGTTCCAATTGAAAAACTGCAAATGCTCCAAGACACTGTGCCTGGAAATAAGATTCCTAAAGAGTAGAGCTTAGGGATGTTTAGGAGGCGCTTACAGAAATGAGCCTTCAAGTACATGTAAAGTACGGTGTGTCTTGCACGTTTTGAATGGTTCTTCTCAGATTTTTCTTGGATGTAACCAATGTATTTCATTTTGCTTTCTTCTGTCATTCTTTTTGGTAAACCAAGCAGTTTAAATATCCAAGGACAAAATTCTCACAAATGTTCTTTCATGGCTCACCGGATCAAACACTATCAGGCCCTCAGGGAGGGTCTCAGCCCACAGCCAACACGGACCGATCCCTTCTTATCACGGGAAACAGGCGCTCCTCTGTGGGTACGCACTCAGCTCTCTCAAGAGGACCTGGATCAGCAAGGTTAAATTAATATTTTTGGAGCAAAAATGAGAATTCTAAGAAGATTTTTTATGGCAAATTGTATTTTCTAGAAATGAAACTTTAGGCCAGTTGTAAATTATCAGAAAATTCATAAAGCACACTACATTTGTAACTGAAATTAAAGAATTCAGAAAGAAAAAACGATCACACTAACCTCTGACTACAACAGTATAGGAAAGTGTTGTGTGCTGTCTTTTTAAACTGTGTGAAAGACTTTTGACTGAGGAAAAGCTCACGTTTTTCCTTGGCTGAAGAGAGACATGGATTTTTTTTAAGGCTACACTTTCAGAACACACTTAAAAAGAACTAGGTGCAAAAGAGTTTATGAAAATGTTTACTTTTAAATAAGATAGTAATAATGCTTCTTATTTTTGAAATGTACATGTAATCAAATATCTGATTCCAGTTAAACAAGTCTTTCCTTTTCTTTTATGGTACCTGGGGTTAAACTCACAATCTTGCACTTGTCAGGCAGGCATTTATACAGCTGAGCCAAATCTCTGGCCCCTTTTTAAAAATTGTATTTTAAGGAGAAAAAAAACACAGAAAAGGAAAACAAAAAACAAGAGACATACAAGCAACAACTACAAGAACAATAAAAAACGCAAAGCAATAACAATGTAAGTTTTCAAAACAAGATGATAGGACTTCAACAATTGTAATAATGCATATTGTTATCTTCAAAAGAGTTGCTTAAATTAGCAGATACAGACATGCAAAATTGATCTAATCATATGAATATTAACGTGAATAAGTATTTTAACACCACTAAAAAGCTGCCTCTTTTAAAATTCAAGGTAATATTTCCTTCATTTCAGCTATTTCAGCTTCATTGCTGTTCTTTTCCCTTAAGAATACCATGTAAGAAAAAAGTAACTTGTCTGTCCTCTCTCCAGGTTATTCTGGTAGCATTTTATCTATCTGTGAGACTTAAGAGGCGGTCACTGCTTTCACAAGGGTAAAGGATAGAATGCACTCAAGAAAGTAAAAGGGGGAAAGAACCCCAGGGGGTGGAGAGAGTGGTAGGATGTGGTTGGTGGAGGGGAGGTGGGGTATGTGATTGCCTGGAAAGGAGAGAGTGTGAAGCGGGTGACTGAAGTCCTGAAAACAGAGATCACAAAGTTGCAGAGGTCACAATTTGGAGCAGATACAGGTTGGGGCCCTGGGTGGTTTGTAGGCTCCACCCTTTACAAAGATTATAAAAGCCTACGATTCTGCGAGAGTACTGAGCAATGCTGAGGACCTGAAGAAAATTTACTGCCTGCCTGAAAAAAAGACATTTTGCAAGTTTTGTTCTCTGAGGGTGGTGGCTCTCAAACCCCACCCCAGCTATCTTCCTAGGACTTGAATTAGGACCATGGAGACACACAAGGTGACCCTGTCTCTGGTCTTTGCCATCAGTATTGCTGCAATTGGCTCTTTCCAGTTTGGCTACAACACTGGAGTCATCAATGCTCCTGAGACGATCATAAGAGACTTTCTCAACTACACCTTGTCAGAGAAGTTAGGTAAGCCTCCCAGTAAAGGGCTGCTTACAACCCTCTGGTCCTTGTCTGTGGCCATCTTCTCTGTGGGTGGAATGCTTGGCTCCTTTTCCATTGGACTCTTTGTCAACCGCTTTGGCAGGCGCAGTTCAATGCTCATGGTCAACCTTTTGGCCATCACTGGTGGCTTCCTTATGGGTTTTTGCAAGATGGCTGAGTCTGTGGAGATGCTGATACTGGGCCGCTTGGTCATTGGTGTCTTCTGTGGACTCTGCACAGGTTTTGTGCCCATGTACATTGGAGAGGTGTCTCCCACTGCTTTTCGGGGTGCCTTCGGCACCCTCCACCAGCTAGCCATCGTCATCGGGATTCTGGTGGCTCAGATCTTTGGCTTAAGATCCATCTTGGGTACTGAAAGGGACTGGCCTGTGCTGTTGGGCCTTCCCATCATTCCAGCCGTCTTACAAAGTGTAGCCCTTCCGTTTTGCCCTGAGAGTCCAAGATTCTTGCTCTTTAACAGAAAGGAAGAGGCGAATGCTACAGAGATCCTCCGGCAGCTGTGGGGCACCCTGGATGTGTCCCGGAGCATCCAGGAGATGAAAGAGGAGAGTGTTAGGATGAGCCAGGAAAAGAAAGTCACTGTGCTGGAGCTCTTTAGGTCCCGCAGCTACCAACAGCCCATTATCATCTCCATTGTGCTCCAGCTATCCCAGCAGCTCTCTGGGATCAATGCTGTATTCTATTACTCAACAGGAATCTTCCAGGATGCAGATGTGCAGGAGCCAATCTATGCCACCATCGGAGCAGGTGTGGTCAATACTGTCTTCACTATGGTTTCTCTGTTTCTGGTGGAAAGAGCAGGACGGAAGAGTCTGCATATGATTGGCCTCGGAGGGATGGCTGTTTGTTCCATCTTCATGATGATCTCTCTGTTACTGAAGGACACATACGGTTTCATGAGCTACATCTGCATCATGGCTATCTTGATCTACGTGGCCTTCTTTGAGATTGGACCTGGGCCCATTCCCTGGTTTATTGTGGCTGAACTCTTCAGCCAGGGACCCCGCCCGGCTGCCATGGCCATAGCTGGGTGTTCTAACTGGACTTCCAACTTTTTGGTTGCACTGCTCTTCCCCTTGGCTGTGGCCTCTTTAGGCGCCTACGTTTTTATCATCTTCACCATTTTCCTCATTATATTCTTACTGTTCACCTTCTTCAAAGTCCCTGAAACCCGAGGCAGGACTTTTGAGGACATCAGACGGGTCTTTGAAGAGTACGCTCAGGAAGGCCCAGAATCTGAGAAGAGCCCCGCCGTGGAGCTGAACAGGCTGCAGCCAGAGAAGGAAATGGCCTCTGGCATCTGAACTGACTCTCACCTCCCTCCTCCAGGATAGCAGACAACAGCCTCTCCCCCGGCTCAGCTGGGAGCGATCTCACCAGGATGAGCGCAGGACTGCTTCTGAGTGCTGCCTTCCTGTTCCCCTCTTACCCTCCAGGGAGCCCCACTGGGTCAGCCAGTGGACAGTGGCTTCCTGAGTGTTTCATTTCGCGGACCTTCTCTTCTGTGTAGGAGAGACCAGGTGAACCTACCTTCATTCTGGGTTTTATTGCATAAATATTTAAGTGTATTTTACCAAATAGTGAAAATGTAAAGAAATGGAGATGAGAGGGAGATGTTTGAAGAATGGTTATAGATACAGAAGGTTTAGTACCAAAGAAGGGAAAACTCGGGAAAATGTCATTTGTCAGTAGAGGGGATGCAGTGTGGTTCCCCAAGTGAGCACATGGCCTCAGCAATTTCTGTGTCTCACATACAGACTCTTTAAGTTTCATTTCAAAAAAGACATGTGTCTGTATAGGAAAAACTACTACTAGTTTCCATTGGAAGTTTTCTTTAGGATTATAGTTTATATATGGCTCTTTTTCTGGGATTGTTACTAAAATGGACATGGTAATTAAAGGTGGTCATGGGTTTTGGTTTTGGATGTGGTCCAAAGAATGAAAGATTATTTGTAGAAAACCTTCCCCCAACCCCATCCTCTCTGGACCAAACAGCTCTTTCCCCTACAGTGGAAAGAATCACATGTTAAGTAAGTAGTTCACCACATTCTCACACACACACACACACACACACACACACATGTGTTCAGTAAGAATCTAAAATATTGGTTCTCAGTAAAGGTTTGATACTTCACTTTCTCCACTTTGTTTGGACATTTTATGTGTTGATTTTTATTTTAACTTATAGCTTTAAAGGAATTCAAGGGAGACTCCTCATGGGTAATTTGGAATTGGTAACCTCGGCTCCAGGAGAGGATTTTTCCTGAAAAGTCACTGTGTGCTTTAAGTATTTTGTCAATGTAGGATCCATGTCTGTTACCATGTCAAGTTACTCTTGTACTATGTTACCATGACACGTGTCAGGTGCCCTGGGGGACCTGAATCCTACCAATAGACACGTTTGAGGCAGTGTCAGTAAATATGCACTGTTGTCCACACTTGCGAGAGTAGGAATATTTGTGTACCGTCACTTTGCTCAGGTGGAAGTAGTTTATCAGCCACTTGCTTCTTTTGTTCCTGTAGTTTCCTTCCAATAGAGTCTATTAAAACTCATCCCTGTGTATATCTCTGGGTGGCATTTGCACCCAGAGCTTTCAGTTTAGACCCGTTGACTGTCCTTCCCTGCTGGAGAATGGGGGAAGAACCACCTCCTTGCATCCTGCAGTTGAAGGTAGGAGGCTCAGTCTCACTCTGGATGGAGGGAGGCACAATGAAAATGGGAGAATGTGAGACTGGCCATGTGGCTCTGGGGGATGCTGGTGTGGGAAGAGGAGGTGTTAAACTTTCAGGGGAATAAGAAGCAAATGAAGACTTGCTTCTAATGGAGGAGTTCAGGCAGTCGCAGTGACAGCAGGACTGACTCCTGACATGGTCCCTGGCATTTCCACAACCATCCCTTCATCTCTCAGTGCTCTTATACCTCACACTTTCTTCTCAGATGCAACTTGATCTCCATTTCCCTCCTTGGTGTTTTCACGTCTCAGCCCGTTTGGCCAAACTCTTGCAGATAATAGTATCTCAGTCCTTGGTTCTCACCTTTCCTGCTGCTCACTGAGTCTGTGGATAAACGTGGTATAACTAGGGAGGGAGGCTGTGTTGCAAAAGGTGACTTTCCTCAGACTGCACCTCTTCTGCCTCTTCAGTCACGTGGCAGTAATGTGGGTAGAGTTGTTCCCATTTCTCAGTGACTACACTGTAAATATTTCCATTTGAATTTTCTACTATTAATATTAACTATGGTTCTTTGTTCTGAAATAAAGATTCTGAAAGTACAAAAAAGAGAATACCATATAATCATGGTATTTGTGTATGCTGTTTAAATTATCTGTATTTGATTTATTTAATCATTCTCCAATGCTCCCAGAAAATGAATACTGTAAATATAGGTTTTAAAAAAAGGAAAATATCTGTAATAAAAGATTTACTTTTCATGATTTTTTTAGTTTTCATAATAGGTTTCCTTTTTATGGAGCTCTAGGCTCTTGGGAAAAAAGGAAAAATTTCTATAATTTTATGGTTAGACTTTGTCAACATAGTATATTTCCTCATAGTTACTTCTGAGTACTTAAATGCTGTTTCTTTGCAGCACAAAAATTTATTGACAGGTATTAATGTAACATACTCAGAAGTGCTCACTTTTTAGCCAGTGTTCTGGCATTGTATGGATAAAGCTGTAAAAACCCCAGGCATCCACCCACCATGCCTTTGAAGAAATGAATCACACCATGGTTGTGGATCAGATTTCTGCTTGCCTTTGTTTTTCATTTATGCACCATCATGCTGTGAAAGAGATATAAGAGTACTTATAAGGATATATAAAATACAAGGTACAAGCAATGAAAAGATGGATGGAAGAATAAAGGAAGAATCATTGCCATCAGGTAAAGCCAGGAGCACAGTTAGTGGTATTCAGGGTCTGATACTGTTGTAAGTGTGACACTGACACAGATTCTACTGTAAGCTTTCTCATGGCCAAAATAGATGTGAACTTGACAAGTGGTTTCGTTTATGATGACACAAATATACAGGCAAATCAGTTAACCGAGGGAAAGACGTGTTTACTACAAGCTCAAAGAAACATTTTCTCTTAGCGACCCTGTGTGGACAGTGTGGTGAGGTAAACTGTATCATTTATCACATTTTTACAGTTGGTGCAGTTCACCAACTTCAGTCTTACAGCAGCTGGACAGTCTTCGTCCAGGTGTACATTTTAGCATCTCTAGGAGAGTAGACTGTTCTTCAGATGATCCATCCTGATTGTTCTTGATAATGTTAATGAACTCAAATTTTTATCATGGATCAAATGTCTAAGACAGCAATGTAGGGTCATGGTTCTTGGAAGGAAAGATAAACAACAAATCAACAACACACACACAACCAAAAACCTTCTTGGACACATAGGCCAACCAAAAAAAAGCAGATCTTCTGTTTAACTGGGCTATCATAGAGAAATCTAAAAAAAAAGGTACTAATATAAGTAAAACATTCACTGAACTTGAGAAATGTTGGCTTGTGTTGTCTCCAAGGTGAATTACCTGAGAACTATTGACACTAGCAACTAGACTGATTTAATTTCCTCCATATTATTACTTATGTGACCAACAAACAATAAAATAGCTTTGATTTTTAGGCTACTTGAATTGTAGCATCCAATTTTTGGTCATTATCAGCTAGTAAATTTCTCTTACCAGTCCCCTCCTAGTTAGGGATTCTGGGAAAACACAATCCAGGTCCCTGTACACTTATAGAGAACATTTCTGACACCAGATGGGAGGGATTTTTATCGCAGTGACCAGTTCTCCAACATCAGGTGGGCATCCTACAGTTTAGTTCAATCTGACACGATCTACCTGGAGTTAGTACCCCATCAGTCAAAGGCTCACTCCCACAAGTTAAAGACTGATTGGTCCCAGTTCATAAGTCTGGGCTTTTTGAACTTTTGAGTGGCCATCTGTAAACTGGAAGATTTCTACAACCTACTGCTTGTATTTAATGATTTCCTGGAGTAGCTTGTAGAATTCAGGGGAATTTTTTTTTTACCAGTTTAATATAAAGGATGGGACGTATGGACAGCCAGAGAGAAGAGATTCATTGGGTTAGTGTGAAGGTAGTCTAAGAATGTCCATGCCTTCTCTGGGTATACCACTGTCACAGCACCAACACTGAAGTACAGCAGCTCTTGCTTCTCAGGAATTTTTGTGGAGTTTAATTTCTGTTTTCCACCATTCTTGGAGGTCAGTGGTTGAGGCTGAAAGTTCCAACTCTACAATTACTTAGTCTTCCTAGTAATGAGTCTCATCATAAGGCTATCTAGGGACCCACCTTGCCACCTTATTAGTGTAAACTCAGGTGCAGTGGAAAGGCGCTTGTTATGAAACAAAACCATTCTTATCACTCAGGAAATTCCAAGGGCTTCAGGAGCTCTGTGCCAGAAACTGGAGGCAAAGACCAACCTATTTCTTCTTATACCACAGAGATGAAAGTATTCACTCTATAAACAACGTTTGGCTTTCTGCTCTCTATAGCAGAACAAGCAACTGTTTCATCCAAAAGCAGTATAGGATCAATGGGGAACAATTTGAAAAGGAGAGAAGCCAGAATATGTTCACAATCTTTTATTGCTTTTGCATCTTTCCTTTCCTCTCTCCTAAAAAATAATTGTACATGGAGTGCAAGTAACAGGGAACCTTTATCGCTATGTTTCCTTAGAAGAGGGGACCATTGTAGTAAGCCATTTCAGTCCTTCTGTCCTTAGAAAACGGCTGCTGTTGTTGGTCAGTCATACTTGAGAATGAATTAGCAGGTAGCTTCACTGCAGGAAGCAGATTCTAGCATTTTCTCTTTGCTCAGAAGAGCAGCCATTGCCCTCTGTTCCCTATTGTCTTGTGGAAAGTCTGTGCACAGGTGGGCAGAGATGATAATGCAATTTCAGATTCTCCCTGCATGCAAATCAGGGAGATTTGAGAATCAAATTCCCAAATGGAAGTGGGAAACCTTGCCAGTTCTCCACTGGCCATTACCAGGGAACTCTGGATGATGCTAGCATTTGACCCACTCCACCCTCTGTTTGTCAGGGTCTCTTTCTAATAGGCCTAAGGTGGAGTAGAGGAAGGGGAGTCATGAGTAATATCCCTAACCACCAGCAAACAGAGCAAGGACACTGGAGCTGCACTGAACTTGACCCAAAGCAGAAGAATGTATGACAGCATGTTCCTTTCCTTTCTAACCTCAGATACAAAATTAAGAAGATTTTTTCCTCCTATGATAAATACTAAGGATGCTTCTGTTTTGTTGTTAGATGTTTTTAAGGATGTCAAGTTTGATCACACATTCTTTTGCCATTATCACTGAATTATATTAGCATAACTGTCATAGAATTTTTGATAATTTATTAATTGTGATTCCACTACCTGAAATTCCTACCCCTATCTCTCCCTCCTTCCACTGCCTTTTGGAAGATGAATTCCAGTTTCAAATACAGCATGAATTCCCTGAGTCAAGGATTTAATCTTTTTAATATATATAGTTATATACGTAACAATCATATTCATCAAAGGGCATTTGTACCTATACATGATACATTGATTTCTCTATTTTTCCTAACCCTTTTTCCCCACTTCATCTTAAGCATCCTGCTGTTGTATCACTCATTCATCGTTGGCCCATTTATTCATTTTATAAAATCTCATTAGCTTCTCCTACTGGGTGAGGCATCATGGCAGGCCCCATATATTATGTGACAGTAAAAATTTCACCCTGACAGAATTCACAGTCTCTAATGAAGATGCATGCATTGGACAAGAGGATTGCTACCAAGTAACTAAAGCGTCAAACACAGTGTCCAACACAGCAACATTGGTACATGTATGTTCAGCCATAATGGAAGTAACACGTAGTTTAATTTTAAGCTAGGCTCGTAGCCTAAAATTTAACGGACAAGAAGTAGAGAAGAATTAATGAACATTTACTGACTACAGCATTATCCTAAATGCTTTGCACACACTGTTTTACTCAGTACAACCACCATCAGGTGAAAACAACCTTTAACATCCATTTTACAGATGAGGAAATTGAGACTCTGAGCATAAGTAACTTGACCAAACATCATCAGGACAAGGATTTGGACCAAGCTGTTTGATTCCAAATCATGTGAATTTAATCATTTGCTGCAGGACCTCCAGGGATTATCAGTTTTGAATTCCGCTTAGTAAATTTTGAGCTGGTGAGACTCACAACTGGCTGTCAGCCTGAGCACAAAACATTCTGTATTGAAAATCGATAAAAATAGCTTCATGAAAAGCACAGCAAAGGTGACACCTTCTTTCTTGTTCTTCAGAGAGTTACTGGTTGTCCTAAAGTGTTAGCAGTCAATAGGGTTTTCCTGAGTGCTACATCCATAAACACCTATGTTCCTTATAGATATTTTCATGTTAGATGATTCTGTATAGTGCGTTTATCAGTTGTGCTGGAAGGGAAATGGTAAGACAGATCATGTTGTGTCTGCCCTTACTTCTAGGTTCACTTCTCTGGAAAAACAGCAAGAGTTAAAATCATTTTTTATAATTACAGTAAGCTATTTGGATTATTCCTCTAGTCTCATAGTGTATGACATTTATTGCCTATATAACTTGCATTTACAAGACTAAAATTCAAGAAGCAGTTTATATTTTTCTTAACAATAATGTATGTGAAAGTATACCTCAGTAGCAGAGCCCTTGTCTAGCATGAGTGCAGCCCTGGTGCTATCTCCAGCCCTGTGAGAAAACCCACAGCACTAGTAACAGCAATAATAGCTTAAATTGAGAGCCTACTGTGTGTCAGGCTTCCTACTAAAGCTTTTATGTGCATTATTTCTTTTGTTTTCATTGTTTCATTTAATCATCACAGCAACCTGACAGGATAATCACTTTATAATCTGCACTTTATGGTTAAGGACCAAAAACTGGAAAAGTCAAGGTTACAGAATTAGTAAAAATGTGCCAGATCCTATCGTCAAAAGAAGGTCTGGCTGATCCCAGTGAGCTCACTGCTTTTCTGGACCACCTCTTTCCAGGCAGTCCTGACCACAGAGTCAAAAGACCACCAAATGAGAGGCAGTGCCTTGAGTGAAGCATCAAACATGCAGGTTTCCCAGAGCAAACTTATTTGAAGAGGTCTGCGTGGTTTCCAACTTAATAAAATTATTAAAAATAGTTTTAGAATACATTAACTCTGCTAAAGACAAGTTATTAGAGATCATGGTCATTAAGCTATCATTTAATGTTTTTTTTTTCCCACTAATCCTTTATTTTCTTCTAAGATGACTCTGGTTTTCTTTACCAAGACTAAACAGGATGTTTTTCCCTAAGCCATTCTGAATTTGTTTTATGCTTCAAACTAAAAACCTCCCTGACCGTTCCCAGCTGCTTTGCTCTATGCCAGTGGCTTTAAGCCTTTTAGCAAAGATACTCTAGCAGGCTGAGGCTCTGTTATTCAGATCTCAAGTAGATAATACAGAAAAGAAGAGGGGCAGAATCAGCAATGGTTATTAATTGTGCTTCTGGGTCTCTGTTAATTTAAGTCTAATGGTTAAATTTGCTTATTAGTCACTTTGTGATAGGTCCATCTCCCAGATGGAGTCCAGACACAGATTATCATACCATTACAAATGGTATCCTTAATTAGCTTCCAAACTCTGTTAACAGTTTTATCAGAGCGTGGCTTTTAAGTAACATTTAAAGAAATTCAAGAATTTTACCTCCATCTCCTGGCAACATCACCTAGATCACCAAGAATCACTACCTTGCTTCCTATAGAAGTAATTGCTAGACCATCTATTTATTTAAGGGGAATCTCTTGGTCTTCATTGTTTTAATAAGGAAAAATTGTCACTTGAGTTACGAGAAATTACATCATGTTGTCATAGAGGTTGTCAGGGAAGCAGAGTAACAGTGCTTGGGTTTGGGCAATTCACTTCTCTCTATGAAAGATTAACAGCTACAGGAATTTCCCCTTAGTTGTAAACAATTAGAAAACTGGGCCAACTATATGGAACAACAGTTCTCAGACAGTGAACACCAGGAAGCGTAGGACTGTGGTTCCTGAGAAAAGGGAAGCAAATGAAGTAAGAGCCACAATTTCCATAGCTTACTATGTAGAGGCAATTTCCAGGTCACAGCAGAGGGAGGGAGTGAGAAGGGAAGGGAGATCCACGGTCTTACTAGGTTAAGGGGACAAAAACTAGAGTTTGTAGAAACTACAATGGTAACATTTTAGGTTCAAGTTTTGGAGATGAGGAACTGGACAGAGGGAATATTCCAGAAACCTACAGAGCCATTACTTCATACTTCAGAAGGATATTTATCTGTGCTGCAGAAGACAAACTACCCAAGGCTGGCAAAAGAAACACCAGAAAATAGGCCAAAAAATTTCTAGAATTCATGGTAAGATGAGAATAACTTATATTCCCACAAGCCAGATTGGGCAGACCTTATGTAACACAGAGCTTTGGCTACTCAGAAGACCCATTTCTTAGCAGTGATAAACTAGATTATAGGAGCATCTTTATACCAAAATAAAGACTGCCCTGGATTCACTGTAACAAAGGCTTAAAAAAATCTCAAAGGGGGGATTCCTGAGAACATGGCGGACAGACAACAGCAACTGCTGAACGCTCTCTAAAGGCTCGGCTCAGAGGCCAGGAATGATGCGGACTAAGGAGATACGAACCAGTAGAGATATGCTCTGCTGACTCAGGAACGAACTGGGCTGAGAGAATCCAACTTGGAATACAGCCCTGGCGCTAAAATAGGAACAGAAAAATCTCGGTGTGGAGACTCGACTCCGCGCCATCGGAAACCGCGGTTTGGATTTCCCGCCGCGCGGCGGCCGGCCACCTCCACAGCGGCTCGGCAAGGAGAGACGCGACCCCCGAGCTCTGGGAACGGGCGTCTGGGAACGGTCTCGGAAACGCGACGGGCAGGAAGGAAGGCTGACTGGTGGCGAGGTGAGCGAGGAACTGACTCCCTACCGCAGTCTGACTCCAGCGGAGGATTTTCTGGGCGCGGGCAGTCCTGTAAGAGCAGGGCGCGGTGGCAACTGCAGCCGCGCATTTCCCTCTCGGACGGGATTGGTGAAAGGTGCCTGGCCGGAGGGACGCTGCTCGCGGACTCCCTAGGCTGGCCTAGCCCAGATCCCAGAGCCTGACGGTGGCCCGGAGGAGCGACCGACTCCCGCGTAGGCTGCTTCCTCCGCAACTCCCTGGGGCGCAGCGGTGAGCGGGAACAACTAGCCAGCGCAATTCGATCAAGCTGTAGCTGACAGGCAGGGAAGCCGGGCCTCCTGTGTAAGATTACATTTTATAAGGAACAGAAAATATGGGGAAGGGAAGCAACAAAAAAGGCTCCTCGACCCCCAATCCTGAGAATCAGGCAATAGTGGACACTGTACCAATATACATTAAGCGCCATTTAGAGAGCCTCATAGACCAATTCAGGAATGAAGTTATCAATGACCTGAAGCTAGAAGTATGCAGAATAGTTAGAGAAATGCTAAGCACCACCCAGGAAAAAGCAGATGGTGGAGTGGAAGAACAGAAAAAGAGGGGAGAATTGCTTGATGGAGAAAACAGAGAAAGCATTGAGTATGTGAAGCAGGTGCAAAGGGACTATCAAGAAATCAAGAAATATACCCAAGACTGGCATAACAGCTTGAAAGAAACTAAGGACAGACTATCTGAATTGGAGGGCAGACTTGAAACATGGGAGAATGAAATGAAAAACTTCTTAAAAATAACAAAGAAACACACAGCAATAATACAAAGACAAGAAGATGATAAGAGGAGCCATAACTTAAGGATTAAGAACATAAAAGAAGAAGTAGGGACACAAACAAGTGAACTACAAAAGCTACTCACAGAAATAATCCAGGAGAATTTTCCTAATTTAGCAAAAGGTAAAGATACTCAAATGTATGAGGCATACAGGACCCCAGCTACCTACAACCCTAACAGAGAAACACCCAGGCATATAATAATAAAAATTCCAGAAATTCAATACAAGAACAGAATATTAAAAGCTGTAAGAGACAAGAAACAGATCACTTACAAGGGAAGACCCATCAAAATTACAGCAGATTTCTCTTCACAAACCATCAAATCACGAAGAGCATGGGGAGAAATAATTCAAGCTTTGAAAGATAATAATCTACAGCCAAGATTGAGATATCCTGCACAACTGTCCCTGGAAATTGATGGAAAAACGAGGTGCTTCCAAGATAAAGAGGAACTGGGGGAATTTGCAACCACCAATCCAACCCTACAGAAAGTATTGCAGGATATTCTAAAAAAAGAAAAATACAAAGAACCCAGAAATAGGGGCGGGGAGGCCACAACGAATAGAGCAGAGACCAAAACGAAGAAGACAAACTGACAGCTACTGACAGAAAAAGAGCTCAACAGAAATGAGACAGAGAAGATTGGATGATAGGAACAGCTTTTTTTGGAGAAAATGACATCTTAATAGGTAATGCTGATTTAGTACCATCTTGTTTTGAGGTCTCATCTAGCTTTTGTTCTTCTGTCTCCAATGGTCTAAACAGGTTGTATCTTATTGGATTTTACTATGTACGATAATATAAGAAAAAACCTTTTAAAGACAAGGAGATTATACAGAGACCATTGTTCATTTTCTGTTGGTCGATTCTAAAAGCTCTGTAATGCTGTTATTCTCTTAAATGGATATACATTGTTTTGATATACTTAATGCTACAGTGTATGAAGTTGTACTCAAGGACTTCAGGGAGGGAGTCAATATGGTAACTATTTTTGGGTCAGGATTAGCTGGTGGTGAAACACTGTTCTGCTTAAATGGTTATGTTTTGATCTGCCCTGTTTCGCTGTTATGCCCTTTTTTTTCTCAATCTCCACTCCATTATTTACTTTTTTATTTTTACCCATTTAATTACAGGGAAAAATATAGCAGGATATAATATAGTAACCCACTTCGACTTTCTATTATCTCGATTTGAAGCCCTGTATTGCTCTCACCATCTTGTTTTTGACTGAGGTTCCTATATTCTGTTTTGCTGGATAGTATCAGGTTCGAAAGTTTAGGCATCAGCTGAGAAGATAATGAGATTCATTACAACGCCCATTCTCGTTAACTTTTATCTACTTTTGAAGACCTACAATGTCTCCAATGTTTTGGTTTTGTCGGTTTTATTCTTTACGGTTTTGTTCAATTGTATTACAACTAATGATATAGGCAATTCTATTAGAAATAGCGGGAGGCATTAGGGTAACCATTGTTGATCACCTTGTAATATGTTTTTATATTATCTATTATGTCCACCCTTTTGACTTGACCGATTCTGTTCTGTTATGTCACATTTGGTTTTACTCTCTTCCAAAAAAGCAACAAGAACCGTGGGAGCAATGAAACCCAAAATGTGTAATAGTCACTGTACAAAAGAGAGGAAAAGAAAGTGCTCTAAACTATATAACTGCATGTATATTTAAAAGTATAAGATAGAAAATGATATCACAGAGTTTTATTGGATCATTGAACGGAACTGTTTGCAGTATCATTGGTGGAATGTCCACTCTACAAGCTTTAATTTTGTGACTTGAACAATTATTTCTAAGATGGCAATATGTAATCCATTAACTAGTGATTTCCTACTGCGCATTTTTTTATTCTGTAAATCTGTATAACTTGTACCCCTTCACTGTTTTTTTTTCTTTCTTTTCTTTTCTCCTTAAATAAAAATTAAAAAAAAAAAAATTAAAAAAAAAAAATCTCAAAGGATCAAGTTGGTTTGAAATTTAACTATACACCAACATCAAAGCTAATACTCTTTGAAGAAATATGACGCAATCTAGCACTGAATAATGTTTACAACATTCAGTATCTAATGTAAAATTAACAATTTTGCAGGGAGTCAGAAAATATGACCCCTATTTAGGGAAAAATCAATTTAATAGAAACATGGGAATGACAGAAATGCTGGAAGTAGTAAAGAATATTTTAAGATAGCTTTAAAACAGCTGTCATAAGATCTCATACATATACTTAAGTGTATAGAAAAATTCATTGTGGCTAGACAAGGTGTAGAAGGTTATAGAAAATACCCAAATGAGGTTTGTAGAAATTAAAAGCAACCAAGAGTGGGGATGCATGCCTGTAATCCCAGCTCCCATGAAGCTGAAGTAGGAGGTTTGCTGTGAGTTTGAGGCCAGTCTGAGCTACATGGTGAGTTCAGCGCCAGCCAGGACTGCATAGCGAGACCGTCTCTCAATAAATAAATAAAGAGAAATTAAAAGCATACCTTCAGTGGAAATCATGCTGGATAGAATGAATTTGAAGGCATCACAATAGAAACGTTCTAAAATAAAATACAGAGAAACAAAGACTTCCTGAAATTCCAGCCAACAAACCAGTTGGAGCTGGGGAGATCCCAAAACAATCTGAGTAAATAATGTGTGAGCATTTTTCAGAGCTGAAAAGTATATACCCACAGACTTAAATACCCAGTCCCAAATACTGGGATAATAAAGTCAAACAAAAATATATTATAGTAATATTATAATGTAATAACCAAAACCAATAGCAGATAGAAAAATTTTAGGGAAAAAGAATCATTGAATATAGAGGAGAAAAGAATGGCAGCAGAATTCTCATTAGAAACAACGCAGCCTTTAAAGAAGTAACACCAGTCTTGAAAGTGCTGAAAAGAAATCTACAATTCTATATCCAGAAAAAATATCTTTCAAATGTACAAGTCTTCCTCCAGTGCTGATGGGATCAGATATTTCAAAACAGAATTTTTCAGATTTTGAAAACAAATGGGGTGTTTAAGCTATATTTTATAACATAACACTTAAACACATCTGTGCAGCAAAACTAAAGTATACATTCTTGAGGAGATAAAGTCTATAAAAATTTTCACATCATGTCAGGTTTTAGTACTAAATTTTTAAAGTAAGACTCTTACTTTGGAGGACTTTTGAGATTTCAGAGTTACAGATAAGAAAGTTTGTGCTAGTTGCTTTTCTAGATGTTGTAACTGTATTACTTTAATCCTTACCATGCATATGTTCTTGCTATCCCAGTTTTACTGAAGCTGAAGCTGAGATTAAGTGATGGAACCACTCCCAAACAGAAGGAATTCCTCCTGTTTAGACAGCCAAAGGAACCAAGGGAAGAGAGAGAACTGCAAATGCAGGCTCCTACTGCAATCACACTGTCTGCTGCCATTATGTAAACCAAGGACTTCATTTAGTGAAGCCCAGGAGACGTCAGTCCTCATAGAATCCCTCCAGAAGAGAGGAGTAGCCGGCCTGCTGTGCTAAACTCTGGGTTACAGCAGGTCCTCCTGTGGCTTCAGGGCTCATACTGGCGCCATCTTTCCTCTCCTGTCCGTGCACCTATGAATACCGACAGATGGCAGGAAAGAAGACAGAGTCAGGGAAGAGAGGTGAAGGACACTAATGCAAAAGGCTGTGTGTGGCAGGACCAGAATGTAGGCTAGAGAATCAGCGGGGTTCAGGTAGCCAGTGCTGAGGGGGAGTATGGGTGTTTTAGACAGGACAGTGCCAGCGAGAATCTGAGCTTGCAGTGGGCAGTTGTACAGCCTGGAAGACAACGGCAGAGGACGGTGGGTAAATGCTCAGTACCAATGTCACTTCACAAGGAAGTGGTGAAGGGGAAGGAGAAGGAATGGAACAGAACTCCAGAATGATTGAGAAACTGTCTATTACATTTACTTGGATTACCTTCTGCTTCTAGAAACATTTCCAGCTGTAAGAAAATAACATTGTGTTTTCACATAACAGAGCCCATGGCTTTTAAATTTATCTATTACACATTAATTATGTAAAGCCTAGTTCCTCATTCATTAAGTGGAGAAAATAATAACTTCACACAATTGTATAAGATTTTGAAGAGAGAGTTACAGGAAACAACTATATGTAAAAGAAAATTTCAGTGTGAATGTTAGGTAAGCTTAGGTTTTCAAACTGTTGAGATTTCAGTTGTTTTAGGAAAATGACTCTGGTCATCATGTGTATGATGAATTAGAGAAGGGAAAGCCAGTAGGAGATCAGTAGGAAGCTTTGCCATCTTTCAGGCAGCTAGGAAATAAATCGCAGTGCATGTGAATCCAAGAGCCCTTCCAGTGGTAGAAACATGGGGAAGGGGAGGAATTAGGAAGGAGTTAAAGATGACGCTGAGTTTCCAAGGCTGGTGATGTGAAACTGGGTCCTCTACTTTCCTCTTCTCTAGAGTGGTGGTGAAAACTCATACATAATTTATCACTTTGTGGTGAGGCTGGGATGTAACTAAAGCCAACCAGGAGGAGAGTCTGGAAGGACAGCATTACTGAGCGCAGCCATTTCAGCTTTTGGTGGGGGGACAGCGCAGCAGGAAAAGCACTGTTCACTCACTGCCCAGAGCTGTAGAAGACAGCTCTGAAATGGAACTAACTCGCTGGTGACTTTGAGCAGGGCGTCAGTGTGTTCATTTGTGAAACAAGGAACTGCGTAATTATTATAGCTCTTAACCCTTATGTGGTTCCCAAAAATTTGCTACAGAAAAGTCAAAAATGAAAATAATTTATTTGCAGATAATGCAGCAATCAGTTAAGTTCAGCACACTTTTAAAACATCATGGTGCCTACCCTAATACTTATTTTCCCCTGCATTTTAAAGCACACTAGGAAATTTAGAAGTGGCAAAAGTAAAAAAATACTTTCTGAAACTTGCCTCTGGAGAGTTTTTCTTTTTTAAGTTTAGAATTTCAAGTTGGATATGGTGGCATGCACACATAATCTCAGCACTTGGGAGGCTGAGGCAAGAGGATTGCTATGAGTTCAGGGCCAGCCTGAACTACACAACAACAAGACCCTGTGTTGAAAGAAAGAGAGAGCGAGAGAAGAAGGAAAAAAGGAAGGGAAAATGGAGGGAAGGAAGGAAGGAAGGGGAAGGAAAGGAAGGGAAGGAGAAAGAAAACTTCATCTGTCCTTCTAAATTCTCTGCAGGATTCCAGACAAATGTAGGTTATCTTCTCCTTTTTCCTGCCATGCCTGGTTTAGTGACACCACCAACAGCTTTCTGAAACCTTACTTTGTTTGCAAGAATAGTGTATTTCATTTGCCAGGATTTCTGCTTAAAAGGAATCCCAGTGTCCCTAAATAGGATACTAATTTACTGTTACTTTTTCTGTCTTCTGTAGCAAAGTGTAACCGTTTTCCCATTAAATTGCTAGAAATTTTTATTAATCAAGACATGATAAGCACATAAACAAGGCAAGATTTGCATTTGACATATTTGAGAAGAAACTGGGAAGATACAAAATGACCTGTTAATAGCTTACACCTGCTCTCTTGCTTTTTTTTTTAATAGAGTTCGTTCATCCTCATTAACTTCTTTTATGCATTTCTGTTTTTCAAAATTTTATATTCACTCATGTACTGAATAAAATTATCTTCCATCTGTATACTTCTTAAGTGCCAGTATGCAAAATATGATTGAAATAATGGAATAGAGCAAAATAAGTCACCTATAAAATCAAATTAGTTTATTCCTTTATATTTGTGTGGCTTTCACATGCTGAAAACTTTTCTTTCACTCTCTCTCTATATATATATATATATTTTTTGTCTTTTTCCTTTTTATCAGTACTGGATCGAACTCACGACTGTCTGCTTGCAAGGCAGTTGCTTATGCCGCTGAGCTAAATCCCCAGCCCCTCTCTATATATTTTCAATGTGTTAAGCTATCAAAAACTAGACATGAAATACAAAAATTGTGTAATTGTTTATGCAATATATTTTTTAATTCCTCATGTAGCCCGGATTCAAATATTAATGAAGAGAAACGAAAGTCTTCAATTTAGGAAGCCAAATCTTTAATCTCAAATAGATTCCTCAAAGGCTACTGGTGCAGGGATGTGTTGCATGGCTGTGTGTGTGTGTGTGAGAAAGAGAGAGAGAGAGACAGACAGACAGATAGACAGACAAGACAGACACAGACTGAAAGAAAGATGGAAGGAAGGGAGGGGACCATGGGATATGTTTTCCTTCCTAAAAGAAACTTATAGGCAAAATGTAGCAATATGTCATGAATTACTCATGTTTTAAAATTTCTGCTATCAATACCAGTTGAAAACCACCCAGACCCCCTAGTCTTTGTTGTGTGTAAACCTCTAAAGCGGCCCCTGCCTGGATAATGTCATGGAAGACCAGGGTCCTCACTCTCTTCTTTGTCAAGCCACGTTTATTCTGTGGCCTTTGGTTTGGTTCTTCATGGGGTGACAGGAAAAGGTGAAATGCCAGCTAGGCGATAAAAAAACTTTAAAGGAAATCTGATCATTTGTGCTTGGATTTGGACTGTTAGAGTCTCTTTATTTGAGAATAAAATTCTCATGTTTGGAGTAGAAATCACTTTCTACTAGTGATCAACATTAGCTTTTGCCTCAAAAATACATCTAGCTTATCAGGAATCTTGTGATACAATAAATTAAAGGACCTGGTTTCAAATCCTGCTTTGCTCCTATCACTAAGGAACTGTCTCTAAACCTAGTTGAGAGATGACATTCTGATCTTTATAACCACTAAGATATATTCTGTTTCCCACATTTCATGATTCTGTGGCTTTATTTCCCTCTTTATTTTAAAAAGACAAAAATAAAACAATGGTGCAGAATTTCAAAACAGGACAATAGGAAATTAACAGTGGTTAATATATTTATCGTTATCTTCAAAGTAACTGCTCAGATTATAAGGCATGGGCATGCAAGGTTGATCAATGCAAGCACAAACAGATCCTTTCAGTAAACTAAGAGAAATTAGTAGTATAATTATATTAGCTATTTTGCATATATATTCTTTTCTTTTTTCCTTTTCCCCATCCCAGTTGTTCTTTCCTTTTGAGTGGTTTCTTTCCTTTTCACAATATCTATTGTAAATTTTGGATTTTATTTACTCTTTCAGTTTTTCACACAAGGGAGACAAGATGAAGTTTGTATGTGTGAGTTTGTTTTAATTCACTTATGAATATGATCCTATAAAAGCCTCGTTTATCTGTCCTATAAAAGCCTCGTTTTTCTTTATATCTGAGGAGTACTCTATTATATAAAAATATCACATCTTTTTTATCCATTCCTCCATTGATTTGAATTGTTTCCAAGATTTAGATTATTACAAATAGTGCAGCTATAGGGCTGGGGATTTAGCTCAGCGGCATAAGCGCCTGCCTTGCAAGTGTGTGGTTGTGAGTTTGATCCCTGGTACCAATTTAAAAAAAAAAAAGCAACAACAACAAAAAAACAATAGTGCAGCTATAAACATGGGTGCACTCATATTGCTGTGGTATGATGTATTCAGTTTTTCTAGGAAAATACTCGGAAGCGGAATAGCGGGGACAAATGGGACCTCTAATACTAATTTTTTGAGAAATCTCCACACTGATTTCCACTATAGTTGTACTAGTCTACTAACAGTGGAGAAGGGTTCCTTTTCCCTCACAACCCTGTCAGCATTTGTTATTGGTTGATTTCTTATGATAGCCATTCTTTCTGGGGTGAGATGGAATCGCAGTATTATTTTAATTTGCATATCTCAAATGACCAATGAGGTTGAACATTTTTTCATACATGTATTTGGCATTTGTATTTCTTCATCTGAGAAGTGTATGTTCATCTCTGGTGTTCATTTTTGGATTGGGTCTTTGAATTTGGGGGGCCTGATTTTTTTCAGTTCTTTATATGTTCTTGATATACGTCCTTTTTCTGAGGGACAGTTGGCTAAAATTTTTCCCCACTCTCGGTTTTCTTTTCACTCTGCTAGTGGTACTTTTGATATGCAAAACTTTTTAATAAGATGAGACCTTAGTTGTTGATTCTTTGAAGGATTCTCATATTTTGGTTTTTGTTCATGAACTCTTTGCCTACCCCTTTGTCTTCTAGATTTTATCTACATTCTTTTTCAATAAATTTAGTTTTCTGTTTTAATATTTAGATCTTTGATCCATTTTACTTTAGTTTAGTGCACAGTGATAGACATAGGTCTAGTTTTAGTCTTTAGCATGTAGAAAGCCAGTTTTTCCAGCACCGTTTATTAAAGAGGTTATCTTTCTTCCAGTGCACATACTTGGCCTCTTTATCAAAGATAAGGATCCCACTTGGTCATCGTATATAACTTCTTGATGATTTGTGGCATTCTGTTTGCTTGTATCTGACTGAGGATTTTTGCATCTATGTTCATTAGAGAGATTGATCCATAGTACTCTTTTTTGATTGAGTCTTTCTCTGGTTTTGGCATCAGAGTAATACTTCTCTCCAGACATGAATTAGGGAGAATTGCTTCCCTTTCAATTTCATTAAAGAGTTTGAAGAATGTTTATGTTAAGTCTTCTCTAAATTTCTTGTAGAATTCAGTCACAAATCCATCAGGACCTGAGCTTTTCTTCATCGGTAAGTTTTTAATTACATTTTCAATTCCATTAACTGATTTTGGGTTGCACAGAATTTTTATATCTTCTTGATTCAGCCTTGGTAATTCATACATTTCTAGGAATCTGCCCATTTCTTCTGTGCTTTCCATCTTCTTCAAGTAAAGATTTTCAAAGTAGGTATTGATGATCTGAATTTTCACAGGATCTGTAGTGTTTTCACCCTCTTCATTCTTTATTGCATGAATTAGAGTTTTTCTTTCCTTTTTTGATAAGGTTGCCTAGGGCTTTATTAATTTGATTTGTTCTTTCAAAGAACCAACTTATCAGTTCATTAATTCTTTGTATTGTTTTATTAGTCGCAATTGCTTTAATTTCTGCTCTGATCTTTATTATTTCCTCCCTTGTATGGGCTTTCGACTTGACTTGCTCTACTTTTTGTAGAAGCTTGAGGTGCAGCATTGCATTATTTGTGCTCATTCTGTTTTACTGATATGAGAATTCACTATCAGTCCTTTGGTGTAGGGCTGTGGTGAGGTTATTATCCCTGAGCTTCCCAGTATTGTTACAGGAAGGGAGAACAACTGATTACAGCAGATATGACATCCTAGCTAAGATAGTAAAATGTAACAATAACATCAAGCACAATTTAGAAACTGAAAAACTGTGGAACTCATAATTTTATACTTTAAACCATGGGAGCAGAGTCTATAGTTATATAACAGAACCCATCATAAACTAGAAATTTGGGGCTAGGGATTTAGCTCAGCAGCATAAGCACCTGCCTTGCAAGCAGGCGGTCGTGAGTTCAATCCCCGGTACCGATAAAAAAAAAAGAAAAAGACAAAAAAAAAAAAAAAAAAAAAACTAGAAATTTGTATGAAAAGTTGTTTCCCTTGTTAATTGGTCTTACCCTGTTATGGGGAAATTTACGGAGGAGAGTGAATAACACTAAGATAACTGGAAAGCAAGTAGAAGCAACCTAGAGGACAAGGCTTGGGAAACTAGAGAAGTGGGTAGAAAAGAAACAAGGAAAGAATATTCAAGGGATTATCTGAACTTGGTCTCTGGGTTTGGGGGATGAAACTAGTTTTCTGTGACTGGAGTTCTCCCCAGCCACTTAGAAAACAGAGAAAAAAGAAAGAAGAATGAAGGAGAGAGAGAGAGAGATATAAAGAGAGGGAGAGAGGGAAAGAGAGAGAAGGAAGAAAATAAGAAGAGAAAAAGTGAAAAGACATGAGAACAGGGCTGGTTACCGAGTCCTTGGTTCTTATCCATCGCCTGTTGGCTCATGTTGTTATTGTGGCTTCAGATTTTGTGCCCCACTTGTCTCCTTCGGTCCTGTGCACCTTTGTTGGAACCCTGCTATGTCTCTGGCATTCCCTGTGGTCTCTGGGCCTTCCCAAGAGCAGTTCAGGGTCCGGGCCATAGCCAAGGGAAGGCCGGTTCTTTGGGCCTTCAGGTGGTTCACCCAGGTCACCTAGGTGGAGATGGTGGCGGGAGGGGCCACCCTCTTCTGTGGTGTTCTCCTGAGTTTCCACGGTGTGGATTTATTTTCACTTAATTCTCCAATCCAGAAATTTACCACACAGATCTGCATGTAGCTTTGACGCATATTCAGTGATCCATAAATACTTGTTAGAATAATGGTGTGTTTTTGTTTCTGTTGAGTTGTGAAGTTGCTGTGGATTGTTTTTATATTGGGTGTATTACTCATTTTTATTTTTGTTGAATCATATTATTGTTGCTTTAACATTTACCTCCTCTCTTCTATGGCTTTATGCATGATTTAGAGTTGATTTTCCTGTGTTGCCCCTAAGATGTTTCAAAAAGAAGCTGCAGGAAAGACTACTCCAGTATACCTGATCTTGGTCCCTATAGAAAGACATAAATATCTTCATATTCCTAAAGTACTTAAGAAAGTGAATTTTACTTTTATTCAACCTGATTTTGCTGGTGATGAAAAAACATGTGAGAGATACTGGCAGATTTTTCCCAAACTGTGTGACCTACGAAAAGAGAATTGTTCTTCCTCCATCTGTTGGAAAACTATTGGGATAGAAACAGGCATTTCATACCCTTTTTTGGGGAATATCCCCTTTCTTCTGAGAGTCTAATACGGACATAGAATAGAAAATATACAAGAAAATTACTGCTTCCTGCTTCATGATGGAATTTTAAAATTCCAAACATTTTGCTCCCTCAAATTTAGTTCGTTTTACTATCTTATATTTTAAATTATTTTTAAATGGAGAATAAACTAATTATGAGGTAGACAGTGTAAAGGATGTGTTCTTTTTAAAATGCCTAGGGTGTCTATTCAACTTCATCTGTTTTCAATATTTAACACCCTAATGACATTAGTGACTAAATATTCCACTTATGATAGACACTTATGCTTAGGAAAAATCAAAATTAGAGCATTTAATCCATTGTCTATTACTACTTACCCTGAGAGACTATCTGAAAATTTATAGTGTTTGATTTTGAACCCCAGAATAAACAAGGGAATCCAAAACTTCCCTGGTGTTGAGTAAAATACCCTTGCTTTCAGGCTTCCTATGAATAGCAGTATTGTCTTTTACCATTAGTACAGGACCAGGACCTTACCATTTCACACTTGGGCTTGTTTTTATTTTTAAGGAATGCTGGAAAATTGTGGAAATGAATGTTTTTTCTTTTATTTTTTTCCTTAATACCTCATGGATCCTGACCTTTTCTTTTAAACTGGCTTAGAATGTGTTTCTCTTAAAACTGGTCACTGACCCTAGAATAAGTTTGATTTTCTTTTTCCATGATCTCTGCTAAAGAATTCTGTTAATAGCATACTAAACTGGATTACAAACTTACTGAATAAGTGCTTTGAATTCTGGGAATAAAGGGTATAGAGAAAGTAATACTGCATAGAATGAAATTGGGTCCGTTGGTGTAAAGGAAAGGAATGCAACTGTATGGTTAATGTGATCAACATCTTGGAGTAGCTTTATTAGCAATTTAATGGAATATGGTTTTCAGCACAATAATGGCTTCAGTTGAAATGTCTGCTCTTTTTCCCATACACTGTGGAATGAGTAGAATGTGACAGTTGAGCTTTCAACAAGCTTCATGAATTTTAAAGCCTCTTTACTTATAAAATAGATTACATGGCATGTAGTCAATGCAGACAAGGAGTTGGCAGCCTCATCGGGTGTTACGAGCTATCCAGGGTCTTCAAAATAATGAGGGGCTCAGGTGGACCAGGTGCATTCCGGTCTGCTCTGCACATCCACAAAGAACAGACAACCTCTCTGTGTCCAACATTTCTTAATTAACCATTTTGCGATCATATGGTTCCTTTCCCAGCATTTGGTGCAAAAATTTTAAAATGATATATTTTAAAGAAGAAAACCTCCACTAAAGTCTCAGAACAACTTATTTTGTTCTTTCTTCTTATCCATGTGTATTTAAAGAAGGGATCTCTAAATTGTGGCATGGATTTGCATTCTCAAATCATAACACATATCCTAATTGATTCTGAAGTACTTCTTTAATTATTGAAATGTTTTATAAAGTCATTCAAAAATTCTGTTGCTACCATAAAAGTCTGAATCTCTTCTTCAGATTAAGCCTTATTCTAAATTTCATTATAAGGAGATTTATTTATTGTGTTTGGAATTACAACAAAGGCTTTTCAAAAGATAGCTTTTCAGAAAATCTAAATTAACTTCAATTTAAATACAATATTATGTATTTACTTTTAAATCACTTTCTATCAGTGCTATGTTTTGTTTAAGTTTGGAGTATGTATGTTTATAGTAAAATTTTATATTAGTATGAACAAGAAGTATTCTCATAAAGATACTTAATAGGACTGTCTGAAAATTCATGTAACAGATTACTAACTATACATGGATATTTGGGTTTCAAAGATTTTAATGTTTTTATTTTACTCACCTTTACTTCCTAATTTTTCTAGATTGGATGTTATCTTTTTTTAACCTCATGTCCAGAGAGCATAGGCTGTAAATAATAAAGCTGACATAAATTCTTTGCAGTTTGGAAACACTAAGGACAAATGTCTGGAAGATGTAGAGGATTAAAAATCAAATGCTTTAATAGGAAGCAAAGAAAGCATACAGTAGTATTGGGTGTAACTGCAATGACAATTCATGGACGAAGGATGTGCAGGTATTTGTATATACCAAAAATGACTTGTGTAGGACAAAAAGTTGGACCAGGGATGTTTCAAGTCTAGTCCAAGACAAGAGTCCAGGATGCGTAGGAACAGTGATGACAGTCTGTGGAGTAAGCCACAGGTGCACCAGGGCTGATAATTTAGGCTAAACAGACTCCTATAATGCAGCTCCAAGTGCTCCAGTATTCTGTGTTTGAAGTCATATTTGTATCAGGGTGTTTAGAATAATAGAGAGCCTACACTGATTAAGCTATATGCTATAGGCATAGATCTGCCTTAGGAACAGCCAGTGATTTTTATAGTTGTAGAAGTGAATAAATTTTAAATATTCCAGCTACAGGATCCCACATATTATTCAGCTTCTACCATCAACTGTTACTCACCCACAGCCCATAGCTCATTTCACTTCTACACATTTCCTTTGTTACCAAAAATATTTTTAAATTTTTTTGTTTTTTAAAACTTTTAATCCTAGTTTTCTGTATAATTTCTAACTGCTAAATTTATCCACTTTCTCCTTATTCTTAGAACTATCTCATGGTTCCTCTTTGGGTCTTTAGCATGATACTTTTTAGTTCATTGCACAGAAACTATGTGGAATTGATCACTAATAAAGTCTAATAAATTTTGCCCTGAAGACCTGAAGGAATTAATCTACTTTTTAAAGTTCCTAAAGTATATCCAGAAGAACCTGAAGAAACAAGAAAATCTGGCTAATGATATAATGTAAATAAAAACATTTTGGTCATACGTTAGCGTAGTACTAAAAAGCATTTAGTTTTGTAAGCATAAAAAGGTATTTTGTTCACTGAGGATTAATTTCAAGATTTGAAAATTAACTTATATGATGTTAAATTTAGTTAAATATCAGAAAGCTTTACAAATTATAACCACTATTAAGCTGTTTTTTTCCCAATGTGAGCTTTGTTAGTCTCTAAGCTTTGTACATTTTGTAAAGAAGCACATTCCTCTTGTGAAATGGAATGCATCTGATCTATAATAAATCTGCTTGAAAGACAATAGATTCTAGCTAGTGCAGCCCTGGTTCAAGGAAAAAAGACAATAAATAAGGGCAGTGACATTTATGGGAATCTAATTTCATCATGTTCTGCCTCATAAGAAGTGTATCTACATTGTATTTGAGCTTATTATACATTGGGAACTACTTACAACCAAGTATTAAGTCTCTTCTGTGTTATGTCCCTGGTGACTAGTCCTCAATTGATGTTTTATTTTAAAATTAGTTAATCTTTAGTGATAAATTAGAAGCAGAAATAAAGTTCATTTTGAAAAGAAGAAAACTACCGTAAAGGGAAGAAGCTTATCTTATTTTTCAAAAGTAATTTGGGAAAGGCAAAACCCATTAGCTAGATAATAATTAGTTTTCCTTGGTAAAACATTGACTGGAATGTTTATATTAGGAAAATATAATTGAACTGTTCCATTCTCGGCCCAGCAAAGAATGCCCAGATTTGATAACAGAGAAGTGAAATTATTCACTATTTTTCTTACCACTGTGTTAGGACTAGATGACTTTCAAATCCACGTGCATGTTTTTGGTGGGGGCGGAGTAGGGTTCAAATCTAGGGCTTCACAATGGTGGGGAAGTGCTGAACCACTGAGAGACATTCCCAGCCCTCAGAGCTAGCCATCTTATACACTGTAAAGGGAAATAAGCCTTCACTGAACATCCATATTCAAACAAATAGCTGGTATTTTGTCACTAGCACATTTGCAATAAAATCTAAGAGAAGCAAATGTATGAACATATGATGAAGAGGGAATATTTATAAAATAATTTGCCATGCTGCAGCCTGAAATTAGAAAGCAACTTCTTGGAATGAATTACTGTGTGCTCAACTAATCCTGATGGGAGCCTTTCACAACCATCTCTATTGAAGGCTGTAGTCTCAGTTTGTTGAAAATTTTGTATTATTATCTGTTTGTTTCTTCTCTGGAAATATCTTCTTGCTCCATGTCTTGTACTCTGAGTAACTACTTGGAAGAAAATTACACACAGCGTATTAACTATTGTTGAGACTAACAATAATATAATTTTGTTATGAAATGTTTTATTTTTTTTAATTAAAAGGCACTTAAAACCCCAGGATTTGGAATAAAAAATAAGCACAAGCATTCAATCAATCAATCAATCAATCAATCCAGTCTTCTAGCTTTCCTGCCCTCTAAAGGCCAACTGTTGGGCCTTGTGGCACAGTCACAAAAACAACAGATTGCACCAGTTGTGGTGAAAGGTTGTTTTCCTTGGCAAAGAGGAATGCAAATTTACTCATTTTTAGCATATGCAGTGGTTATGGTAAATATACCAATAGAGGGTTTCTCAGTAAAAATATTCTCCTACTTGAATCGTGAATAAGAACATGTTTTAATTTGCCCAGCAAGCATTCATTCAGTCCTGTGCTGTTAGATAGTGAGAATACGTTTTGGGCTGATTGATTCAAAATGTGTTTGAATATCGTGCATCCTATTACCTTGTCATTAACTTGCTTAATTAACTGTCCTGCTCAAGTGATCACAATTTCAAAATTGATGATTTCTAAAAGATAAAAATGTTCTGCTATGTTTTTAGCTTCCACAAAATCGAATGTAACAATGTGCATAGAAGTAACACTTGAATCCTTCAGATGCCTTCAGATGCCTATTACATCCAGAAAATTTATTACCACCCATTTATTTTTTGTCCAGACCTTTTACCTAGCTGGTAGCTGTGCATCTATAATGGACGCGTAATTAGTCTCCCTTCCCGGACAAAGGGGGATTTTTCTAACCATTTCCTCATATCTTACAAAAGCAATGAATGCAAAATGTCTCCTGGAGTCTTTCTTAACATATAATCATTAAAAGGGATGCACAAGGCAAGTTGTCTGCTGTCACTTCTTGCAGGTCACAGTCTGAGGTAATTTTTCTAATGTCTGTTGGTTTTAAGTACCTTTTTTATGTCATTGGCTCCTAGTTCTGGGACCGATTTTGACTGTTTTAGTTTCCTGTACTGCAAGTTAATATATTCAGATGTGCTGTCATCTCCATTTGAATTATCCAGAAATCATTTCAGACGCAGCCTGGTCAAAACAGAATTCCTAAATTATCTCTCCACACTTGGTTGTTTTCCTCCTTGCCTTTTCTGTATTAGAAATTGGTGCCCTCACTGGCCCAGTTATTCAAAACAAAAATAAGAGCCATCTTGATTCCCTTTTTTGCCTTACCCTCACCAGCTCCTGCGAATTCTTCCTTAAAAATACAGGTGAAACTGAGACTGGTCTTTAAAGGTAATTAGGTGAGAAGGAATTCACATGGTGGCCCTAATCCATATGACTGATGGCCTTGTAAAACTACAAGGATATAGGGCAAGGATACTCAAAACACAGGCCAAATTCAGTCTTTCTTTGTCTCTATCATAGCTCTTGTGCAGACTACCACCATCCTCCACTGGGACCATTGCAACTGCTCTTAACTCATTTTAATCTGTTACCTCTTTAAAAGGCTCAATCTCTGAATACAGCTACCTTCTGAAGTACTGGGAGTTTTGAACATAAGAATCAGGGGCAGAGGTGGATACAGTTCATCACATAACTCTTGCCCTCTCATTTTAGGACCATACTTGCTCTTTCTGTTTCTTGAACAGGTTAAGCTTGTTCCTATCTTAGACCTTTGCACTGCTAATAGCATTGGTCCTTTTGGATATTCTGATTTCAGTACAAATATTACATTTCAGAAGGCTGTTCCTGACCTTCCAATCTATAGGAACTATCCACATGTTTTTATATTAAAGTTCCTGAGTTAAACTTATGCACAGCATTACCATTAAGTATTTTTCTGTTTATTATTTATTATCTGTTTCTTCAATATGTTCCAAAACCTAGAATAATGCAAAGTATGGATAAAAATTTGTTGAAAGACCATTTTAAATAAATAAATGAAATTTATTAGAGAAGAGAGGGAGTTAGTGATTTGGGGGAACAAGTAGACCAAAGCTATTTTCTCACTTGGAATTCTTTAGAAATTTATCTCAAACCTTTAATTGAATCTGCTAACCCCTGAAATGCCTTTAGTTGTTTAGAAGAGGCCATGCCACCTTATGACTCCTTCTTAGCTAAACAAGGTGGGCATTTTTTGCCCCATACATACATTTGTTTATAACATTTCTATAAACTATTTCTGATTTGCAAAGTTACCTGGCATTTCCTTCAGTAAACATGGAGAGCCTGCCAGGGACCAGATCTGGTGTTAGCTCCCATGTCCCCAGGGATGTGGCCGCACACAGAAGGAATACTTAATCCAGCCAGGATCTGCAGTTGAGGTTGAAGCAAAAATGTGTTGAGTGGTTTCTAGGGCAGCTTAATGCCTACAGTGTACTAATTGTGTACTGGGTACACAAAATCATTTCCACACTTTAAATCTGTTTGCCTTTCTATTAAAAATGACAGCGAGGAACTTCTCTGAATTCACAGAAAACTGTGGGCATTTTGAGTGCTATATCTTTTGCTTTTTTGGATAGCATGCATGGCACATTTTTGTGCTTTTCCACTTTCTGGGGAATTGGTTTAAAAATTTAGAAACTTGTCACTTCCCTGGTTTTTAACATACTAAATTTTTTAAAGAGAAAAAGAACAACAAAAAGTGATACAGAATTAAAAACCATAATAGGCAATTAACAATGGTTAATATTCTGCACGTTGTTATGTTCAAAGTAATTGCTCAAATTACAAGATAAAGGCATGCAGTACTGATTAAACAATATAAGCACAAATGCTTTTTTTTCCAATGAACTGAAAGAAATCAATAGTATAGCTATCTTCTGTGTGTATATGCATATATATTTTTTCTCTTCCTTCTTTTCTCCCTTCACGCATCCCAATTGTTCTTTCCTTATGAGCAGTTTCTTTCCCTCTCACAATATCTGTTGTAGATTTTAGAACTTACTTACTTTGTCAGTTTCTTCCACTAGGGAAACAATATGATATTTACACATGAGAGTTTTATTTCACTTGAGTATGGTCTCTTGTTGCATCCATTTACCCATTAAAACCTCAATTTTATCCTTCTTTATACTCCATTACATAAAAATATCACATCTTTTTATCCATTCCTGCCATGATGGGCATTTGGGTTGTTTCCAGGATTTAGATACAAATAGTGCAGCTGCAAACAAGGATGCACATATATCACTGTGGTATGATGCTTTTAATTTTTCTTGGAAAATATGCAAGAGGGGAATAGCTTTGTCAAATAGGATCTCTAATCCTAATTTTTTTGAGGAATCTCCATACTGATTTCCACAGTATGTGTACCAGACTACAACAATGGAGAAGTGTTCTTTTTCACCCACACCCCTATCAGCATTTGTTATTGGTTGATTTCTTGATGATAGCCATTCTTCCTGGGGTGAGATGGAATCACAGTATTGTTTTAATTTGCATATCTCAAATGATCAATGAAGTTGAACATTTTTTTCATGCAATTATTTGGAATTTGTATTTCCTCATTGGAAAAATATATCTATACATCCCAGATGCCCATTTTTGGATTGAGTGGGGCTGATTTGTTTCTTTATTATTACATTTTTTTTATTTTAACAAGAATAAAACAAAACAACACAACAGAGCAAAGCAGATCAGAACAAAACAATGAAAGTAACACAGGATTTCAAAATGAGACAATAGAAAATTAACAGTGACTACCATAATGTCTCTTGTTTTCTTCAAAATAGTTATCCATATCTTCACACACAATGAATTCAACCAAGACAAAATAGTATAAATTGGTCAAAACAAAAGAATGACAGCATTACAGATTTTCAAAGCCAGACAACAGGAAAATCAACAATGGCCACCATAATGTTTCTTGTTCTCTTCAAAATAGCTGTCCATACCTTCACACATACTGAAATTAAATAATACAAAACAGACTAAAACCAATCAAAACAAAGAATAAAAGCATTCTGGACTTCACAATAAGATGACAGGAAATAATCAATGGCTGCCATAATGTCTTATTTTCTTCAAAGTAGTTGTTCATACCATTACATGTAATAAAGTCAGTTCTTGTAAACTCTTTAGAAGTTCTAGGCATGCATAATCCTATACATGTACATCTAACCTTTCCGTATTAGAAGGAAAAACAAAACAAAACAAATTACGAGAAAAACAAGAAACAAAAGAGGTAAATTAATAACAATAACAAAGAGCCCAAAACAATGACAGTATAGGCTTTCAAAACAAGGTGGTATAAATGTAACTAAGGTTGTTATTTTGCATAGTTATCTTCAAAAGAGTTACTCAGATTACCAGATATAAACATGCAAAACTGATCTAATCCTATGAATGTTAACTGTTTTGTTCTAAGAACTAATAGAATTAGTAACACAATCATCTTTGCTATCTTAAATATGTATCTACAAATTTATATCTTTTTTCTTTTCCCTTCCTTCCTTTCTTCTTCCCCTGACTTATTTTTCCCCCTTTGAGTAGTTTCTTACCGTTTCACAATACTTATTGAAGATTTTTTATCTTATTTACTCTTTCAGTTTCTTACACTAGGGGACAATATTTACACATATGAGTTTGATTTATGTCACTTAGAATATGGCCTTAAGTCTTGAATTTTTTCAATTTTTTATATATTTTAGATATAAGTCCTTTGTGTGAAGGACAGTTGGTGAAGAGTTTTTTCTACTCTTTGGGTTTTCTTTTTACTCTGTTGATAATTTCTTTTGATGTGCAAAACTTTTTTTTAAAAATGAGATACCAGTTATTAATTCTTTGAAGTACTTTTTGTGCAGTTTGGTTTTTGATCATGAACTCTTTGCCTACCTCTGTGTCTTCAAAATTTTTATCTACTTTCTCTTCCAGTATTTTTATGTTTCTATTATAATATTTAGATCTTTGATCTATTTTGACTTTACTTTAGTGTTCAGTAATAAACATGGGTCTAGTTTTAGTCTTTGGCATATGGAAAGACAGTTTTTCCAGCACCATTTACTGAAGAGACTTTCTTCCAGGGAACATGTTCTGCCCTTTGGTCAAAGATAACGTGACTGAGTGTGTTTATGGTTGTGTCAGCATCTTCTCATCTGTTTCACTGATTCTCAGGTCTGGTTTTTTTATTTTTTTTAACAGTACCATGCTGATTTTATCACTGTAGCTTTGTAATATAATTTCATACCAGGGATTGTGATGCCTCCTACCTTGCCTTTGTTGCTCAGGATTGCCTCTGCTATTTTATGTCTCTTCTGGTTCCAAATGAATTTTAGGAAAGCTTTCTCTAGATAGGTAGGTATGCTAATGGTATTTTGATACCTGTATCAATGGGAAATATGACCATTTTCACAATATCTCTATTATTTCTGCAAGTAGTTTTTTTATGTTGTGTTGACTATTGCTTTTTTATTGACACCAATTATTCTTATTTTTCTTTGAGTCATCTTGCTGCTGTTGAATTGTTATTTCCTGATGTTTTGTTATTTTCAGAAGATCTTTCCTTTCATGATCACTAGTTGTGATCCAGTCTTCAAGGTCTGAAAGTCTGTCTTCAGTTTTGTTCAACCTGTTTTGTCAGTTTTCAATGGAATTTTTAATTTCCTGGATATATGTTTGAATCCATCTCATGAATTCTATTTCTTTCCTAAGTTGGTCACTTGCTGTTTCCATCCTCTTCCTATCACCTATTTTTTCATGTATCTCTACTCTAGATTTGCTGAACAGTTCATTTATAAATGTTGACATTTCTTTTTTTTACCTGAGAGATTATTTCTTATCTGATTTCCTCTATAGCCTCAAAAATTTTTTCTTTAGTTGTTTCATTTCAGAAATTTGTATTTCTGAAAATAGGGTGTGTATTCCTATTTATTTTATGTCAATGTCTCCTGGTCTTGTTCAGGTTGGAGGCCTGAGATAACATTTTGCTTTTTTATCTTGTCATTTTCTATTTCAAAACATTTTTCATTTCATTTTCTGTGATGATCCTTATGGGTTTTGGTGGTAAATAGCCCTATCACTAGTGTAAGACCTCTCTAGGAAAAGTCTGTTCTTAAGATATGTCTTCTGTTTAGGAAATTCCTTGTTTGTGTCTCTTATAAGATCTTCCAATTCAGTAAGAGTGAGATATTGGTATCTGTTTGGCTCAGTCTCAGGTCCTTTGGTATTGGACTGTGATGAAGTTATTACCCCAGAGTTTCCCAGGATTGTCACTGAAAGGAGAACAACTGATTACAACAGATATGACATCCTAGCTAACGTAGTAAAATTAGCTGTAACAATATCATCAAGCACAATTTAGAAACTGAAAAACTGTGGTTAACTCTTGATTTTGTACTTTAGACCGTAGGAGCAGAGTCTACAGTTATATAACAGAACCCATCATAAAGTAGGTGTTTGTATGCAAAGTGTTTTCCCTTGTTACAGTGGTTTTACCCTGTGATGAGAAAATTTAGAAGGATACTGTAGAAAACAAAGAGAACAACAAGGAGGTAGAAGCAAGGCTGGCAAACAAGGAATGATCACTTAAGGTTTGAGCAACTAGAGAAGAGGGTAGAAAGAAAGAATGAAGTATTCAAGGGATTATCTCAACTTGTCTCTGGGTTTAGAGGGATGGGATTAATTTTCTGTGTTTGCAGTTCTCCCCAGCCATTTAGAAAAGAAGGGGAAAAAAGAGAGAAACAAAGAAACAAAATACAGGAAAAAAAAAAAAAGATTTGAGAGAAAAGGCAGGATTACCGAATTCTGGATTCTTCCGGAGCCAGTTGCTGGTCCTGCATGGGGTCTCAGTCACCTGTTGGCTCTGTTGTCATTGTTACGGCGGACTCTTCTGACCACTAGTCTCACCTCTCCACCTGTGTGCCTTAGTTGGGGTCTGCTGTGTCACTGGTGTTCCTTCTGGTCTCTAAGCCTTCCAAAGCAGTCCACCTCAGTGGTGGGGGGCCACCCTCTTCTGGCATGGCTCACCTGGTTTCCTGCAGTGGCTGAGAGAACTAACATAATAAATCTTGCAGGACCTTTGGCAGCTGACACTTACATTTGGCATTTGATGATAAATCATATTTCTATTTGTCCTCAGCGACAGAATGTCAGTGGCTCTTAGGTACTCAATACATGTGTTGTATCATTATCATCAACAGGGAAATGGACTGCCTGAGTTAATATGTTATATGTCAAGCAAGCTGACAAGACCAGCAGGACTCCTGCCTTGCTTCCCACTTAAAAAACTAAATGTTGCCTTCAGCTTTCTTCTGGGAAACTGCCTTGCAGTGACATGTTTGTGGAGGAGTCTTTGAGCATCAAGAACTTTGGCACGGTGTCTTCTGTAGATAACAAGGGGAATCTTTCCAAGTTTTGCCCAGAGTAATTTTTATTTCCCCTATGTACTCTGGCTCCACTGATTTTTATTCTGCAGTTTTACCTGCTGTCCTTGACACCACATGTCCTCCGATCTGAGCACTGGTTCAGAGATGAGTGTGCTGAAGTATTAACACCTAGGTCTGACACACAGCTGCAACAGTTGCTTTTTAGCTCTACAGTCATGGAGGTATAATCCTGGGGTGCTTTAGCTTTACAAATGATTTGTGACCTACAGCTTTAGATAAGCAGATGGCATTATTGTTAGAAGTCATTATGAGTAGCATTTGATGAGCATTCTTACTAGCCAAAATAACAGATATTATCAGGTAAAATCACTGTTGCATACTATATAATTTATGACATGGAAACTCATGATTTATACGTGTAGAAAAAAAATATCTTCCATTAATAGTCATTTCTGCATCCAAATTTAAGGAGTCTTAGTAATGTTGTCTGTTACTGACCCTGGATGCTACCGGTCAGTTTTGTTATATAAGTAAATGAGTTGCTTTTACCTTCAGCTGACAGAAAGCTCGAGTCAAATTGGTTAAGAAAATGAAGTTTTTTTATATATCAAGAACTCAAAGGGCCCCAGAATTGGTAGATTCAGGAACTCAACAATGTTCATCAAGGACTGAGATTCTTGGCTGTGTTCTCAGATCAGCATGAGCTCTAAGAACCATGTATATATATTATATAGGACAATGTGCCAAGGAAGAAGAGAGATTACACATTTTTCTTTCTATGGTTCCGGGAACCTTGCATCAAATTTTCCCTCACTGGCCAAAACTGGGTCACTTTCAGGAGAGATGGAACTGCTATGATTTATTTAGACTGGGAGGCACCTGAAGGGATATAGTGATAATTAAATGACACAATCAGTGCTAAATCCTTTGGTACTTAAAAAAAGCTTGATAAATTTTATGTATAATTAAATGATGAAACATCCGTGTTGTTAAAATTGTTAAAAATATCCCAAGTTGAGAGTAGTTAAGAGCTTCTTGACTCTTGTGGAAATGAGTTTTGTGATGAGAAGAGAGTAAGTATCAACTGTAATTTTCTCAACAGTGCTACTTGTGTAGACCAAGACCTGATGCTTATGGGAATACAGGGGAGGACTCTTACCATAGGAAGGGACTGGAACAAGTTACTAGCACAAAACCCCAGGGGAAAAAAAAAAAAAAAACAAAGCATAAGTGTTTGATAGGAACCCAGGTATATGATATAAAGTGGGACAAAGCAGAAAAAAAATGACTTGATTGTAGATCTCAGAGCACTCACACGGAAGTTTTTAGATTCATCTTTTCTCAGGCTAAGACTGATCCTGGAAATCTGTTAGGGAACGAAGCTAGTGTTGATGAAATCTATCACATATGTGAATATGAGAAAACGCACAAGGTTAGCAATTAAGCAAACCCTGACATCTGTCTTCTTATAGAAAAGCCACAGATGCTCACCATTTGCGGGTAATTAACAGCCTCAGAGCAACTGTGTGATTGATTATTCCAAAAAAATTTTAAGTTACTAAGTTAACACTCGCATACCTTGTTTTCTAGATACAGGTTGTCCTTCTGCATCAGAATCCTTGTCTGTCTCTGAGATCTCGCATCTTTCTGGAATTCTTAAATTCACTTCTGAATTTGTCCCATCTTTCCTCTTGCTTCTGATTGAATTTGGCTAAACACCAAAACACTTTACTCATGAATAACCATCTAGGGTGTTTTCAGTAAACATTATGGGTAGGAAATAGGATTACACATTCATGAATGCCAGAAAATGTTTTGAGACTCAACTCTCAGAAATCCAGATCTGAATATGACCTCATTTTAAAATCTGTTCCCTCCTCTTATAACTATGGAAAAAAGTGCTAAATATCCTGATAAATTTTTAGTACTTGTCACTATAAGTAAATCAGTACGTTTAGAAATCCAAGAAGTCAATGGGGAAAATGCAATGGATATTTAACAGTCTGTAGGAAATGTTTTCAGAGACCTTATTCATGTAGCAAATATCCTTATAGCTGGGTGTGGTGGCTCATGCCTGTCATCCCAGCACTCGAGAGGCTGAGGCAGGAGGATCATTGTGAGTTTGAGACCAGCCTGGGCTACAAAGTGAGCTCAAGGCCTGCCCAAATTGCATAGAGAGTCCCTGTCTCAAAAAGACAAAAACAAAACAAAAAAAATTTTTATAAAAATGCAATGAGGGAAAATGAACCAAATGTTTATAAAATTCTCCTACACATTGACCATTCTATAAAGCTCTGAGAATAATCACAAGATTAATGACATCTACTTGATTCTATCTGATAACTTGAAATTTTCAATGATTAAGTAATGTCCAGTATTATTGACCATTTTTCTAATTCAAGAAACCCTTCATTAGTTTATCGGAGACTAAGGTGAGATGTTCACAATCTGAGGATCTCCCAGGAAATTCATTTGTTTCTTAGGAATTCTGGATGATATTCAGGCAGGACTAGATACCTACATACTATTAACATTTTGATTTCTTAACTTAAATGTCACTTCATCCTCAGATAAGTATACTTATTTCTCAAGCAGGTGGTATCCCACACACAGTAGTGTTCCTTCATTGTTCTTACGATTTCTACCTACATGACTTGTGTGCATATTTAATTTCTGTCTCCACATAAGCATTATCTGGCAGAAGTCATACCTGTTTTTGTGACCACTACCTAGCATGATATCTACCTCTCAACAAATATTCAGAATTTACTGAATGAGTAAAACTGAAGTGAGACTGGGGTGACCCAAGATATATTTTTGCTTATTATTACTACTTACATGTATAATTTTATCATTTTAATTTCTATGAAAATATATGAGATTTATAACCTAAACATCATTGCACCATGTTTTCTGCATTTTAAAATTTATCTGTGCAGGGGCTGGGGATTTAGCTCAGCGGCATAAGTGCCTGCCTTGCAAGCAGGCAGTCGTGAGTTCGATCCCCAGTACCGATAAAAAGGAAAAAGAAAAAAGAAAAAAAAATTTAGCTGTACAACATTTCATTAAGGAATGAATTCAGGAATTTAGTGTGTCTAAGACCCAGCAAATTTAAGACTAATTTAAAGTAGTTTTCTTCCTCTAAACAACATTGTGAAGTCCAACTTATTCTGAAAGAGAAGAGATCTCTTAAAAAACTAAAAAAAAAAAAAATAACAAAACATAGTTTTCTTGGGAATTTCATAGGAACATTTTATGAAATGGTGCACAAGATTCTGAACAAACAATTTAGAAATAAACATTCCATTTAACTTTCTCCCTTCTGACCAAAGACCTTTACAAGTACATGCTTAAATAAAATCTGTTTAAATTTTGAAATTTCCTGTATTCTCTATTGCTGTGTAATAAATGACCTAAACATAGCAATTTAAAAGATGTCTGTTTATTTTATGCATTTGTAGGTCATCTGGCTATGGTGCATCTGGCTTCTTTCTTTAGGGTAATACAAGGCCACAGTTAAGATATCAGCTGGTCTGTGTTCTCATCTGGAGCTTTGGTTCTCTTTCAAGCCCATTCATGTTGTCAGCAGAATTCTGTTTCTTCTGGTTGTAAGACTAGTAACTTTTTTATCCCCTAGCTATCAGACAGAAATTGTTCTCAATTCATAAAGGCCGTCTGGAGACCTCCTTCATTGGCAGTTCACACCATGACTAAATGTGTTTTTCAGAAAAAGCATAATAATTGTTTAATTTTCTCTCTCACTCTCTCTCACCTTCATAACCTTTTTAAGAGCCCCCCTCATTAAGTCAGGGCCGCATGGTCTAATCTCTTTTGACTAATTTAAGTCAACTGATTAGTTGCCTTAATTACATCTGCAAAACACAGTATCTGTACTTGAACTGTGTAAAGTAACCTTTTAAAAGGAGTGACAATCCCATAAAATTCACAAGTCCTTTCCACACTCAAAGGGACAAGTTTATACAAAAAATAGATATCTATATCTATATATCTATAGATACTTACCTTGGGCACCATCTTAGAATTTTACATTCTACCTACTATACCTTACAGTGTAGTTAAATACCCTTCTCAACTTTCTAAACTTGTTGGAATAATGTGGAGTATATATAGTGTCTTGTTTTGGAGGGTATCTACATGTCCATTTGCTTTTGTAATTATGCTGTATTTAAAATACATTGTTGACTAAAGATTTTTCCATAAATAACTCATTCTCAAAATCTGATAGCTAAAGTAATCACTTCCAAAATTCATTTGCTCTATTTTGGTTATGCTTGGAAAAACAGAATTCAATATTGCCAGAAACCAAGCCCAAGTATTGCAATTTATAAACTCTTCCCATCCATTCCTCCAAAAAAGCCTAGTCCTTCTTTTTGTTCAAATAAATAAATAAATAATGAACATAATCTGATTTTGAGAGTATTGTAGCTCCCATGACCATTCTAACATTTCATTCCATTTGACTGCATAGCACATGCCTAAATTGTTTCTGTTAGTAACAATATTGTCTGGAAAAGAATAACACCAGTTTCAAAGTACAGCCCTCAAAATTTCAATCTCAGCCCTGTTGCTTTCTTACTGTGAGACTTTGGGCAAGTTACATTCTGCCTCATCAGTAAAATAGAACAGTTTTTGTTTATGTCTACCACACTAGGTTGAGAGCATCATATAAATGACTGGCCTATAGAAATATATATATATATATATTTTTCTTCCTAAAAAGGTTTTTCCTAAACTCAAAATATAAAAAAAGGATTCCAGATGTTTTTATCTAGAGTTAAGACTGACTTGTTTAGTACACTAAACCTCTCATTGAGCCTCCTTTCATTTGTAATTTTGGTTAGTTTAGTAATTTAATCAGCACATGTGGAAAAGTTAAGAAATGAAGCACTGAACAAACTCAGGCCTCCCACAATGGAAGAGCCGTGGTTAATATGCAGACCTTCCTCAGTAACATTCCTGGTGTGGTTTGAACATTCTATTCATATTACCTAGTGTTCTTATTCACTGTGTAATTTCACATCCTAAGCTCCTAATATATAGAAATTTCATTTTTATCTCTGACATGAAGAGATTACAGAATCAAAATCCCTTTTGGCACAGGATCTTATAATATGCCGTGGATGTAAATATATGGAATTAGAAAGCAAAACGCAGGCGCACCAGTTCTGATGTGGCTGAGCTCTTAGATGAGGTCTCAGGGGAATCGTACTCACACAGCAATGTGAACTTGGAGAAGGGCTCTGGAGGCTTGATCTAGCAAGTCAACAAAACTCCTTGAGCCTCAGTTTACTTGTATACAAAATAGGCACCCTGATACTTACCTTTCCTGCCTTTTAGACTTACTGTGGACATTACAACAGATACTCCATTTCATTATCACTATATATTTACAAGTTGTATCTGCCCTGACTAAATTGTTAACTTCTTGGGGCAAAGGCTGTGGATTATTTTTTTTGTTTTGTCTTGTTTTTTAATCTTTATAACCTGGTAAGAGTAAGTTGACATCCACTAAATGTTTGTTGAATTGAACACAGGAAAAAGCACAATATGCTAAGCATTGATATAAATTAGCCAAATATTCCAGTCCAGGTTGCACCAGATGTACTGATTATCAAAGAAGATGAAAGTGCCATAAAGAAAAAAAAAATGTGGCTTTTTGAATGTGACCAGGGAGGACATAGTGTGGTTTTGATGCATCAGCAAGTTCCAAGCCAGCTGTGCCTTGACGTACTAGAGACATTACATCAGCTCCTCGGGTAGCTTCCTCAGCGTTGTCCGCATGTCTGTTACACTGAACATCAAAATGCATTACAAAATCAGCAGCAAACAGAGAAAAACCATGTCACCACCAACTAACCCGTCTTGCCTCTATTTGACCATTTTAATGGGATGACAGTATAATTTTAAAAGCTTTTATATGGTGAGTTATAAAGGGACTTGGAAAATGTAAGTGGCCATTGTAAATGATCTGTCTGTTAGCTTTCCATTACAGTAATAAAGACCTGAGATAATCTACTTACAACCAGAAAAGGTTTCTTTTACCCATGGTTCCAGAGGCGCCAGCACGTGATCGTTTGTTCCTGTTGTGTGGAGCTTATATTCAAGCAAGCAGGACACAATGACCAAAGCATGAGGTGGAGCAGGATTCTCACCCCATGAGATGTGAAGAAGAGAAAGGGGCTAAGGGCTTAATATCCCCTTCAAGAATAGGCCTCACTGCCACTAGGCCCCCACTTAAAGGTCACAGTAGCTCAGGCCTTTAACACATAGGCCTTGGGGACATGCCAGATCCAAACTACAAGAGGTGATAATGGTGGTGATGGAAGAGTTTCCAGGACATGGCAAAACCATGAATGACTAAGGCACATGTCGGACACAAATGAGCCAACTCCAAGGGCTCATTGGTAGCTGTAATATCTGCATTCCATTGAGCAGAAACAGCCCAAGGAAGGAGACACGGGAATATAGCTCAATGGCACAGCACTTGCCTGGCAAGCATGAGGTCCTGAGTTTGACTCCTGGTACCAAAAAAATTTAAAAAGCTGTTAGTTAAGCAAGAGGGCTTGGACACAGCTCAGAACTGTTCACCGGGCCTCATGATTACACAACACCTTGGGTGATGATGTGAAAATTAAGAATGGCTGTTTTGAAAATATACAGCAAGGACTGAGGATTTAGCTTAGTGGTATAAGCGCCTGCCTGGCAAGCGCTAGGTCATGTATTCCATCCCCGGTACCAAAAGAAAAGAAAATACACAAACAAAGTCAACTGGGAAATATTGCCTCTAGATAAAAATATTAACTTAATTACAGTACTATAGCAAGATTTTATTAACATAGCTTCTTATTGAAACTATAAGCTTTTTATATTTGATTTGTTTTGCTTTAAATTAAGGAGGGATTTAGGGTTTTTGTTTTGTTTTTAACTCAGAAGGAGATTTTGCAAGAAATAAAAGGAGAGTTTGGTTTAAAAGATGTTTTATTTGGTGCTGAAAGTGGTATGTTTTAATCTTTGCTTTCTTTTTTGAGTGTAGCCACAATCCAAACCAATAGCTGAGCTGTTTTAGGGCAAAATAATATTCATGGCATCAAGTACCGATTTTGAGAACAGTGTGACAGGTATTGGGCTAGATGCTTCACACATACTATCCTATTTGTTACTGACACAGTGCCTCTTGGAAAACAGAGGTTAACTCTTTCCCGTTCACATCACTTGTGTGTGACAGTATTCAAATCCCTGGTACTTTTCACTCACCGTGGCCCAAGAGGAACAAAGTGAGAAGAGAGAATGAGTGAATTTGATAAGATAGATAAGGAAGCAGAAATGAGAACTGTAAAAGGAGGGAGGATGAGAGGAGGCTGGGAAATAAGGAAGGAGGTGGGAGTGAGAAAGAGGAGGAATTCTTGTACTGACTGTGACGTTTAGAGTGGGACGTCCTCATGACCTACTCGTCCTGCATTGTCTTGGACCATCTGAGTCCTGTGGGACGTCCTCCAGGTAGGCCCACTTCCACCTCATGGAATACCTGCATGGGACAAGCTCAGAGTGGGGATCACATAAGAAACAAACCTCATCCTGCTTCCAGGAGCTGGAAGGAAATCAAAATTGAGTGGTTTATATTTAAATGTGTCCTCCATTTAGTGTTCTAAGTTTACACTGGATTTGCAGAAAAGGCTGCAATCTTAGTTTACTAGAAAGCAGATGGAATCTGCCATAGGGTGGTAAAACAAACGAAATGTATCCCAAATGTAAGAAAAAAACAACAACTTCTTACTTGTGGGTCACTTTCTTAGCACCACTATCTGTTACTGCATGCAACCAAGCTGGTGTTTCATCAAAATAATAAAAGTTGTACCTAATATTTATAGATCATTTACATTTTTGTGTGGTAAGAGTTTTACATCTATTTAATGAGAAGGAGGAGCCTAACAAGTTGGTACTATTATCAATAAATAACCACTTTAAAGATGAGCAGACTGAAGCTTAGAATTTTAAACATCTGAAAGTCACTTGGCTGGCAGAACTGGGATTTGAACTCCAGGCCCTTAATACCATGCTCTAGCTTTCCCTAAGCAGGGGACTCTGAATGTGGAACTCCAAAACCGCTACATGTTTTAACCATTAATACTCCAGAAAGAAAGAAATGAAGAGAAGAGGAGAAGGAGGGAAGGGAGGACACTGTAATTACTCGGAGACCATAACCACCTTGAAGAGCAAGAGGCTGAATGAATGGAAGCCGCAGAGGTGGTCTAAAGCCACTGTGGCCAAGAAAGGAATCTAGGATAAAGAATAGGAGAGGAGAAAATGAGACAAAATAGATGGGAATATAAAGTATTAAAAATGAAATTGAAGTGCATGAAGCATGAAAAGAAAAGGAGGAACATGAAAAGATTTAGAATATGAAGCCTTTAGAATACGGAAATTAGATAAAGGTTTACATTAATCAGGGTGGTTTCACTAGTTTAACCTTTTTATTTTTAATTTCATGGGCTAACATGACCCACTCAGCTCAGCTTTTGGAGCGAATCCTGTTTGTTCTGATATTTCTCTGAGAAACACAGAGTTCCACTCTGCAGGGTTAGTGTCCCTATGAAAGGTGGGTGTGTTGTTGGTCATATTTTTCCTCTTGCAAGTTAATTAAGTTAACATTAACTGTGGCTATATAACCACAGAATGGGCAGTTTCTTGAAGGTTCATGGTTTGGATTTTGTCCTGCAAAAGTTCCCACTTCTGTAGCTATATTTAATGTTCTCACTGACTGAATAGCTGGCTTGCTTTGGGCCCAGGCGTCAGGGCAGTCCTGGGCCTGTTTCCGGCCAGCTTGCTGTACTTTGCTGGAATTTGTTCCCAGGAGAATGCAGTTCTCAATGAGCAGCCTGTGGGCTTCAGTCTCTCTTCTTTCTTCTCCAGAAATCTCCCTGACCTCAGTGCCGCCAGTTTGATGCCATATAGTCCTACACTTCTCAAAACTGTTCATTTGATGTTTCAAAATTTTAAATACCTTGCCCATCACTTAACTCCAGAAGTCATGTGGCACCATCAGTGTTTGTGGTACACATCTCTACTGGTGACTTTGTTTATGTAGATGTGACTGAACTTTTTTTTAAAAAGTATTCCCCTTGCACACAATGTCAGCGCAGCTGTTTTCACTTTTAAGCAGCTACCAACATTTTATCCCCTGACACTTTAATTTATTTTGAAAGACGTAGAACCTTAAAATACATGTATAGCATTTCTGAAACTCGTTTATAGTAGCCTTCCTATTTCTGTTCATTCTTAAGAGTTGAATAAAAATCCTGAGCGAGGCATTACATAGTTTCAGATAAACTTTTCAGCCCAAAATTCATGCATGTAGACTTCCCAGTCATCTTCAAAATGTTAAGTTATAGTAGAAGCAGTCACATTAGCAATAGAAACAAAAGATAGCATAGCACTTCTGCTCTCTCTGTAAGCTCAATGAATTTTCTATCAACAGAGAAAATGGGTGCCAAAGGCACAGTTGTGTGTTTCCCCAGGTTCACAGTAACCCAGTGAGTCACAGTAAATGTTGTTTTGCCCACTTTGTATGCTATAGCAACAATTCCACTTCCTATTGCATAGGAAAACCTATGCTGCTGTTAAAAGAAGTCTGGGTATTCTTACTACAACGTTAAGACAGTTTGTCCATGGAAATACTTTTTATTGTTCTGAGTCAGTCCACTTTGTGGAATTTTAATATGAGTTCCAAGACAAGGATGAGATGATGTATTTATTTTACTTTGTGTCCTTTTTAATGTTTTGAATGCATGACTGTTGACCTTGTTGTCAAAGCTTTTCCATGTTTTTATTACTTTAGAAGTGACTGCTGTATCGATGTCTCTTCATTGACAGTTCACCCTGTCCTCAGCATGCTATATTTTGGCAAGATTATCTGCTTTGCCTAGTGTGATGTGATCTCTTGTTTTTCTCACAGACCTATTGTGTCTTCTCAGTGTATGTCTTTGTCACATTAAAAGTTTTAACAGACCTTCTAAAATACTTGACCTGCTGGAAGAGCTTGAATTCAATCATAAGCTTCAAAGAATATATATGTATATATATATCCCACTAAGAGCACCCCTAACTCAGCCAGAGGATCTCTGCTTTAGACACACACCTTGGAATGAAAAGAGACCCTGGACTTCATTTTCCAATATTCTTTTGTTTGATTTCAGTTGTATTGTTAATTATCTCTATGGAAATACATTTTAAAAGACAATGATATTAACTCCTTAAACTTAAATAACAATTTACATTTACAGGGAAGCCTTGGATGTTGTGGCATTTTTTTACAAAATATTTGAATTGAAAATAATGACAATAGCTGTGCTTCAGGAGGCTGAAGCAAGGGGATTGCTGCAAGTTCAATATCAGCCTGGGCTACGTAGTGAGTTCAAGGCCAGCCTGAACTGCATAGAAAAAGAGAGCGAGAGAAAGACAGAGAGGCAGAAAGAAAATAATGACTAGACTATGGGTTGAAATGTTAAGTTACTACATATTGATATTCCTTCCATTGTTTGTCTCTGTGTGTAATTCTGACTGACTACCTTGACTTAGGTTTAAAGTTAAATACTTTCTGGCAAGGACAGGAGGACTGCGTGACATGCCTGTCACCTTCTGTGATTTATGCATCCTAACTAGTTAGCCTCCATATACAAAATGGTCTGTAATATTGACTCAGCCTTAGACTAGAAGTGAACAAAATGGGCATTGTCTCTCAGATCGTTTGTTCTCTTATGAATGATTATAGCTTATCCTGCCTCTATCACAGGGATGTGTGCCAAAAGCATGTGTGCTATGTGTGTGCGCATATATTCACATAAGAGTGTGATTTAGTGTTCAGGTGGTTTAGACAGTTTTCTTATTGGAAAATTGTAGACTATTAATATGAATCATTTTATTTTTAACAGGTTGACATGATGAAAGAAGCATTAGAAAAACTCCAGCTCAATATAGTAGAAATGAAAGATGAAAATGCAACCTTAGATGGAGGAGATGTCTTATTCACAGGTATAATTATGTTTATTTTTTTCTATCCAAAAGTATTTCTAGTTTTTGACTCATAGTCACTTGTTTTTTTATGGTTTTTTTTTCATTGCTGAAATAATAAATGTTAAATGTAGGAAATTTGGAAAATGCAGAAAAGCACAATGAGAGGAAAAGGACTTTCCATTCACAGATAAACATCTCAATATTTAGCTGTATGTCCTTTCAGATGCCCATATTTGCACATTTTTTACAAGAATATTATCAATATGTACATTATTTGTATATATCTTGCTTCTGTGATCCTCTACAATTAAGTTTATGAGTTGGCTGATTTTCCATTCTGTGACTGTTTATCTAGTTTGTATTTAAAGAATTCTTAATTCAAGATTAGTGTCATTTACCAATCATTTTGTTTCCAGATGGCAAGATGAATTCAAATAATTTTCTATGCAAATTGACTTGGCATAATGCCAGATGAATAATAGCAGAACTCAACAAAATTACAACTGGTAATACTATTGATCTAACTAGAATCAGTTTTTACAATTGGTATAATGTGATTACTAAAGAAATGGTAATTTTAGCGTTTAACCTTTCTAGCTCTTTTTGATCATATGTGAAATCATATGTAAAATCTAGATTCCTGGATTTATTGTAGTTATACTCAGGAGCAAGATAACCAACAGTAATTTTGATTCATAGGAAGAGTTTGTTTTCCCCTAAATGTCAGAGAATAAATATTTGTTTAACCAGTGCAGCCCAGCAGCAGAGGCTGAGCCTCCGGGATTGGGAAATTAGCCCCAGGTAGCTCACTAAAAGCGTGAGGCTTCCTGGAAGTCTGCTATTTCAGCAGATGTACATTTAAATTGAATTCATTTTATATAGGCAAAGCATGACTGTCTTTGTCTTAATATAAAAATAATGCCTTGTGTTGATATAATTACTGCGTGTGGATATAATTACTGTTCCAAGACCAGGAGTGTTTGTTTAGACATTTTGTTCGGTACCTGTGGTGGACCCTTCCAGTGGCCCAGCTCCAGGGAGCCATCTAACTATGGGTCGTGCAAGTAGGAGTCTCTGGAGCTGTGCTCTCCACAGCTTGTTCTGCCACTGTCACAGGTGGTGGCCCGGCCTCTGGGATTTGTCTTTAGGCACCCAAGCCCTCGGGACACGGAGCAAGGAGCCGGGGAAGCCTACAGGGGTGGGATTCTTAGGTCCTGCTTTGCCTGGGCAGACTCAGGCATTCCTCAGGTCTGCCCTGAAGTTTCCTCTTAGAATATTCTTTCTGGTCCTTGTGGATGGGATGTCCATTCTTTTTTGACAGCTCTGAGCAATAGCCTGTTTCTGTTAGAAAACAGGCTTTTGTGAAAAGCTAGATATATACATTGCATGTCCTTATACTACAACTTTTTCGATCAAAACATAGCCATATAATAAATACAATAAATTAGGGCAAGCAGATATGAGTTGCTTTTGAAATATGGCACAACCAAGCTGTGTTGTTCACGGTCATTCAGTTATCTTAACAGCGGAAGTAAGCCTGTGTCCTAAAAGTCTCTGCAGCGGACAGCACGGCTTATACCCGGAGTCTGTCCTTTTGGTCAAAGGTCTTCCCACAGCATCTCAAGCCTGATGCTTTGGTCCCATCTTCTAAGCAGGCATCAAGTGCTGTGGCTCGCCTTAGCTGCTGTCTGAGGCTTTCTGATATTATCTGTAGACCTTTCTACTTGGCATATTCAGTGTATAAGATCACATCTTAACAGTTATTTTATTCAAAACTGAGACAGTGTTGGCATATCTGCTCAGAACATCATTCATCCCCAGTGTCTGCTCCTGATTTCTCTTCTTTTCTCTTTTCCTTTCTCTCTTCTCTCTCTCTCTCTCTCTCTCTCTCTCTCTCTCTCTCTCTCTCTCTCTCTCTCTCTCTCTCTCTCTCTCTCGGTAAAAGATATATAAAACTTGCCATTTTAACCATTTCTAAGTGCATAGTTCATTCACGTTGTTATACAACCATTACTATTCAATTTTTGGATTAGGTAAAGTTTGATAAAAAAAAAATCTGTGGCACTTCCTGTATGTTCTGTGCCCTCTTCCTTCTGGACCTAGGAGATGCATTAATAATTCATCAGGAAATGGACAGAAGGAGCACTGCTTTCCAGATTCTGTTCCTGCTGGGAAATCTGTCAGTCAGGCAAGCAGCTACTGGCAAAAACAGTTTTCCTCCCATTTCTCTTGAATAGGCAGTATCAATTTACCTCTACTTTTAAAAGCTTTATTTCTCTGAGTATATCCCTCCCTTGTATAAAGTGTGTGTACACCATTCAGAGACCAATAATAAAATGCACTCTTGCCTGCTCACCCGCGACCTGTGAAACAGACAGAATATTCCCAGGTCTGTAGAAATCACTCATGATCCACCCCACCACCACCACCCTGGCAGTCCCAGTCCCTCCTTCCTCCCAGCCTCAGGAAAATGCTGCTCTAATTTTTGTGTTAATCCCTGCCTGGCCTTTCTTTGAAGTTTATATCGATGTATGGATTTCTAAGTTATATGTGGCTTAGGTGGATTTGTTTTATAACTTTACCTTATTAAAGTCCCCGTGTATGAACTCTTGTGTGATTTTTCTTCTTTTGATCTAAGTTGATGTGTATAGCTGTAGTTCATTTTACACCACAATGTATTTATTCATTTTACTGGTAATGCACATTTTGGGTGTTTTCTGGGTTTGGTCTATCGCTATCTTTAATGCTGCTTGTCTTCATTCTGGTGTGTGTTTCCTGGGGGAATAAAACAAGAGTTTCTCTAAGGTCAATACTTGGAAATGAATTCCAGTTGCAGGGTAAACTTTTATATTTTTGCTTCAGTGAGATGATTATATGATTTTTCTTCTTTAATCTGATGATCAATTGCATTAATTGATTTTCTGATACTCTTAGATCTCTGGGATGAAATCAAGCTAGATTATGATTTACTCATTTTTCATATATCATTGGCTTTAGTTTGCTAATATTTTTAAGACTTATATTTTCATGGCCTGTGAATTTTTTTCTTGTTATGCTTGTCTGATTTTGAAGTATTATATTAGCTTTATGAAATATATTTTGACGATATTTCCATTTTTATACTCTCTGGACTTAGTTAAAACTTGAGTTATAGGGGCTGGGGATTTAGCTCAGCGGCATAAGCGCCTGCCTTGCAAGCAGGCAGTCGTGAGTTCGATCCCTGGTACCGATAAAAATGAAAAAGACCAAAAAAAAAAAAAAAACTTGAGTTATAAGGCTGGGGATTTAGCTTAGTGGCATAAGCACCTGCCAGGCAAGTGCGAGGTCATGAATTCAATCCCTGGTGCCTCAAAAAAAAAACCTTGAATTATGTCTTCTTCGAACTTTGACAGAACTCATCCACTGACGTGTTACAAAATACGAGTGTAAAGTTATTCTTATCTTCTTGATACTGTATCTATTTAAAAACTTTACAGCATAGACCTGCATTCTCTGCTCATGTGTGATGTTTGTACCTGTCTCCTTTCTTTCTTCTCTTTCTCCCTTCTTTTCTTTTTTCTTTTGGTCTTCCTTTCTTAATTTCTGACCTTTTTTCTCGTCTTCTTCCTTTTTGCCAGAAATATCAATTTTATTAATCTTTTCAAAAGAGTAACTATTGGTTTTGTTGAAGTCTCTCTTGAATGTTTCCTTTCTCTGTATTTCCTTCTTTTGACATTATTGTTTTTATTTTTCCTTGTATCTTAAATTGAAATTTCATCTCATTAACCTTGAATCCTTTATCTTCTCTAATACAAGCAATGTAAGACTGTTTAACTTTCCCTCCAAGCATGGCTTCAGCAAAATCCTTATTTCAGTATGATTGTTTTTATTACCTTTTAGTTGTAAATTTTTCTAATTTTCATTATTATTTAGTCATTGACTCATAGAATAATGATTTGTTTTTAGCCTGTAAGTTTCTGGAACACCAACACATCTTTCTAGTCATGGATATCTAAAGGAAAGATTGATTTAGCCTTTCCTTCATGAATTATATTTCCAGAAAAGCAAATCCCTGATTGAAGAAACAGCATAGCAGCCCCACCTCTGAAATGATCCTGTAAAAAAAATTGAGAATCTAATCAACCAGCTGCATTAAACTATCAGTGTCCTCAAAATATAAAAGACAATTTAAACATTAAATGGTGTTAGAAAGTAATCAGCCAAATCCAAAATGCAGAATGCAGAATACTCAAAAGCATAAATGGCCCAGTTTCTCTTATAAAGCAATGAAGCACAAAGCGGGAGAGGGAGTAACAGCATAGAAGAAATTATGCATGAGACATAAAAACAAAAAAATTATTATTTCAATTCTAGCATTGTAATTATGTGTGTCAGTAAGGCTGTTTAGGGATCTTGCCCACAATACTGCCAGAAAGAAAAGTCCAACTTTTCACAAAGATCAATTGTGTATACTTGAATAGCATGGCTGACCCTCTATAAATATGTTAGAACTAGCTGGATGCATTAAGTGTTTTTCTAAAAAGCTATATATAAATCTAATGTGTAAATCTACTTTTAGTTTACAAAATTAATAAAATGATTTTTTAAATTGTAGGGGACTTCTTAAATAAACTAATACTTTTGTCAAATAAAAGACATTTCCATAAATTAAATTTTGATTTTTACATGGAGTTTTCTTAATGGACAACACAATTATATCATTGCCAAAAATATTTGTCAGTGTCACAAAAGGGTACTGTGTCTGCCAGTAGCATAAGCCCTTGGAATATGTCACATCATCTGACCTGTGTCATTTACCTCTTTTATAAGGACCATATGAAGAGTCCATTTGTTCATTTATCATTCCACTGGTAGACTTAGTTTACAGAAAAATTGAGGAAATTTAAGAATCTTCACATTCTTCTCCTATAATTTAGAGACCTTTTTCATTTAGTGTTTTTCTTTCTGAGTAGACAAACTGCAGAATTTCAGAAAAATCAAATAAGAAAGTTCAATCCTCCCAAACTTTTGCACTTTGCAGATAGATGTTTTGATTTAAAATAAATAAATATATAGTCTAAGAGACAGAGCTCTTAGAGCTCAGACCTAAAGGTCAGTCAGTATTGAACTCATTTGTCGTACAGTTTCTCCAGGCCTTATATGATCAGTGTAAGAAAAAGCATCCAGCTTCACTAATATCTAGCAGCATTCTTTCAAGAGGGAACAAAGTATAGTACTACTAGTTCATCATTGCTATCTGATTATAGTTTATTAATGTGTTTAATTCTATAATTTCTTAAATAAAACGTTTATTCTTTATTGTGTAAAATATACATAGCGTAAGATTTATCATCTAGCAAGGTATGGTGGATCCCAGCACATGAGAGGCAGAGGCAGGAGGATCGCTGCAAGTTTGAGGCCAGCCTAGGCCTCAAACTTAGCCCGACCTGCATAGTGAGTCCCTGTCTCAAAAAAAAAAAAAAATTATCACCTTAATTATTTTTAGAAGTCCATTCAGAGGCAGTAAGTGTCTTCATGTTGTAGAATTCTCTTCCTAAGCTGGAACTCCATTCCCAGTACACAGAGACCTCCTAATGTTCTTCTCTCAGTTCCTGAAAAACCACTGTTATCCTTTCTGTTTGTGAATTTCAAAAAGCTAGTTTTTAGGAGGAATCATTTGATGGAGCCATTCTCTGTGCCAGGAAACATTTGTGTGCTGCTTTAAGGTCATTATTTATAGATAAACAAAATGGTGCGCCACCTCTGGGACCACACACTCACTGTGTTCCGTGACATCTGTTATAGGCAGAGAATTTTTTGTGGGCCTTTCCAAAAGGACAAATCAACGAGGTGCTGAAATCTTGGCTGATACTTTTAAGGTAGGTAAAGGATAATTTATGCCTGGCACAGAGTAATTAATAAGTATTCATAGACCCGTTGAATCAACATGAGTAATGGTGCTTGTATTTCACCAGTTTTGCAAAATAATTCCTACTTGTTATACATTTGCTAGAAATTTTAAAAGCTATCAAATTCAAATTTCTCAGTAATTGGGCTTCATTAGCCTACCGTAGCATGGGAGCAGCTGACCAAGTTAGCATGGTCATCTTCTGTTTTCTCCTATAGAGAATCACAAGCTCCCTGCACAATTGATGATATAAAAAAATATTCTAAAGACCTGGTTGATTTCAGATTATACTAAGTGTGCCATTTCAGATTAGATTCAAGTGTTACCTGCACATGGGTGCTTACTGTGTGCTAGGAACATGCTAGGTTTTGCACATGCCTTCAGGGTCCTTCTACCGATGACAGGTAGATTGGCTTACCAGATGGCTTAGGAAGGGCAATCACTCCCATGAGGTTGTGAGGCTCTAGCTGAGCCACAATTTGCACAAGGTATTCAAACCACCATCCCAGAGTAATCCACCCCTACGGCAAATAGCTGGTGGAGGTGTTGGCGCAGCCCCACATCTGGAAGGAAACTTTGTGCTTCCTTCTCAGAAGCAGCCTTCATTTAACTGCCAATACCAAGGCCTACAGGTGCCAGCTTTGCTTCCAGATATTCAGGGCCTGGCAGCTTTCACAGAAGTAAATATGGCGTAGGCGGGTTTTTAATCAGTTTTAGAATTATTGTGCAATACCAAACTGCTTGTTTTTCCCTTTTGCCTCCACAGGATTATGCGGTCTCCACAGTCCCAGTGGCTGATTCTTTGCATTTGAAGAGTTTCTGCAGCATGGCTGGGCCCAACCTGATTGCAATTGGGTCTAGTGAATCTGCACAGAAGGCCCTCAAGGTAAACACAAAGCTGTATCCTTTTTGCAACTGGCAGTGTCTGCCACAAGATTTTTCTGATTCTGTCTACTGGGTGAGCAGCAGGCAGAGCTGGCAGGGGGAGAACGGACTGGTACTTGAGCTGCCTGTGATGTGCACTCTCATGATCTAGCATTCAGTAGGAACTGGGAATGCCCCAGGGTAGGAAGAGCTCTTCCCAGGCAAACTGTTCTTCGGCACACACCAGGTTTCCTTGAGCAGCCAGGATTCAGCATAGTGAACACCAAGCTCATCACAGTTGTGCGCCCAGCTGACAGAAGGGCACTGCCACCAGACAGAGCTCCTCAATATTTCCTTTCATAAGTAGGGGAGGTGGTACATGGGGCTCTTTGCATTAGCCCACCTTTCCATTTTGTCTGAACTAATCCATAAGAATTTTTAGAAAGCTTTAAGAAAATTAAGTACCTAAAAAGGTTACCTTCTGTGTTGGGAACAGGAAATTCCTTCTTCTTCTTCTTTTTTTTTTTTTTTTTTTTTTTTAGATGAGACTGGATAGTCTAAACACATGAAGAGGTCCCAAGTCATACAGTTAGATCCAGGGCGAAAGTCACTGATGACAACTTTCTCTCATTACTGTGCTTTCTGTTCAGAGACACTTTTGTTCTCCATAACTTCAATCTGGGGAGATGATCTAGATGTTCTATAAGGGCAAAGATCTTGCTCTCACCATCATGTTCTGTTGTGTTTGCCCCACAATGAGCAGATAGATAAATAAATGAATGGAGTAGCGTTATCTCTTTTTTGCTGAAAAGGAAACTGGATCAAATGACCCACCCTAGACCAAGGCTAGCACTAAATGGTGGGCTGGGACCGCAGTCCATTTCTCTGAGGTGACCCTGCATATCAACCTACATGGTTTATTCAAGACCAAAACCAGAGACTCCTCTTAAGCAAAGAGCAGATAAGTGTGCCCCAGCATGTACTATTTATTGGTTTGCCCTCCCGGGTCTCCACTCTTCTGTCTCATTGCCAGCCCTCATGCCATCTGCCTGGGCAGCAATCATTGCCTTGAACTGAATTTCCCCTCTGTATTATCTACAGCTACTTCAGCTGGCCACTCTGGCCTTTCCTACCTTCCTCCTAGACTCTGTCTTTGATGGCATTCCTAGGACTTTTAACAATTATTGCTGAATTATCTGTCTCGGTCTTAGATTTGTATCATGATGCCTTTTTCTTAGTTTGCTTTAGAGTGTCTTTAATTCTGCTTCATCCAGAAAACTGCATCAGCTTTTTGTGTATTAAAAAAAAAAAAGATGATGTCTTGAAAGAAAGTGTTTGATGAATGGTGTCATTCAGGGGCTATAAGGAGATGAAATTTCTCCTTTGGGAGTAACTAGTATCTATCCATGGGAGCTGACCTGGTCTGCACATGTCCAAAATGCATTGTAAGGGAAGGAGAGAGTTTAAGCTGACCTATGCCATGCTTTGTGTGAATCAGCAAAAAGAGCTTCTTCCTGATGGACAAATTAGAAAAAGTATCCCCTTTTGCCATTCTGAGTAGGCTTTACTAGATTAGATAACTGAGTCAAGTCTGCAAGTCAGCCATCTGGGGAAATTTAACACATGACAGAATAAAAGATAATTCATTATGGTTAATTAATAGGTAGTATATACACCGTTGTTGCTATCAAAGTCCAGGGATAAGGAGGGAGCTCTCTGAAGGCTAAATATTCAGAAAAGCCTCCTGGAGACAAGGGGACAAGATGTGGGTTCTGAAGAATGGGTAGTCTTTGGCAGGTTAGGAATGTGGTATAAACAAAGACAAGCAAAATACATTCATGAGATACCATATAAGCAGATTAGGCTAACTAACAAAGTGTCTCCTTCTTATGGTTTTCTGGATGGGCAGGTAAGGTCAAAAGAGGTTGGCACTTAAAGTGAGGAAGGCAAGATTATCACTGTGAAGCAGGAATCTGGATACCCATAGGTCTCTGAGCAGAAGGGTAATTCCTCAGAATTTTGTACCCATGTTCCTTTTGCAGAAAAAAAGAAGAAAAAGAAATAGAGAGGGAAGGTGTTACAGTCAGAAATGAGAACCACTGATATCTCGAAAAGAAGCCAAGCTCCCAATCCCACTCCCATTTCTCCATTTACCCTTTCTGTCCTGTTGTTGAGTTGTGTAAGACCACATTTCTTATGGACAACCTATGAAGATTTCCCAGCGCTCCTTCCCTTAGAGTTCATTTGAGTCAGTATTAATAATGATATTCATTCTGTACTTGAAACCTTCCATGTCAGAAGCTATAAATACTCCTCACAAGCTAGAAAGGCATGCTTTGGAGATCGTATTTTCCATCAGCAAATGTGCTGCCTAACCCTGGGCCTTGTGGAGTTGGCAAATGCCCACCTGCTCTGTTCCTAACATCAAAAATGTCCTTTTACTTTGTAGTGAGAACGGGGACGAAGTGAACTGGAGATTAATGAGCTCTCCTAGAGGGAACAGTCTCAGGTCAGAAATAGGTGGATTGGTAAAATTCACATTGAGGTAAACCGAGCTGCTTATTTGTTTGAGAACAGTTTGGCTCCTATATTAGAACTATCAACAAAAGTAATCATGGGTTCAGCCTTACTACTAAACAGAGATATGAGTATTGATATAGGTAGACAGAAAGACAGACTAATAAAAAGATATATTATTTACAAACAGCAAAAACACTGCTGGCTTTATTTCTCCATTTTGTAGGCAAAAATGCTGAAATCTCATGAAATAACATTTTGACAGGACCTCATGATTCCTAAATTAGATTTCCTTGCCTTAATTGATCACTGTGTTAGCTTTCCATCATTGTGATAAATCAGTTTAAATGATGAAAACATGTATTTTGGCTCACAGTTTCATGGTTCTTTGGCCATGTGACTTTGATCCATTGGTAAGAGAGTACAGCATTGCAAAGGGTGTATTGCAGAGGAAACTTGATCACTTCATTGCAACAGGAAAACAGCAGGAAGGAAGGAGAGGATGGGTCCCAATATTCCTTCAAGTGCAGGCCCCAGTGACCCGACTTTCTTCCACAAGGTTCTCCTTCCTAAAGATTCTACAACCTCCTAGTAGCACCACCAGCTGATGCCAGGCTTCTAACACATGAGTGTTTAAGGCTACACTTCAGACATAAACTACAGCACCACTCAACTCCATACCTGTTCTTTTTCTATTGGAAAAACCTTTATAATTGCTCTACCATGGGCTGGTCTGGCTGAGTTCCTTTTCTCTTCCCCTCTCTAACCCTCCCTCTTGCCCTCTGCTTCCCATTATTAGCTGGTTTCCAGGATCTGAATGGTCTTGGGAGTGTCATGAGTTCCACATATCTATATTTTCTATTGCAAATCTTGATTTCTGAGTCCTTGCCTCTATAAAGAAGCCTCTGGCTACTTGGGCATCCCTTTAAAGGGCAAATTATTTAAACAGAAGTGAATTGTGCCTTCCTGTGCCACACACTGGAAGCTTGATTACTGCCCACATCTGTCACTGCTCTCTGGGTACCAGTTTCCTTCAGAGTCTGAAAGCTGGTTTTTATATATTCATGTAAAGCTGAGAGCCAAATGTTTCTGGGCAATCTTACTGCATTTAAAACATTTTGTGATGTGTTGCAGTCCATTCTCCGTTTATGAAGTGAGTTCTTCTGGAGATAGTCATCACACCTGTCTAGGTTGTGGTACAGTTAATAGTGTATGCATTGCATATTTAAATAAAACCATCCATCTAGGACAATTTCAGCAACTCTGCTGAATAACCCAGAATACATTTAATACAGAATACCAACCTAGAGATGGAAGAAAAAAGGGTATGTTATTACTGCAATTTACATTGATATGGCCAAAGTGCTGGGAGTTAGGTTGATTTTAAAAACTCCTGCAGATACTTAACATCAAATCTGATCCCAGCACTTCTTTAATTTAGTCATAGTTATTCTAGAACAACCTATCCTTTCTATAGTTTTTCTCCCACACTTTTCAGCTCATTCCCTTCATTCCACTGGACAAGAGCCACTTTGATCCTGCACCTCATCTTATAAATAGGAATAACGTAAGATTAGTTAACTGGTACACAGGTATCAGGACTATTCACATCCTCTAGGAGAAATGTCTACCTTCTAAAAGCTGAGAACTCACTGCACTATAGCTCAGACTGTAGCTCACAAATACAGTTTAAACAAAAGAAGCCAGCCTTCAAAGTATACATACTCTATTGTGCTATTCATATAAAGTGAATCAGGCAAAACCACTCTGCACTGTTAGCAGTTCAGAGAGTGCTTATTTTAGAAGGAAGAGGAGGCCATGGTCCAAAGGACCATTTTGTATGTTACACCTTTTTTTTTTTTATCTTTTTGAGACAGAGTTTCACTATGCTATTGGCTTAAAACTCACTTTGTAGCCCAGGCTGGACTTGAACTCATAGCAATCTTCATGCTTTAGCCTCCCAAGTACTGGGATTACAGGCGTATGCCACCACTTTCATCCTAGACTTTAACTTTTTAAGTTTATGAAAACTCTAGTTGGAAGTGGACCATGACTGGCTTATAGAAATAATTCCCTGGGGCTGTCTACTTCCCAAGTCCTGCTTTACCCTCCATCTGATGCTTCTTTTCCACAGACTGATCAGTTCTTAATTTTTTATTTAAGCAAAAAGAAGGACATTAGAAAGAATAATTGTGTAAGGCATGTCACCCCTTTTTTTAGATCTGTTCCAAAATAGATTGCCTTCCTTTCCAAGAACCTGGGTTAATTACATGCTATCTGTCACAGGAGGACAGATTGTAATATCTGCCCTCAGGAGGGACTCACAGTAATTCTCTGTAACAACTTTTAACTCAGTCTCCTTGGCATTCAGTCTTACAATCATTTGGGAGTAAAAATAAATAAATAAAATGAAAGGAAGGAAGGAAGGGCGGGTAAAGGACAGGAGGAAGAGAGAGGAAAGAAGGAAGGAAGAAGGAGGAAAGAGAGGGAGGAAGGAGAAAGGAG